TACATTCTCACAACTTCCCCCATCAATGATCATACTGCACATCTTTCCCCCACTAGTGCACTTAGTATGAAATATATTATGCCTGAGCCACGATTCATCATCTACCTCAGCAATATTTAAAACCCGACGCACAACTAAAGACTCACCAGAATCGGCATAGACAATGTCCTCTGGATCTGGATCTGCATCTGCTTGCTCGCCTTCAGATTCATCATAAATTGGGTCTTCATCAAAAGTTGGATTATCTACAAGTGTCACAAACTGTCGGTTCGGACAATCAGTAGCAAAATGCCCGAGTCCTTGACACTTAAAACATCGCTTGCTTGCAGCTCCTCCCCTGCTAGATCCAGCACTACCCTGCTCTCCTTTTGTTGCAGATTTTGAACCAGCGCCCTTAACTGTTGCCGGAGCTGAAGAACTCCCTGCTTTCCCCCGGGACTCTTTATCTGACCACTTGGAACTGCTACCTGTCCACTTAGAACCGCTGCTAGACCACTTGGACTTACTGCCTTTTCTTTTAAACTGCCCCTCCACTTTTAGGGCTAGTCTGCACACATCCTCATATGTCCAATACTGCTGCAATTGGACAACATCAGAGATCTCATATCGCAGCCCTGCCAGATATCGTACAATCGTCTGCTCGTCTTCCTCTGCCACATCACAACGCATTCGCAAGCGATCAAATTCTTCTGTGAATTCCTCAACTGTTTTATCATCTTGCTTGACGTTATGATATTCGATAAACGCCTCTTGCCTATAATGGGTAGGCAAAAAAATTTTCTGCAATAACTTTTTCATCTTCTCCCAGCGATCCACCTTCGGCTTGCCCTCTCTAGCGCGTTGCTTTTTTACGTGTTCCCACCAAATCGAAACATGTTTTCGCAGCCTGATAGCCACTAACTTCACTTTTTGCCCCTCAGTTAGGTCTTTAAGATCAAAAATCCGTTCTACCATATGCAACCAATCAATAAACTCATCAGGATGAGCCTTACCATTAAACTCAGGAATCTCGATCTTCATTCCGAAATTTTGTGAAGAACGCTGATTTCCAAGTCGTACTCTTCGATTCCGCCCCTGGTTCAGAACCCCGAAAGGGTTTACGTCCTCCTCTTCATCATCGGATGAATCCTCAGATTCCGCTCCTTCTTCGGATTGAACGCCCAACCTCGCCTCCGCAAGTTGTCGCTCCAAATCCTGGATTCGTCTTCTCTGTTCTTCAATTTCTACGTCTCGCAGATCTCTTAGACGCGGTTGGTTGTCTGCTTCAGGAATGCCTCCACGCCCCCGGCCACGACGAGCCCGCCGTCCACGACCGTGATTCTGTTCAGCCATTGATTCAAGCAACCTGTGCTCTGATACCAATTGATGCCGAAACGCGATAGAAAATTTGACTGAACAAGAAAATTCGACAGAAGAACAATTCGTCCTCCAAATATGATTATCAAATCAAAATATTCAAAATCTGCTAAAAAGAAACCCTAAAACAAGTTTATATAACTCCAAACCAAGCCCTACTAGGATTAGGAAACATCAAAACGTAAAATTACGAAACTACCCTTTACTAAATTAACCCATAAAAAATACTAAAAAAAAAAAGAAAAAACCATCTAAACAATCTCGAATCGCAAAAATCCATCGTTAGTCACGGCCGAAGGCGGTGAGTATTGATCAACACGCCGTTTCGCTTCAGCCGATCAAATTTGAGCTCAATCTGATATCATTGACTTCAAACCCGCCGATTCGTCTAGTCGCATAACGGGTCCGCCGGTCCCCCTTAGGTGCATCAGTCGCCCTCGCCCGCCCAGGCGAGGGCTGGCCTTGCCTGACGCCGGCGAGGGCGGCCCTCGCCGGCTTTCGCCTCTGGCCGATCGCCGATCTGGCGAACGACTAGAGGTTGAAGATGAAGAAAATAAAAAACAAAAAAATTAATAAAAATTCGAAAAAATAATATTAAAATTTTAGTTCAGGGTAAAATTGTCACATGTGTACCAGTTTGGGGTTTTTTGTGGTATGTTCAGGGTAAAATTGTCACAAGTGTATTAGTTTGGAGTTTTTTGTGATATGTTCGGGGTAAAATTGTCACAGGTGTACCAATTTAGGGTTTTTGGTGGTAAAAAAAATAGTTCGGGGTAAAATTGTCATATGCGTACCAGTTTGGGGTTTTTGGTGATAAAAAAAAAGTTACGGGTAAAATTATCACACGCGTACCAGTTTGGGGTTTTTGGTGGTATTAACCCTTTAATTAATAATCGAACATTGAATATAACTTGTTTCGTGATGGCTTTAATAATATAATCCGGTGATTTAAGAGTTTTTCGCTGTAAAAGGACGTCTATTGATCACAACTTCATGCTCGTGCGTACGTAGAGTGATAGACATCATAGTTCTTTATGTTACTCGCCACAAGTAATTCTTTTCTGATCAAGAAATAGATAAGTAATTCGATGAAAGTATCTTTTCGTTATTCTGTTTTTTATTTTATTTTTTATTATTTGATCTATTAGATGCAATGATTTTGTGTGATACACTTATCAATTTTAAAAGCCAATAGCAAAAGACAACTAATTAAGTTTTTTCTCTGGGTGGATTTGACGAGCCATTTTCATTGAACTATGTTGAGTCACCGGGAGTAAAAATTACACAATCAATCTTAATCCGATTGTATGGCTGCAAACTCAATTCTTAATTTTTTAATCTAACTAATTTAGTCATTAATTTTTTGATGATATTTCAATGTAGTTCTTGTAGTAAATTTTAGCCTGAAAATGCTGACGTGGCATTTGGTCACTGCCGGCGGTCCTACGTAGCACAATCAACGATTTGACATCAACAATTTTGACAAAATGACTCTGTTTTGATTAATTTTTAGAATTTCCATATTTTTTTCCTTTTACTGTTCATCTTCATTAGAAGAACTTGCAACATCTTGTGTCCTTCAATCTTCAACTTTGGCTATGATTGGTTCAGCTTTACTAAAGGGTTTTGGGCATTTAAAGTCCTTTGAGGAAAACTTATGGTGTTTGGCAAATCTTTTGGGAGCCCTTTGACCAAATGCTGGCCTTGGCAAAGTGAAAGCCCAAGGCAGGTCTTCACTTGCCTTTGGCTTTCAGCATTTTTGAAAGGCCATTTTTTAGAGTTAAATAATTTTTTTCTTCTAAAACTGTCGTCACCAATTTTTTCGTTTTTCGATTTTGCCCTCGTAAGAACTATTCATCTTCCCTACGTAAATCGCTTCATCAAGAGTTGCGCAAGGCTGGTTAGTAAGGCCAAATCTAACTGTTGGCAAGCTAGTAAACCAGTTTGGTGGCGGCCCGCCTCGTCTGGGGTCGCGCTAACCCAGGCAATGGTTGCCTGGGTTGTGTTCTTAGGTGACATGACCCAGGTGATGGTCGCCTGGTTCACGCAATCTCAAGCCTTGTCGCCTATGGTTGTGGGACCTCAAGTGAGGCTACCTGAGCTACATTTGGCTCATTGGCTTGCCGGTCTCTGAGCCCTTTGCCAGATTTGAGGTTTTTTCATTTAAAAATAGCAAAAGCACTTTACAAATTTTATGATTTTTCCTAATACCATTGAAACCAAAATTGTTACCCAATGTACTTTTAAATTACAATTTATCAAACAATACTTACATTTCAAAAAACCTCTTTAACCTAAAGTTCTTTACATTTTCCCAGAAACTTTTTCCCAAAAGCGAATCAAATGCATCCCTAGAAGGTACTTAGTCCTTTCCGTGCCCGAGCCCGAGCCCGAGTTCATCTCCACGCCGCTCACCGTGCCCCACATGCAAGCCGTTGTTACCTACTTGAAAGACTCAGCATCCATGGCTTTGAAATCAAACTTTTCAAAGTTGTCGAGCAACAACCTCTCGCTACACTACCTCTTCAATATAGCTCTAAAATCGGAATATGCTAGCCACCACGCCATCGCCTTCGGACCCTCCGAGATCCCAGTCCTCTACCTCCCCGGACCTCGTGTGCACTTCACATGCCCAAACCCTAATCACTCCCCTCATTGCTCACCTCACTCTCCGTAGAAATCAAATTGGAGTCGATCACAAAATCCAAAGAGAAATTTCCGCCGATCTCGGAGTTGTGGGGGCTCTAGGTTCCATGCCATTGTGGTCGAGATGATCACCGACGAGTCGCTCAAGGTCTCGATTGAGGTTGGCATGGTGAGCTAGAGATGAACTGTAAAGGAAACGAAGGAAGAGGAAGATGAACAATACCTAAAGAAAAAAAAAACAGATGAAAAAGAAAAGGAAAAAGAAATCTTAAAAATAAAAGCAAAACAACTACGTTTCACATAAATTTGTCCACGTTAAAAACCGTCTGAACCACATAGGACGGTCGACATAGGACGGCCGACATGACTAGATGTCCACGGCGGCATTTTTAGGCTAAAATCGATTGAAAGGACTATATGGGAATTTCGTGCAAAGCTTTAGGATTACATCGACAAAATTAAAATATTTTGAACTGAGTTGGTATTTGTACAATAAGTAAAGACTGATTGAGTAACTTTCTATTATTGGGTGCTCAGTCCGGTCAATAAAAAACTACTTCACCCATTAATAATTAGAATTGCTACCTAAAAGGGAAATAAAGTTACTTTCTTTTTGTAGTCGTTGGCAAATAATTCATGTTAAAATATCCCATATTTTGTGCTTATAAAATTTATGTGCTCTTTATTTACTTGTGATCTCCCTCCGCCAACTAAGTTAAGAGTATCTACCCTAGTTTATTTCACATACACGGTCCCTGTTCATCATATTTCACCGTTACAATTGAGTAGCGATAAGTTTTAGGACTCAATTGTATTTCATGACAAGTTTTGGGACTACCAATGCAATTATCCCTATAAAATATAATGGAAGCAAAAAGAAATCAACTCAAACCCGGTTAAACATGCGATGATTCTGAAGCAAATTCCATTTCGTTTTTGTTTTCTGAAACATATATATTCTCGCAAAAGAAATTAATGGTGCAAAAGCCACGTCTCACTGAGCTTGGGAACTATTCCATTTGAATATATTCCTGTAGAACCACACTTAAAGCTAAGAAATTCAAGCCCTTGACGCTGGCAAATTGACATAGTCCAAGGCTCATATCACACATGACACTTCCTCTTTACAAACACCATCACACAGTGGAACACATCCCTTATCTAGACCCTCTTCACATGTCATTACATGTTCTTTTAGATTCCTTTTTCTTGTTTTTTTTTCTTATATTATCTACATGAGGCAACAGGCGTTGACGTTGTCGTCATTGAACATGTTGCTGACTTTGTCGTCCCCGCGGTGAGTCACCGGGATGTTGCCGTGCCGGTCGCCGATGTTGTAGCCGTGGCGGTAGTAGTTGTAGCTCTCTTTGAACTCTTTGGTCGTGTCCCTGAAGTAGTCCTCGGTGGAGGTGAAGTAGAGCGGCGGATTGGGGTAGGGCCAAAACTCGGCCCTTTTCCCCGCCCTCCTCACCGCCTTCAGCACTTTGTTCCGGTCGACGTATCCGACGACAGTCACCTTTTCCATCTCCAAGTCCACTTCCACCGAATCGACCCCTACAAACATTAAATTAGATTCACATTAAGGACAACACAAACTAAATTGGGGCAAGATCAAGAGTAGATACACATGTTCTGTGTAGAAACTATTTTTGCAAGACTTTTTACTCGTGCCATATAGTTAAACTGACTATTAGAGAGAGAGAGAGAGAGAGAGAGAGAGAGAGACCTCGAAGCTTGTAAATGGCGTTCTTGACGACTCTCTCGCAGCCAGTGCAACACATCCTGACTTTGAGATCCACAGTCTAAAAAGCAAAACACACAAAAGGCAAAAATAATTTCAAAGATGCTGTTTCCACTAAAGCGTACACGGTTCTCACACGCCTTTCCCATTATATTCCGTCTGTTCTCTTGCCTATGCATTGCATTCATATGTAGGAAACCAAAGGGATTGATGGAAAGCTATCCTAAACTTTGTTCTCTTTATTCTGTTATACGAAACCAACTGGACTAAGAAAAGCCTTCTTTCTTCTCATCTCTTTTTGTTCATCTTGTCCTTTACCGTATAAAACTTGTTTTCTTCTCAATTCGTGCACGTTTTCAACTAGTATGCCATCTAAACCGTCGTTTCCAAAGATTAATTCGAGGTAGCTTATAGATTAATGGGGTGAATCTCAAACGTGGGATGGTTCCTACGATTTGTGTTGTTATTATGAGAAGCAACTTTATCTTGAAATTATACTTTGCATGATCATATAAAGAGACAAAGGGTGCATCTCTCACATCTAGAGATTAACCTCCTCAAACTTGGACTGTTGAAGAATTTTGTCGAAACGCAACCAATCGATCTAAAAGGTAATTATTGATTAATCGAGTACATCATCCCGGTTGATCATTTTTCTTCAAAGCTTTGAATCACGAGTAAACAAATAATAAATACGATAATGAATCGGGACAGGGACAATCCAAACAAAAATATCCGGGATTAGTACTCAAAACGTTTCTACTACAAGTTCATATTGTCAAAAAATAAATAAAAAGAGCCGAAAGTATAAATCTAGCGTACTTTTTAGTTAGTTTGAAGATTCATGGGAAGGGAGGGACCATAAAGTTGAACATATCAAGAGTCTCATATAAGATTTTGACATACAAGAAGTTGGAAAAGTACTTTTTCGTTTTTTCCAACATCCTTTCTCATATAAAGTGGAGAATAGAAATCCCATATGGAAGCTCAAGCAAAACTCAAAATACCTCAACACAATGCAAAAAAAAGAAAGTAAGATAACACAACTAATCACTAGGGTTATCAATGAAAACGAACCTGCAAAGAGAGAGGCTTTCCCTTAGGCATCGTGTACTTGAGGTGGTGTTGGTGATGGTGGTGGTGGTGGTGGTGGGGATGGTGGTGGATGTCTTTGTGGGCGCTTGGATAGCGAAAGAATAAACCGTAAGAAATGGCCGAGAAGACGAAGCGAAAAGCCGTGTTTAGGGTGGTGGCCATGGTGAACCGGCTAGGGTTTCTTTTATACACACACACCAAGCAAGGAACACAGAGAAAGATAAGGCAGGGGAAACAAAGAGATAGCTGTGGAAACTAACTAAACAAAAGCCAGCCGCAGAAGATATTCTTCATCTCGATTTTTTGGCATCGCTTCCTTAAGGTTTTTATCTGCTGAGGAGATATATTCCAAAGTTCTCTAATACTATTCCCAGGTAGTGAGGTGCAGTTCCTTGTGACCTAATTCACTTCAAATACATGAGAACTACAACGATGGGTCACCGCACAAACTAATATTCAAATTTAAAAAGGAAGAAAACAAGATATTCTTTGGGCAAAGGAATGGTATCAATCTCTTAGCCATTATCAAGTTATTTTTCTTCAAATGTGGGTCAAGCTAACATGGTTGCTGACACAGAGATAGAAGAGAATATTGTCAGGTCTCAAAGGACGGGGATTGAGGGCTTAAGTGAGGAAAGCTAAGGCCTTGATGCAAAGGTGAACATATATTCTCGAAAATCTTTCCTTTTCTTCATCTTCTTTTGCAGAATTTTCCAAGGACTCTCTTGGGCTTATACATTGTATATTACACCAGTCACCTTTATCGCTATTGGTTTGGAGATTTTAGTTTAGTTTTCTAGAATATAACTATACATATTTCACAATAATATAGACTTTGTGCATCGAAAAGTTCCTTTGCCCCAAGCCCTTGTTGGATGCATGCCATAATACGTGGATTTGAATTCAAGAAAATTGATTCGATTCCGATTCTAAAATAGGGTTTACAGAGCACATTGTGCATTTTCCAGATTAGTCTATTGAGGGCCAGATTATTCTATAGGCAGTTAGGGAATAAAAACGCTAGTTTAAGACAACACACAGCATTCATCTAGAAAGCCTAACAAAGTTAATATTCCCTCATGTTTTAGGGCCTTCCAAGTCGTGGATGTGTCACATGATGATGGAAGCATGCACAAAAGAAACACCCACTAAGATTCTATTCATCTAGCTAGCAATTACCCAAAGAGGAAGTACTAGATCACTAGCGGTTTTAATTATGTTAACAAAATGTCATGAAGAATTATTCTTTTAAGACATGAGATAGATATATAAATGAACAAAAGAGCGACAACAATCAGGTCGAGAAATGAAGAAGAAATGTTTCTATCAGACACATGGATAGTGAAGAAAATTTTCCGATGCATATATATGTGCTAATTGTGCGGCACGTGTATAGCTAGATTCAATTACCGAGATTAATGTACCGTGATCTTGTGATGAGAGTAAATGTCCTCGCGACAAATTTTTAGTCGGCTGTCTGTAGACCCAATGAAAATTCGAAAGGCAAGAAAAAAAAGGTTCTTTCTAGGGTACTTGTCCTATGTATTTAATTGAAGAAATGGTACCTTAGAAACTTTAAATTACTTTATGGATTATTTTTAAGAGGATATTCAAGTACTACATTCTGATGCCACTACATTATTTAGATTTCAATGATATCATCTGTTTAGGACCCAACCCAAAGAAAAGAAGCAAATTTTCGTATCATGATGCCGGTGTGAGGTTCTCTAAAGCAGTGCCTTATATTGGACAAATTATTCTTTCATAATGAATGCTGTCTTTGCTTAACCTTTTCCTTACATGAACATGATAGTTTATCTTTCATCTGTGCCCATTTGTTGCTTTCAGTTTAGGAGAGATCTTATTCTAGTGTGCGCACTGGTTTCCACCATCCTTTTGATTTGAGCAAACGAAGGAAAGTTCCATTGGTACCTACTACTACGATAATTGTCTTATCAGTTCAAATCATTAGGGCTTTGTGTGAGGGATCTGTCCAATCGTCTTGTCTTTTTTTATCGCATAATCTGCTGACAAACATTGGGATCAATGGGAAAATCACAAAAAAAAGTCATAAACCTACTGCAATTATGTCAATTCAGTCATAAACCTTTTTTTTTTGCCAATTCAGTCATAAACATATTACAATTATATCAATTCAGTCCATTCGTTCAACTTTAGCCGGCTAACCCTAATGAGGATAATTTTTAATAATATTTTTTTTTCAAATTCTTTTATTATACTTTTCTCTCTTTTTTTCCTCCTTCGTCCTCCAACTAGTCACATTCAAAAGATAAATTATTATTAAAAATTGTCCACGTTAGCGCGGTCTAGACGAAATTTGCACAATTATGATAGATTTAGGACTTTTTTGGTAATCCCACGACGTAGTTGTACGCTCAAGTGATGGCTCGTTGCTAGAGCTATCAAAATAGGTTACAAACCAATATATTAATCCACGTATAATGAAGTGGGGTTATATATGGGTCACTTTGAATTCAAAATATGGGTCAATATAGGTTTCAAAGATAAAAGCCCAAAATAAATGGGTTGAAAGTGGGTTACGCTTGCCGCCTGGGGCGCGGCGGCTCCTCCTGCGCCCACCCCAGCGGAGTTTTCTATAAATACATCGATTCATCTTTCGTTGCCCAAATCTCGTTGTTCTTTTACTGAGTTACTTATACTTTTAAAAATGAGTTACTTATACGGAATTGGGCTAATTAAATATGAGTCACAAAATGGTTATGGCTAGTCCTAAGTCCTTAAAAAAACTCTTTTTTTTTGTCGGAAACCTTAAAAAAGTGTTCCAATTTATAGGTTTTTTACGTTTTAGTTTTGTTTACTATTTTTTTTATTGTTTAATTTGTTTTTTAATTTACTGTGAAGTTTTTTGTTTAATTAACATATACATGTGTGAAGAGCTTAAAATGGATTAAATGGGTGAGTATATATTTTCCTAGAATATGAATGTGTTCTGGTAATATGGGTCGGGTCGGAGGGGGGTACGGGCCATTAAATTTACATTGCATTGGGAAAACGGGTCGGAACGGGTTAAATGGGTCAATATGGATCGGACCGTTTTCGACCCGACTTGAACCCGATCCGATCCGCGCATTTGACGGTCCTGCTCGTTGCCTACGTGGGCGATTTCGCATCACGAAAATTTTCAAACCCCAAATGGAAATGAAAGCTTGGCCTCCATCCGGCGAACACAAGGGAAGGAAGGGGAAAATCGGTTGGGGACATCGCCCGTTGACCTAAGACCATCGCCCGTTGACCTAAGACCAGTCCAAAACCGATGGCCATCAAGAGCATCGTCACCGCCCCTAGTTTCGTCGTTTGAAACCGGTATATATCAATTCCATTCCATAGCCCACGAAGCATCTCGCCATACAAATTTGGCTTTTGTACTTTGGTGGTGGTGCTGCTGCTGCTGGTGTTGCATTTGTCAAATATTTTGGAGAGAAACCATGTGTTACGAGGCGAGGTGCTCCGGCTGCGGGAAGACCACCTGGGGCGGCTGCGGGAGACACGTGGCGTCCGTCTACAAGCGGGTCCCCGAGGACCGGCGCTGCCTCTGCCGCGAGTGGCCCGGCGTCAAGGCCGGCGATCAGCCCTCCTCGGCCGGCGGCGGGGGCGACGAGGGGAGCTCCACTTGCGCCATACTATGATGATCTCCTCGAATTCATTTGACGTCGTGTGTAACAATAAGGAATAGGGTTCTCTTGTATCAGATCTCACGGAACCCCAAGAATGAAATGATGCTGATTTGCGAGATCGATCTCTCTCTCTCTCTCTCTCTCTCTCTCTCTGAGTCTCGATACAGAATTTCTGAACAAGCTTCCTATTAGATGCTGAGTTTGCTGCGGCGGCCACCGTACCCGGTGGTACACATTGACTCCGGCGACCGGTGGCCGTCTCCGTTGCGACCGTCCCACCGTGGGAGAGGGAGAGGGAGAGATTTGGCTATTGCAAAATTTGACACTTAGAGGTTGCCTCGATATGAAATTTTTCTCCAGTTGGGCCTCTCCCCAAAAGGGATTGTTTGCGTTGACCTTTTGTGAATTTGGGCTTTTTTTGCATCAATTTTAATAAAACTTGAGGACCATTTAGAGAAAATCGCCAATAATAATTGAAAAATTATAATGTAAAAGTTAATAATATAATTAAAAGGCTCGTGCTCTTTCGCCAGTTGGTAAGGAAACAACGTGCAAGGGCAATTTTCCACTTATTTTAACAGAAAAAAAAATAATTGGTTAGGGCCATGAAACTCGTTTTTCTTAATTTTTGGTTCCTCTTTTGTTCCGCTTTTGCCTCTCTCAAATAGGCTTTACGAACCAATCTTCGCTCAACCCACCTTCTCATCTCTTCCCTAATTTTTTTCTCGGTAAAAAACCGACCAATCATCCGCCATGAATCGCATCCCACTTTGTCGTGATGTGTGCATCAATCTCGTTTTTAATTGATTAGCTATGCCACGTCGTCATCATTGTCACGTGACATATATATGTCACGTGAAGTGCTTTCTCCAAAAGAATTGGATGTTACAAGGAATTTCAAACTCTCGAGCATATATCGCCGTAGTGTTTGGCATAGCAGCAGAAGGCTAATTCCCGAGTGATTTTGAGGGCTCTCGATCACCCGCTCGAATTCCCCAATTATTTCACGGTCCTAGGAAGCCTTAATTCGTTTTCGACGTACGTGCCCGTCTGTTGCCACACAAGATGACCGGGCCTCGGTCTCACTAGCATCGTGGTGGGGAGGCTGTGACGGGCTCGCGCGTAACGACGGGGAACGATCAAGGGCGCAGAATCGAGCTCACTCCCACTTGGAATTCTATGTAATTAGGAGCATCCGATCCAGTGGGCAAAACTTTGAATTTCAATATGGACAACAGCACCTCGAGAAAAGGAGATGAGAAAAGAACAAAACGAGAAGAAATAGGTAAGTTGGGCAAACCTTCTACACCGTTCTTCTGGCACCAAAAAGACAGCACCAGACACCAATTCCTTACATTAAAGACCCAACGACCGTCCACCACGTTGCGGATGTGACTACACACTCTCAATTCAGTGTTGAGTCGTACTTCGTGTCAGATTCACGTCGGACAGAATGGTAACCCGTGTGAAATCCGATTCTATAAGCGGAATGATTGATTCTCTCTCTATAAATCCACGTTTGGCGCAGAAATTTTTTTTAAAAAAAAATCCCGAACTTATTATATTGTTATCAATTTAATTATAAATATTTTGATTTGGACAATTGCGTTCTCAACTTTTGACGTTTTGTCAGTTGAGTCCATCTAATCAATTTTGGCAAAAAATCGCTGAGGTAATCCCCAACCGTCTAACGTGATACAGCTGGTATTGACATGGATATTTCTTAATAATATTTTTTGATTTTTTAAATTAATTTTTGACTTTTCTTTTTCTTTTTTTATTTTTTTTACACCTCTAGCCGTCACCAATAAGGGCTGGACGAGGTCTAGGCGAGGGTTCGAGGCAAGGGTGTCAAGCCCTCACCCAAATTTGGCGAGGGTGTCAACCTCGTTGCTCTTGCTAAATCCAAGCGAGGGCCACAATACCTCATTGGCCACAAGCAAGGGAGGGGCTCACAGCCCTCGCCTGGACCATGACGCAAGGGCATCAGCCTTGGATTCGATATGGGCCTCGCCTGTGGTTAGCTATGGTCGGCCAATGACCTCGTCATTCAAAGGTGTAACAAAAAGAAAAGAATTTTTTTAAAAAATAATAAAATATTATTAAAAATTGTCCTTGTTAGCGTTACACCACGTAGGCGATTAGCGTTCACATCATCAATTTCTAGACCAAAGTTTGGCCGGATGGATTCAATTGACAAAAAATAAAAATATTTATGGTTCAATTGACAAAATTAAAAATGTTTAATACTAAAGATCCAATAACTTTGGGACCTCTCGGACAATTTCACCCTTTTATCTTGTTTGTCCTGTCCTGAATACGATAGAAAGCATCAGTGATTCAGCCAACAACGAAAACATCGCAGCGTTTGATTCAGCAAACTGTGTTTTTTCTGCTATACGCGTACATCACCTCGAAAAACAATCTCTCTCTCTCGCGCAAAATGTTTCATCGAAAACGTTTCTTTAAACCCGAAAACGAGCTGACAGTGAATGACATGGAGCCAAATATGGACATCAACAAACCCCGAACCACTACTCAGGACATTTACATAGACCAAAACCTCCTGATCTTGATCCCAGCAGGCCAAAAAAACAAAAAAAAAACAGACGAAAATGTCAAAATTAATCCACGAAAAGGGTGTCAAAGAAGTCCCAGATAGATTCTCGTGCTGCATCGACAGATACACAACCGAGCTGATCTCTACGTTATGTCTTGCAAAATCTGGTCTGAGGAGAAGAGAGAGCTTACGAATGAAAGAACTTTGGACAAGATTAGATCAGGCAGAGGCTCGGAGGAAGGGCGGCGGAGGAGCGGAGGGGGGTGCGAAGGGGAGGCTGCGGAGGATGAGGAAGCGGACCCTCCGCGGGAGCGGCGCGGCGCGGAACAGATGCTGGAGCGCCCTCGCCAGCACCGCCGTGTACGCCGCCATCAGCTCCGCCACGATCGCCACCAGTATCATTCCCTCTCTCTCTCTCTCGCTCGCTCGCGCCCACCAATCGCCACTTCAACTGCAACCACCGATCCAAGTGGATAACGCTGGGGGGAATTTGCGAGCCGTGGAGGATGATGGGGGGTTTTTATGAGGTTTTTGGTATTATGCGGTACGTGCCACGGTGCGAAATTAAATATTAGGGAGCCAAACATGTCATGTTTTTTATATTTTGAATTGGGAAAATTGCGAATAAGGGTATCGAGCAAGGCTGCTTTCTCAAAAGAAGACTCAAAAGGTGGATTCATCGGCTGGCCAAATCTTCACTGGCCGGCTTACCCGTGCGGCTCACGTGCTTATCTCGGCGACCTGGAGCAGGGGCAAAGCTTATGCGAAAGCTTCCGCCTCGACCTAATTCGACGTGCTGGGTCGGAAAAGACATCTTAGGTAAGTGGGTTCCTACTCTTATCTGAGATTAAGTTGGTCTGTCTCAGCCTCTTGTTTTTCTTATTTTGGTCGTCGGTTTGTCCCACTCCTCCCATTTGTTTTGTTGGGTAATTAGTCACTACTAGCGTGGGACCCTCTATTTGGACTTTCGATGTTGTGTAAAATAAATGAAAGCTGCCCGACCCTAGCGTTGTCCACATCCTTCCCCTTCCTTATCCACTCTTCCTTAAATTTTAATCAGGTTTTTCATTTCTTTTTGTCCTCTCTCTTTGCTTTAAAGATCCACCGTGCGTTATGTTGATTCAGGATTGCCACGTCATGCGGGTCGGATTTGGGTTGGGCAAAGTCCCGGGTTTGAATATGTTCGGTTTAGCGACTTTGCTTACTTCACATGGACCGTGCCAAAACTTCATGTCGTGATCATATCATGCGACTGGGACCTTCAGGATCTTATTTGTAGCATCTTCAAAGTATGAAGTACCATTTTGTAGCGATAGATGAAATCTGGTTAATCGTTAAACATGAGACCATGTGCACTTGTATAAGCTTTGACGTGGGTCGAGTGCTTCGGACCGACGGGTAACATTACATGGGTCGGTGGCTCCTGAATGGCGGGACACGTCGTTGACGTCCCACGGGTCTTCTTCGAACGAAATCTCCACCTTTACCGTACAAATTGGAGGGGATAGCTTTGTAACCACGGTCCTAGAATCAAATGCTTTATGGCCCCGTGAAACCATTGGGCCAAACCTATCATGACCAAACCTCCACCTATAATCGTTTAAGATTTTATGAATCCTCTATTTACCTATGGTCTCTATTACCTGTGTTCATCTCACTTGATTGAACCTATAGGATTGTCTGCATCTAGAGAAAATCCTACAATTGCCGAACAGCTAAATGTTGCTCCCAACTTCATAGCTAGAGCCCGTGCTCCTAAGCTTCACTTGAAACTTGATGCATGCAGCACTTAACCATACCCAAAGGACAAAAAAAAAGTAAAGATTGATCCAAATAAAGCTCACTTACCTAACAATACATAAAATCTGTTGTCTCACTGAATCCAGAAGCCCACACTAAAGAAGGCTTCTCTGCCAGATACAGGGAAATATCTTACAGCGAAGTGAACACAACACACAGAAAGATCTACATCGTCCTCCAGTTTAGAAAGCTATACGCGTACCCTATTTACTATATGTAGAGATGGGATGGAGAACGGCTTCCCTATTTACTATATGTAGAGATGGGATGGAGAACGGCTTCCTCTACGCAACGTCCACTTTGACGGATCTCTGTAGCCCGGAGAAAACTATGGCCAGGAATATGACGAGAGAGATGCCGACTGCGAAAAGTATAAATGAACCCGAACCATCGCGTGCTGAAGGTCTTTCCAGAGACGCCGAAGCCACTGGATGACCGCAAGATTCCCCACCTGGTTTCGACCCCAACGTTAAGTTTGTACACGGCTCTTCAACAATTTCTGTCGTCTTGTCATGCGCAGGAAGTTGGCTGTCTCTCCCTGGTTCATCGTCATCAGAAGCATTGTCCGTTTCATCTTTGACCTGAAAAGAAGATTACCAGCCTCAGAAAATTATCCATGTTTGTAGACAGGACCTTAAAACTAATGTGCTGATCGATTTACCTTCGTAGGAGCAGATTGTACTTCTCCATCGTAGCTTAACGATCTAACTTCACCATCCCTAGTTGACCCAGATTGACTGTTCATCTGCAGCCGGATTCTTCTGGGAGCAGTACCTTGGACTATGGAATTCTCTGAGCTTGGTTGATGTCGAGGTTGACGAGTCCTAATCTTGATATTGGTTCCAACAGTCATATTGTCACTGTGGTTAACAGCACTCTCCTTAGCAGTTGATTGAACTTCTTCTTCTCCGTCATAGCCAGTACCTCTCATTTCCTCGTCACCTCCTCTTCTCTTTACGCTTCTTGGTAATTGATTGGCTGGATCCACCTGCAGACGAATCCTTCTCGGAGCATTACCCTGTGCTGGATAATCACTTGAATATAGTGGGACTTGGGAGTCACGTGTCCGGATCTTGATCGCAGGTCGACCACTGTTGTTGAAAGATTCACCAGTTGATTCTATGGTATTATTTGAAGCAACAGCTCCGGATGATCCCAACGAAGTTGCCAGATTCCTCTCGTCAACAAGACTATCATTCCATCTATCATCTTTGACCTCTAGGAGTGCCTGTATAGATGACAGGGAAGACAAGATGTTGGAATTTGACCCGATATAATCTTAACTGCCTATCAAACCTTTGCTCAATATAAAAAAGCGAAACTGGTGGAACCAGAACTTTGTTGTAGTCAATTTAGCAACATAATTCGCAAATTAAGGAAGAAGGTAGTCATATTCTATCGATGCTAGGAATGGAGAAGATAACTTTGTGAAAAAACCTGTATACATGCAGCAAGCCCTTTAATATCTATAGTATCTAGTCATTGTAATGTCCCATTATCGAGTTTGAAATTCTGCACAAGGTCATTAATGGAATAGCTTCACTCTTCCACAATCATGTCGAAGCTAAGCTATTGTCCACTAGTCATACCTGGGACAAGTAAGCATCAGGCACGAATCCAGCCTCGCTTCCCAGAACTGAATTCTTCTGACTGGTGGACTCTTCACAGGAGTCGACATTATTATTGAAGACCTCAGGAAACAGATCTGAGAGTGAGATGTCCTGCTCACTCGTACCATCCTGGAAATGCAGTCTGTCAAGCTCATTGCCAAAATCACAGGCAAAAGGAGAACCCATGAAAAGAGCTTGCTCTGTTTGAAGCTGTGTCTGCTCAGGGGAGAAAACTTTGCAATCAGCTAGATCGCAAGGAAGATCATAGAATTTGGGGTCACTTTCGAGCAATGGATGTACCTACATGGAATGGAAAAAATTAATATAGTAATCTCTATAGATATCTTGACAGCAGCTATAAGTCAACAAGCAAAGTCCATTGAAGGTAGGACCAAGGATTTAATAACTCCAGAATCGTTTTGGTGGGAAAAAACAACTACTATTCCGTGGACAAAGCAAATTTTTACCTCCAAAGGTGTTCCGTCAGTGTTACCATCTTCCACATCAGAGGCAATGTAACTATTGCAGCAGCTCTCAACAGGCATTTGAGCATTAGGAGTCATTTTGTCCAACTTATCAGTCAACCACCGCTGGATTCCGTCTGATTGTAATTTCACTTGGACATCGGAAACAGGTGTTTCTGGAACCACATCCGACTCATCAGGAGAAGACTTGGCTGTCGGAGATAAGCCAGTTTGTTCAACTTCATCATACTTCACAACTTCAGGCTTCTCCTCTGCCTTCCGGAACAAACGACAGAGGACATATGCAGCCTAGTTCAAGTGGAAAGAGTAAGAACAAGAAATTTAGACATGTAAATATATTCCAGCCTCCATGCATAATCGAAAGCTCATCAATACTCCTCTTCACAGCCAATAAATTCAAAACACCCAAGCCGGTGCTTTTAACAATCTACAAGTAACAGGTCATTAGCATCATTCTACAAATAGCTGCCCCTACATCCTGCAATTTATGATCGAGAAAGTGCCACCATATTCTCATGCTTTGAGTCTCCGTCTTTTACAGGGATCCATGCTGAAACTAACATACAATAAAATATAACACCACATATACAGAATATGCACTCAAAGTTAGTGCCCAGATTCATCAGTATAATACAACAACGAGCATAAAAAGCAATGTCTTCGCATACCTGGCCAGGTCCAGTCCCATCAAGATCCTTCTCGGTAGCGCGGTACTCGTGCATAATCCAGTAAGTTCTCTCACCCTTGGGCGCACGACCCCTGTAGAAGACCAGGGTCTTCTTCATCCCAATCAAATTGGCAGCAGCACCACCCGATTTGCGAGACTTGATGGTCCGGTCCTTGCCCGTGGCTTTCCAGTACCCAGCATCCGTGGCCCGATTCGACCTATGCCCATTCGGGTACTTCCTGTCCCGGGGGCAAAAGAAGAACCACTCCGGATCATCCGTTTTTATCACCGACAGACCTACAACAGCACACATAAGCAGATTCCACGTCAAAACCCATAATCCAAGAATCACTTCATCTCATCAATTAAATAAACCGATTCCGGCGACAGCAACAGAAGCTCAACCCAAAGAAGAAAAGAACTTGAATTTCACTCCTTTTCCCCCTCCCACAAGGGGTTTTTCCACAGGGGAATCTAGTTGACTGGGGGAATAAAGGCAACTCGGCATCATCATCCGTCAGAGCACCCAAAATATTCAGACATTCGCTCGCCTCTTACCCTATATATCCACGCGCTGACGCTTCTAATAATCCAAGAAAACCGATGATTCGGAACCTCAGAATCAAAACAAAAGAGAACAAGAAACAAAAAGGGCGTGCGCAGTTCCGAAGAGAGAGAGAGAGAGTAACTAACCGGGCAAGTCCCAGGGCTCCCACTTGCAGACGTCGATCTCGGGGATGACCTGCACCTCCGCGTGGCGGCCGTTGATCTTCAGCCTCAGGTAGTGGCTGATCAGCTCCTCGTCCGTCGGCCTGAACCTGAACCCCAGGGGCAGCGACCCCATCGCCAGCGCTCCCATTTCGCGACCCGGGGGAAAGCCGCCGGAGAGATCCCTAAAACTTCAATCGACAGCACGGCGCGCGAGCAGCAGCAGCAGCCGCCGCCTCGCGATCGGGAGAAAACGCCGGCGGCAAAAGCGAGCGCAACAGCGAGAGAGAGAGAGAGAGGGAGGGGATCGGGGACGATCGTTGGGGATTCGAATCGATCTCGATGTGATGATCGGCGAAACGGTGGGCGGACGGGGGACCGGCGACGGCGACGGCGATCGGACTGATTTCGGGAGCGTTCTTCGGCTCGCGGCACACCGGGACTGACAGATTCTTCCTCTTCTTCTTCTTCTTCTTCCTCCACACGGAGCAGTGAACAAAGAACGAGAAAATGGGGGAGCAGAGTTCAATAAATAGCCACCATGCGCCCCGCACGTGCGCGCGCGCGTTCGTTCTCCCACGGGCGCGACTGGCCGCGACTGCGGATTTGCCCCCAGTCGCTGCCACGGAACCAATGGGATTTTCCCACGTGGCGGGGCAGTGGGGTCCGGCCGAAACCGCGTCCGGGGGTGGGTGGAGATCGTCGCGCCCCCGGGGGGGGGAGGAGCGCGTGGTTCACGCGCGCGGGTGGTGGTTACGGGGTCCGTCCGAGTCAGGGGTTTCCGGGAAGGAGCCGCGTCGTGGTGTTTGTCCGACCGAACCGGAGCGCGGGACGCGGTTCTTGCCTTTGCTTGCTGGCTAAGTATTCTGGAGGCGCGAGCCGCGACATTCTAACCACGAAATATTAATTATGATTTAGGTTAATAGCACGAAAAATCCCGAACTGATATATTCGTGATAAATTTACACTACATTAATTTTTCGATCACAAAAAAAATCTCCAACCTGATACATCCGTGATCAATTTACGCTATGTTAATTTTCATTAAATTTTACTGTCAAATTGCTGAGTCGAATGTCACGTGGCAGTTAATGCGTGTACCAGTTTAGGGTTTTACCTCTATGCTTGTCACAGATTTACCGATTTGTGATTTTTCATGATATCAATCCAATTTAACGTAGGGTAAGTTTATCGCAAGTGTACCAATTTGAGATTTTTGGTGGTCAAAAAAATTAGTTCGAGATAAATTTGTTATAAATGTACTAATTTAGGATTTTTGGTGATATTGACTTTTATGATTATTATAATTTTCGGCTTCACGAGGAAAAGATCAAAAGGGGCGGTATGAATTCCTTTAATAATTCGAAAAAATATGGACTCAAATAAAAAAAAAATACTTGCCACAAGTTTCCCCCCACCCCAAAAAAAAAAAACAAAAGAACGGGAATTTTCTTGGGGCTAAACATTGGACTTCGCTTTTTTTTTTTCCTTTATTTTCCCCCACGCATTACGTGTGTGGACGAGTCCCCAAAAATCCAACTGCCTGGGCGTTCCTTCTTCATCTGACCATGTCGTTCTTAGGACAAGGCCACGTGACACGTGGCGAATCTTCAACTGGCCCCGGGGATGGCGACTCGTGTGCGTCGCGGGACGGAGTGTTCTCGAGGAGGAGGAGGAGGAGGGGAAAAGAAGGGGCGCATCAAATCAACCAACCTCAGCTTCTCGGGATTTTTGAGGTGGGGTTGGTGGGTGGGTTTTGGTCGTACCCTCATGATTGTGTTTTGTGTCACTGGCACCAACGACTTTAGCCGCCACCTTTGGCAAAAGCCAACATTGGATACCCCAGAAGAAGGAAAAGAGAAAGAGAGTTATTCGCAGTCACGTGGTCGAGAGAGGCCAAAAGGAAGGGGCGGGGGATCTTAGTACAAGCTAGTACTCCAATATCACTCTGAATTCCCCCCCTTGCTTTTTCGAGGATTTCTACTAACGGCTGGCGATGGTCGGAGAGAGAGCGGAAGGGTGAGGGTGATGTGACGGCCTAGGTATGTTGTTATCTCTATTCCTAAACATGCCAACAGTCATAGACGCCATCCCTATTGCTGCGGAACACGTGCGAGGCGGAGCCCGTGCGATCCTATGACTCAGCAAGTTTCGGGCCTCAAATGCGACGGGTGCGCACCCGATTAGATCATGACATATGGGCCTCGCAAAAGCATTCGCGGTCAGAAAGTATACTCTTTGAGTAGAACAAGCTCCGGGAAGCAAGCTCCGCGTGGAAAGCAGAACAAAAAACACTCATCTACTCTGTAAGATCATAAGATAACCAATAATCCCTCGTCACAAGCTCACGTTGTCACTGCTTGATCACGCAGAAATAACTCACCATGAAGCCCCACCACAATGGGAAGCAATGGGTCCTCGTCAAGTAAAAGAAGGAACAGATTTATGGACAATGTAAAAGAATCTATGATCCGCTATTGTGTTCCATCTACTATGTACAGGTACGACCTACAATGCAGGGTGGTACCCGATATTCCCGTTCGCCTCCACCCTTTGCGCCACCCTCCTCATGCTCCACTCATGGCAGAATTCAAGGGCAAGCCGCAGAGCGGTTCCAAGTCCGAGCACGACGATAACACCTGCAGCACATCTATTCAGCATCGTTACGCACCCACACGAGAAACACTAAAGGGAGCCAGAGGATGGATTACCAATGATAATGTTGACAGGAAGCGCTGAAACTCCAAGCGTTACGGATATCAACACATCCAAAAAAAGGCCACCAATGAGGATCGAGAAAGCCACCCAGAGTGGACTGAAACAGCCCTGTTTTAAGGAAAAATCCACAAATTAAAGACCTAATTTATCTTTCCTTGTTAAAATCAGCATCAAGCAACACGTGCCACCATAATTCCTTACCCTCCCACGTTGCTCTGCAACACCAGACCCTCTGTAGTTAGGATCAATCCGCCAGACCCAGAAACTTGGCTGCTACATAAAGAGATTACATGGAGATGAATACATGAGATGCTGTAGATAAACCACCAAAAACCATGAAAGAAAAAGATGTTGATGCTGTTATGTTATGCAAAGCTTATTGTCATGAATGACTCAGTCACCAAAAAGCAGGGACAGTGAGGCACAAGCATGTCATGCAACAAAAGACTAAGATTTATGAATACAAAAACTCAGTGCTTGGAATTTCTCCTAAATTTAAGCTTAGCTACATATTCTGGACCAGAATCCCAAATTCAAAGTTTATATGCTTGGTTTTGCATCACAAGCTATAAATAAGGCCATACTACAGTTAGAGGGCTTATCTTCATGGATAAAAGAAAAACAACAAAAACAAAATGGTAGTGTGCACTTCATACATAAATTGGATATACAAAATACCCACGCTTTCCAAGTTTAGATTTTGCAGCAGCTGTAGGCATGTAGAAGAATCCATATATGAATAAAGTTGTGAAGTCGCACTGAAGAGGCTAAATTATGCATCAGGAAAGTTCGCTTATAATGAGAAAGACAGACTAAATGGCGTCTCAATTAGATAAGCTTCGGAATCCAAGAGAGTACGTACAGTAGAATGGGACTCTGGAGGTGGCACATTTGCAGCAGCCTGCCTGTATTAAAAGGTCAAAAAGACATAAGTGTATCTTTTAGATGCAAATGGAAATGAAGCACTATATAGAGGACCTACTGGCATATTTCGCATTTGTTTGAACCCCTGGTGCGAAACCAAACTTCTATGCATGATCTGTGCGCTTTCGCAATGCCACCTCGACAGTGGCATCCAAGATCTATCAAATCTTCTTCCTTCTCCTCTTGACAGACTCTGCAGAACAATCAATATTAATGAAGGGCATGTATAACGGGTGAAGTAATGTCAGTCCACCCTTCCACATATAAATATGAAATAACATACTATTCAGTTAAAGCCACTTACAATTGTGTGTTAGTGCAAACACACAAACCGAAATGCAAGCTGAAGAAAAAACCCAAATGGAGATGCTATGTTGTGTAACTATGCAGTCAAGGATATTAGATATAAGAAAGTCAAATGGGCTCCTGCAGTCCTGCTGACTGACTATGGATTTCAGAAGGCTGTTAGAGACATTTGAGACCCTGTGATCCTAAAAATTTAACCTTTTGCTTATGTGTAATGGTGAATCAACATACTTCTTCAACAAACCTAGCAAGCTCACTAGAAAGTCTGTCAAGTAGTCAAGCAATGTGAAAACTCGACTCAAAAAGCAAAAGGAGAACCTATATAACAGGATGGTGAAAGCAATTTTACAAGATTCTGTTACCAAGAAACAAACAACCACCAAAAAGTGAGAGACTCTACAGCATAGCTCAAGTGACAGGCAAACAATCACGAGAGACTGCTGCATAGCTCAAGTGACAGGCAAATTATGATCAGATCCTTATGATTTTCAAATAAACTAAAGTTCTTTATTTCAATGACTACAAGGCAGATGCAGAAATCCTCAACAGTTTAAGCAGATATATACTGCAGAAGAATCTAAAAGATATTTTTATACCTACTAAAGTATTCTACAGGGACGTTGTACAGAGAGATGTTACGTTCATTCGTGTCAGGACAACATGTCTAATCAGCTCAGTGTGCTGGCAATGATTGCATTATATCCCACCGCATCAAGCTAGATTTCTTCCCAAAGAGGAGAAAGCTATGTTTGTCCTTGTGGTGAAACAGATTGATAAGTTTATACAAGTCAAAGAGAGAGGCATATGAACATGTATGGCATTGTTTACTTGCGCAGGAACATTTGTACCGGTATACTAGTTAAACAGTATATCATCAGAACATACCCGGTTCTCTTGAGCTGACCTCTTTAACTACATTACAGAGACATCATCTCTCTCTCTCTCTCTCTCTCTCTCTCTCTCTCTCTCTCTCTCTCAATCTGTGTCTGTTTTTTTGAGTGCACACGTGTGTCAAAGATTAAAAAACATGCAGCGAGATATAAATCTAAGGCCATTGTTGTGATTTAGATCTAAATAGTTAGCATACTCAAAGAAAGCAATTGCAGAAGCATGCCAGCAATATCAAACAAATTCGATCAAATCAGCCATCACCTGCAGAAGAAACAGGGTTCACTACCAAGTATGCTGACCAGAAGAATGCTTCATGCTCATTTCCAACGCAATCAATGGCATAAAACAAGTCCAGCATACCTGCATTGTTCATGAGAGCTCCCACTCCTCGAAAAGTAACCCTTTTTAGGGGAACCCACCGAAGGAAGCTCTTCAACAACACACTCTACTGCCTTCGAATCCTTCACAGCAGGCTCTGGAGGCACACACGACTCGCCGCTGGACACCACGATAGTCAATTGCGTCGCATGATTCACGCCAGCAGCCAAACCATCCATCGCGGCAGCACCGCCGCTCTCCCGAGCCAAAACCACCGCTCCACCTTGTTTCTCGACATCCATTTCATCCCCAGAGGGCTTGTCAGCCAAGCCCACATCAGCGGTGGATCCATTGCCATGCATATCGCGATGAGGTCAAGGCGCTCAGCAAAGCTCGAAAATGGCAATCCCAACACGGCCTCGGCACCTCCCAAAACTCAGGCTCACCGCACAATGCACCCCACCAAAAATTTCCAAGACCTAAACTCAAAACCACTCGAAATCGCCTAGCGGAAACAAGAATTCGACAACCTCATCAACGGCATTCGAACAATCACCAGGCCCAGCAGCTCAAAGAAGCCCGAAAACAATCACCCAGATCGGTCACAGAGATCGCACATCAGGCAAACCTCCCAAGAACCCAAGAAAATCGAAACGAGGACCTTAATCGCCACCCAATACGTCGCAAGACGGGAAAAACAAGAACACCCACGAACGAAAAACCTCGGGCGAAGAGAAAAAGATCAAACCGGAGAGGCACGAGGGACCGCCAGGCTCCTCCCAACGAGCCCGCCCATCGATTTCTGCCGACCCAACAACGCAGAATTCGTTTCGTTTCGTTTCTTCTCCAGAAAAATTTATCGTTTTCTTGGGGGGGGGTTTTATCGTTGTTGTTGGCGGTGCCAGTGAGTGACGTGACGCAACGCCGCAAATGGGTTGAGCTCTCTCTCTCTCTCTCTCTCGCTCGCCCGCTCGCTCGGTCGTGTTTGGTTTTCTTGATTTTGTGCTGGAAATGCAGTTAAGCAGTTGCTACAAAACAAGACGTTAAACCCACGCTGGTGCGCTGACAACGACAGTGCATTCGGGTGACGATCGAAGACCTTGTCGTAAAACGCGACGTGGCGAGGCCCCATTGCAAGTTCGATCAATGCGTGCGCACAACAAAATTGATTGGGTCACGCAAGTTTAGTAGGATGGATGGTTGACATAGGATTTTTCGAGATAAGGAATAAGCAAAACTACGGCAAAAATCCAAGCGACTCTTCGTTAAATTCGAACGTCCTTTTCTTTAGATTATAGTAGGAACTGGACTTGGATGGTGGTGGACCGACGGCTTGCTGAGCCCGCTTGATTTTTGCCCGAGCTAAAGGCACCCGTAGCACAATTTCAAGGTGCTTGATCGTGCAATTTCCTTTTTGGTTTCGAGCATCTAACACATAAACTTGCTTCAGCCCACTCAGGTTAGGTCCTTTTTATGTAAAAAAAAATTTTCAAATTTTTTGAATTATGGATAGATCTAACGTCAACAGCGACATTTAGACTTTGACATCTAGCCCATTTATGGATTAGGGCCGGTAAGAAGTTCGTATGATATTCGTGCGACCAAAGGCAAATTGAGAGGAGGATTATTGGTGGTAGAGTTTCTGACTACTCGATGTGTTCTAAAAATTTAACTTTGTGAGAAAAATATTTAGTATAAGTTATAATCTTGCCCTTCTTGACTCGTCTCATCTCCCTCCGTTGACCTAAATTTTACATTTATCACTATGTGTGGCCAATACATTACAGTGTCCTCTGTTGACCCAAACGATCACATCACATCAATTGAATCAAGATTGATGAGTTGCATGTATGAATTTGTCACTCGTGAGTCCTATGACTAGTAATTCTATTTACTAGCAAAAGATTATTCAACTATTAAAATCAGATCACTAATGATCGTAATACTATATCGATAATTTATACTTAACAGTTTATACAAAAAAGAAGAAGCAAGAATGATAATATTTTTAATTTCTAACAATAATTGAACTATAATTGAATAAGAAACTATCCGAATATTACGATAAGTACAAATCAATTGAAATTCTATAGTTATCTTCCTATAAATTAGATAGTTGTACCATAATCATAGTTTAATTATGATATTTTGGGCATTTATAATTGCAATAGTAGATTGTACATTAGTAAACACTAATTAAATTATAGTGACATGATCACTGACCTTAGCCTATGTACTTATTCTCTATTTTTAATTTCTGTTTTTAAACACTTCACTTTCTTTGAGGAGGAGGAGGAGGCGAACAGTCAATGCTGCAGTGCTTCAACCTATTAATATATGTGTGAGTTTTATAATGGCATAGCAGGTCAGCCATTGTTGAATGAGACAGTTGAAGAAGGTTGGAACGTTTGAATCACTTCCTTTTTCTCTAACCTCTTTTTCCCTCCCACCCTACAACGATGGCGAACCACCACCGCCGTCTTCATCTTCATGAACTCTTCTACCCAACGCCATCTGTAACTTGGAGGATTCAGCAATGTCAAGGTCCAACTATGTCGACGATGTAGATGTCGCGGTCCAAACAACCACACCGTCTTAGCTTAACGTATCTAATGATACGGATAAGTACTAGTATAGAAACTATGTATCATTCCATCCTAATGGCGTGGCGGTCGGGTCCTATCTTTTAGCCATAGCTTCTACTTTCAACTTCAAATATTTTAGCATTCAACATTTTTTATTGGGCATAAAAGGGTTGATTGAGAATTGAAATCGACTTGTAAAAGGTAAGGGAGTGATTCTAGGTTCGGTCTAGTATCTACCTAAAATCTATCTGTCGGAACCTATTAAATCTACTCTGCATATTTTGGAACCTGTAATCTACTTTGTCATAGATTACGGGGTCTACTCAAGTTTCACCTGTATTCTTAATTGAATGATTATAGTTAATCATCACTTGTAATGACTACCATTTGTTTCTACAATTTACTGAGCACAGCTCATATTTAGACATACAGAGAATTTGAAACTTTAACAAAGTAAGTCTCGGTCATGGATATCACAGGAAATGGAAACTCATACTAGTAGTTTTAGATTATATACTCATTATCGGACACTATAGATTACCACAAGGTTGCACGAAGACATGAAACAAGAAAAATAAAAAAAGATTTGTTCCAGGTTCTAGGGGCCCGTCGGAACCGGTTCTTAAATTTTTTTAACCTGGAACCTACTCTGCATACCCTAGAGCCTGGAACCGGAACAATTCTCTAGTTTTTGGTTCTACCCTGAAAACAATGCTCACCTCTTGTAAAAGCTGGCAAGAAGCTACTCAATCCTGGATTTGGACCATGGTGGACGATGAATGGTGCTTGTCTTCAGGTGAAGAAATCACGTGTGGAGCTTTGTCAAGGGCCACTTGGGCCATCGTGGGTTTCGGTCTTTAGACATAGCACGAGTTTAGCCCGGTTTGAAACATTTGTCCCCAAGTAGTGTGAAGGCTTTGGCCACACACATTGAGTTTGAGGCCTAACCCGGACCGGTCCAATTAGGCTTGATTTATTTTAATATACTAAGTTTCCAATACCCATCGATTTATTAATTCATAAAAATGAGTATTGTAACCGATTACGCAAAAACTTAAGCTATTAGAGAAAAACGTCGATAGTATATATCGATGTTATAGTCATTGCCTAAGCTTGCCCATGGCAAACTAAACGAGCTCCGTGTTCTAATTTTCACATTTTGTAATTGTTAATGCATGTCTCGTATGGTTCACATACAATATTCATCTTGGCCTTTTAAACACGTAGTTTCCGTCCATCTAATGGTATTAAGGTTTTGGATAAGACCCGTTAACAGTAACTATGCAGGTGTAATTTTTTTTTTCCAGGAAGCAAGGTTTGGGCTATCATGTTGGATTAAGGTATCCACCTCCCGAGATGGGATGATTCGGTTAACTTTCACTTCCAACCTTCCATCTGTCACCTCGGTATAAGATATTTATGACGAAGCAAAACGGTCCTAGGTGTTCATTTACTCACAAGGAGTCTGGGACAATGAAACAGATCAATCTCTATTCCTTCCTCAAAAGTTAAAATTTTGCAAAGCAAAAGAACTTGGAGCTCACAAAAGCATCCATAGAAGCTAAAACCCCACCTCAAGCAAAACCCTTTTCTTTATTCACATCAGGACTGGTGTATGAAAAAATTCCTTGCATTGCCATTCAAGCAAGACTCCCTTTATTCCAATACACAAAGTTCACTCCTCATTCCCTCTTAAAATCCCAACTCATTCACATCCATCCCAGACCAACCCCATCTTGCATTTCCCTCCAAACACCCTCTTCTCTCATTGCTTCCCCGAAACCCAAAATGCCTCTAGAGGAAGAGAAGCCGAAGAAGCTTGACCACGAGGTCCGGGACATGGTCTCGGCGATCGTGGGCCGGATCTCCAACCTCCAAAGGCCGGGCTCGAGCCAGACGTCCGAGGAGGACGACGACCGCGGCGTGAGGATAGTCACGCTGGCGGGGAACAACGTTGGCGCCACCCTGAAGAGCGAGATGGATGAGAAATCGAGCGGTCCTGATGAGGAGCTCGACGCAATGAGCACGTACGTGAACAGCAACTTCCAAGCCGTGAACAACTCGATCATGATGGGTGGGAGCTACACGACCAACGACCCTGGCGTGCATTTGGATGTGTCTGACTTTGTTGAGCACCGTGAGAAGGACCATCGTAAGCCAGGGAAGCATGGCAAGAAGGAGAAGATGAAGAAGAAGAAGGACCAGGAAAGTGGGAAGAGTGACCAGCAAACTGAGCATTCTGAATGAGCACACTCAAGTTCGTTTGTTTCTCTGGACACCCTTAAAATCACAAAAAAAGGGAAAAAAAGAAGAAACACAGCTCAGTGAAAGAGATTGCTGATAATAATCGTTGTCTCTCTGCACATGTTCCTCTGCTGAATTGCTAGTTGATGCTGTTTTCTGTGCCGAATAAGCTTTCATGTAACCGTGCCCGTGCTTTGTTTTGAAGTTACCATGTTTTTTCCAGTGGAGTGTAGAATCATTTCCATGTTCCTGACTCAATTGCTGTACTCTTCTCTGCATTTTCAAGTGGTTTGTGCTGAAATTTTTTTCTTGAAAGTTGGGTGGAAGAGAGTCCTTGTCTGATGCAAAACTTAGGATTGCATCTATCCTTGGGACTTTGGCCATTGGCGGTCATAGCTTAGCCATGGACTGAGTGAAGTAAATGCCCTGTTAGTTGTAGGGACACATAATGCTCATCTTAAGCAATCAAAAACCAGAACACCGTCTTTTCTTATAGCTAAAGGTGCTGATCTTGCATCATTTTCCATTCTAGGAAAGGCCTTCATTTCGTTTATCTGGAAATCGACTCAGTCTCCTATGCTTTCATGTTATTGATTCGGAAATTCTTAAGGTTGAAAAGATAATGATTGCCCTTCCACTAGGCCGAAAACTACTGCGCGGACCCTGTTGATCCAGATGTGCGTTGGGGGTTTGATAATGCCATATTAAGGTTAATGCCCTCGCCCCTTCTCTCGATCGATCACCTCCTACAATCCATCCCATGCTATCAATAGTCCCTTAACAAAACTTTTTGAGATGTCAGCTTTCCAGACAGATGAAGAGCTGCAGCAGTAGTCAGATTGCTGAATTAACTTATCCAAAGAGAAAAGAAGATTGCCCAACTAGAATCAACACTAAAGAAGCTGTAGAATCTGGCAGATTATCTCGGTAAAATTAGACCAATGAGCCTAAGAAAGAAAAAGGCAAAAGAAAGCGATTAAATTAGGGTACTATTACTCTCATTAATGCATAACTTTTACGCTCTCTATGAATCCATAATGAACAGAATTACGCTCTTCCCGTGATTCACTCAATCATGTGTGCAGGATTATGCTGAACAGTGGGTACCAAATGAGGTGCTCTTGTACTGTATTATGTATTTCAGAAGACAAAGTGACGGACTGTGCTTTGCACAAAGCAACCATATGCACCCTCCACCCAAGTAGGAATGGAGGGGTCAGATTCGAGGGGGCAGAGAAATGGGGCTACAGACTCTGGGACCATAAACAGAAGCAACAAACTAGGTACTCTGTGACTCGCACGACACTGTAATGACCTGTAACTTCGGCTCCTGCTCCTTGATCTCTTCAGCTTCCTGCACTACTTTCATGATACGATCCTTTAACTCTTTGTTCTTGCCCCACAGAAGAATGTACAAGCCGATGATGACAATGACTGACCCAAGCAAGCTGCACGACAACCGCAGCAGAAGAAAAGGCTTAGCAAAATACAGATTCTAAACACATCACATCAATTTTGGTATTGTCAATATTCACCTCCCAATATGGAGCTGCTCATGCAGAATGGGGATATCAAACATTGCCGCCATTATTTGGACGAGGGGGCTGAATGCTGCAGTGAAGACGGGACCCCGTTTCTTGACGCACCACGACATCCCAACATAGCACAAACCCGAACCTACCATACCCTAGATACAGAAATACAACACAATCATATAATCAAAGAATACTTTGTTTCTTCATCAGTCAAAATAGAATTTACTCATCCAGAATTATGTTCTCCAGACCATTATCACTAAATATGGCAGGTCCAACTTGATCCTTTAGATTCTTGGATTGCCTTAATAATGTTATGGCATCTCTCTCCCTCAGATGTGATAATTTCGAGGATTGAACATGAAACATTTGTCAGGTTGGGTTAAAGATGGATCCTATTGAGGGCCACTTGAACAGAACTACCGGAAGAAGTTGAATCAAATAGAGGATTGGCCTCACGATTGGAGAGCTCTTGCACCTGTAAATTCCTGCTATTTACTACTGTATATACATATTACACTGTAAAGCACTGAACTTGAACTATCCTCTCTCAATTTCATGCATCTAGTCATCAACAGCATCCAATTCCTAGAGTCCCGGGGAGATTGAATGTAATGCAACAGCATAAATTTCTTGCGGTTCGGTTTTATCCCCAAAAGAGGTCATACTTACAGCGAAGAGAACGGTGAATACTTCAGTTCTTCCTCTCAAGACCCAAATAGAGAGGCTCCTGGATGTGACGAAGCTCAAAGCGGCCGACTGAATGGAGCCAAAGGAGCACATAATCGCTGTGCTCGAGTACTGGCAAGGATATCTCTTGCCTATCTTGGACTGGAGAAGAAACCAAAGAGACCAGAGCAATGTTCCAAGAACCAAGCAAATCAAGCCGATTGTCCAATTCTGTGTCTTATTAGCTGAACTGAGCTTGGTGGCATGATCATGCATCGAAATAACAGCTTGTGAATGTGAAGTGTTGAAAAAAGGCCTTCCTCGATAAAGAGTCAACATCAAAGCCCCACCAACGCACACTAATGTACCGACTATTTTGGCTCTTCCGCTGCTGCTCTTCATGTCCACCGTCTCTAACCTGCGGTACCAACATGACAGACCTATCACTTGTTTTCCTAGATCACATACTCAAAGTTCTAAGTTTCTAGCCATCGGTCTAATATACCTAAAAGGTAAGGCCATGATGAATGTGACAACAGGAACAATGTTAATGAACGCGCACGAGAAAGTCGCGGACGTGTATTGAATACCGAGGAGGAAGAAGTATTGTGTGAGTGATGCCCTGCAAGAGAGATCAAATTTTGATTAAGTACTTTCTATAATATATGCGACTCATTTCTTTGAGATAGGAGCAGATATTTGAAAAAGGAATATCGGAGTTGAGGTGACTAACCCTACAATGGCGCTGAAAAAGAGATAACATAAGATGCTGATTGTGAGCTTTGGTCTGGTACTCCTACAAATGAGAATGCTGTTAGTTTACCATACCGGACATAGAACTGGTATGAAAAGCACAGATACAGAAGACACACAATGAAAAAGCAGACTTATTGTAACCGATTTCGTGGATATTGCACAACTCATGAAACTCTACATGACATCAAGATTTAACTGTGGGTGACAGCTAAATTGGCCTAGGCACTGAGTCGCATTGAAGCTAGACAACTAAGCCTTATATAAGCCATATAGGCAAACCCAGCATCCTCATCTCACTCTCCATAGAGCTCTCTATAATAAAGTTCCGACTAAGATAAGTGTACCTTTCCAAAAAGTAACCGATTGGAGACAAGAAAATGGCTGAAATTCCTAGCCGATATGTGATAAGGACCAAATGATCAATACCCTCTTCAAGCACTTTCTTAAGCAGAATATTCACAACTGCAAAGGCTAAGTCGATTGCCAGCATCACAAAGAAAGGCTTCCACTCGTCGCAGCTCCTCCCTATTGCCATTCAAATTCAACACTCTAGGAGGCACTGGCAGGCCTCCTCTCTCTCTCTCTCTCTCTCTCTCTCTCTCTCTCTCTCTCTCTCTCTCAGGTGCAAAAGAGATTACTCTCATGGCCAGTCCTTACACCCCAGAACGCTTGCTTTTGTAGCTCCGAGGGTGCTCTCTCTCCTCCGGAATAAGTGGGGACAAAGCAAGATTAAATTCTTCAGATCACATCAGTGATTTAAGCAACCAATTTTGGCATTAGTTTAAGAGTTATTCTCTCTTCTTTTCTTGCTTCCTTTTGACTGATCCTTCCCAACACGGAGAGATTGTCTGGGAATCTTTTACAAACTTGCAACACAAACAGTGCAGCGATTGACATTGCAGTGATCATCAGTTGAGAAATCCCCAAAAAAGCAGATTTTGAGCACGAGCCTCCAATTACACATCATCTTCTTTTAGGATGCAAAATCACCCGTTCGAGAACTTTTGCTATATTTAACCAAGAAGCATCTTTAAGTGGAATTGTACTATAAACGGATCCTCTCCCCTCTATACTTAGCATCTAATTCCCCCATTCATTAGAGCTGACTGATCAGCATTTCATTTCCCAACGTGGAGCATGAAGAGCACTTATGCCGGATCTTAGGGAAAAAATGCTGGCCAAATCAATGAGCGGAAATCATCGTAATCAAATCTGACAAAGATGCTCCTTTTCTTCTTTTTGCAATCTCCTTCACTTTACTATTGATGCATGTCTCAGAAGATAGAATGCAGGTTCATTTGACTCTCTGTTGGCTCCTTACTGTCTGCGTCGGCCCGCGGCTTTCTCTTATATTGTTACTTTTTCAGTCCCGTATTTTTCCGAAGTTGACCATATCATAGATTACATGAAACAAATCATTTGAATTTTGACCTTTAACTTTCTCATGTTCCGCATAATTGTGGAAACTTTACTATGCGGAGTGATGGCAACCGGTACCACGCCACAAGATGAAGATGATACCAGATTTTGCTCTGATCATCATCTGTGGCTGGTTCACGAATTATTGATATGGTCTCTCGTGGCTTTCGTTGGGTGTGAGAAGAGAAAGTACCATGCAGACTTAATTCACTTAAGATGTGACACAAACAAGCAGATCAAAGTGCGAAAACCACCTGAATAGCTTATCCTTTTCTTGTCTGAATATTCAACAGAAGTTTCACTGGTTCTTGGTGCACTAATGGCTCGGATTGAAAGAAGTCTAACACAAAACATTTTCCCCGAATAAGCCGACCCAGGACGTTTCAATGAATGAGTATGCTTTTATGCTAAATCGAAAAGTGGCACGCCAACTGTCTCTGTCTTTAGCTTTTCTGGGTAAAGTGTTGTTTCTCATCACATTTAGTCGCATCGTGTCTTTAGTACTCAAATTCTATTACTCAAGTACAAGACATGGGCCAAATGGCGACTCCGTGGGATGACCAGGACCAATCGTCATGAAAAAGCTTTAAGCATCTATGCAAACACATCCCATCTATCTGGCAATGTCATAAGCCCCTGAAGGGAATCATATCCTGGGGCACACCCACTGTCTTCCCACACGTAGCTCGAAAAGTAATCATGTAGGCCGGTTCGTGCCCTCGATCGAATTGCGCAAACCAATTGACTACCCTCTCTAGTTGTGGTGGGTTCGTAAAGAGATAGCGAAACTCATAGGTATGAATAGAAACACATCAAGACATTGTCTTAAAGATGGCGATTCTCTCGGATGTACACATAATCCGAAAATGCAATCGGCTGCTTTTCAAGATCCCCATCCGCAACTCCACTCGGTACAATGCCTAGACTCTAGTCTCCCACTCTCTGCATGGCAAGAGGGCGACAGACCGAATTGAATATATCTGAGTAGCCATCGAATAGCAAAGACAACAGATAAACACAGCTGAGGCCACGTGAGGGCATTGTTCCACGATAATGAAGGGAATACAGACTTTGCTTTGGACCCAATTCGACTGGATGTATCATGTACTGTGCGTGCAGGGATTGCAGGCCTTGTTGTTGTCTTGCCACATGCCACTTGCAGTATAATTCTTACCCATCTTTTGCCTTTTAAGATAGTCTGGCTTAGATGCTCAAGTATATGATCCTTTTGCGACGTGATGACTGATGACAACTCAACAATAGAAATCATGGGCGGCTTTTGAAATTATTCATCGTAGGGAAAACTTGATTTTTGATTATTTTAGTAAAATAAGGTATTGATAAAACATCATATTTGTAGGCTTTTGTCAATAAAAACTATTTTCATCGTTTTAGAATTGTCTGTCTTTTAGTTTCCAATGAAAATATTTACTGTTGACTTAGCTATATAATTTTTTCAAGAAATTTAATGGGGGTGAAATTTTTTTCTCTTTAGGCCAAAATAACATAGCATAAGTTGGAGAGGCGAGAGCCTACCACTCTTTGGTGTACGTTTGTTTGTCGAGAATCAAATGGATACCCCAACTAAAATATATACTCTATTATTATTATTATTATTATTATTATAAGAATACATACACCACTCACACATAAACACGCCACCTTATTTGTGGACTCCAAACGTAGGAGACTCTTTCTTCTCAACTCTCACGACACAAGGAGCAAGTCTTCCTATTTACAGGATGCAAAACTTTCCATAGCATTTCACTACGAGTATCTCCTGTACTAAATATTAAGCAAGTTGGACTGATTTTTCTAAAGAAATGTAGATGGCGGCTAAGGAGAAAACTCTGAAAAGGTGGATTCTAGTGAATGGGAGAGAGAGAGAGAGAGAGATGGTGCTACTTTTTTAAACTTTGCAGCTCCAAGTACTTTAGTGAAGATATTTGCAACTTTGACCACTTGTTTTGGCCTACTTCATCTTTATCTCGCGAGTAATAATTTTTCCCGCGGGAAGTGATGATGTGCTTCTGCATGCTTAGTCCTTGCGTGGAACACAGGATTTCCTGCTAAGCTATATGGCTGATAGATTGTTACACTATAGCTGTGTCGAGTACTCTACTGATTGATGAAGATCCTCAATCAACTACCAGCCCCGTACTCTCTTGTGTTGCCTTGTTGCTGCCTTATACTCGGCTTATTTTGTAGACAATGACATAGTTGGTTGTCTTTTGCTACACCGTGACATCACTGCTGATCCGAGACTAAACATGTACCCCATAGTTGATTGTCTTGGGTCACGACCTCTAGCAAAGTCGGCATCGCAATGCCCTACCACCTCACACACTGCTTCTTTCTTATACAAGAGCCCGAGATCAAATGTACCATTTACATAACTTAGTACGCGTCTGACTACATCTAAGTGAGGCTTTCATAGTCTCTCCATATCAGGCTGTGTTATGATTAGGTAGATAAGACTACCCACTTGTTGCCTGTACATAGTTGATTCTTATAATTCTCCTCCTCCTTATCGACCTTACTACGTAGATGATTAGGAATGAATGCATAGCATGCACATCCAAACAATCTAAATTGACTTATTGTGGGTTTGCAATTCCATAACTATGCGCGGAAATATGTAGGAATGGTGATAAATAAGGAGTATGTAGAGATTTGAACTTAGGGTTTTTTGGTTTGGGATAAATCTCGTGGTGTGTTTCTTTTAATGAAATAACTTTATGCAAATTAGTTTTTCAGACATCATGCGTTTGGTTCAATGAAAATGGTGAGTCAATAGAAAAACGTTTACATCAAAAGAAACACTCGCACTTAAAATTAGAAAATTGAATTCTTGAGTTTAAATAAAGGAAATCATTTTTTAAGTATAATAAGTCTCTTAACAAGGCTCAGATTGTACACATGATTTGAGATGATAAAACACACTGGCTTATAGAATACAAGACTTATCATCTTGAATGAGATTCAAACACCCGAAAATGTTTTCAATCATACCTTTTGCTATACCACAAAACAAAAGAAAACTAGCTATTTTTCTTTAGGGAAAATACCACAAAAAACCCCAAATTATGCCACTTGTGACAAATTTACCTTGAACTTTTTTTTGCGACACGAAAAACCCCAAACTATGCCATTTGTGACACATTTACCTCACAATACTTTCCCAAGGGCATTTTCGTCTTTTTTCTTTTTCTGTTTTTTTTTTCCTTTTTTTTCTTTCTTCTTGCTTCTCTCCGCTAGCCATGGTGGAGGGAAGCAGGCGAGGGTGGCCCTCGCCAAATCTGGCGACCTCGCCCGACTCAGGCGAGGACTGCCCTTGCCAGCATTGGGTGAGGGCCGCCCTCGCCGGCTTCCCTCTGCCATGGCCGGCGGAGGGAAAAGAGAAGAAAGAAAAAAAAAAGGAAAAAGACGAAAATTCCATTGGGCAAAAGTATTGTGGATTAAATGTGTCACAAGTGGCATAGTTTGAAGTTTTTCGTGTCACAAAAAAAAGTTCAGGGTAAATTTGTCACAAGTGGCAGAGTTTGAGATTTTTGGTGGTGTTTTCCCTTATTACTTTAAAATAATTTCCACAAAAAGCATTTTTCTATTGTCATGAAGTTTTTCGCGAAACAAACACAAACCATTGCTAACTATTTTAAAAGTTTAAGTTGTTAGATGAATGCGTGATATGATATTTAAATATTATAATAGAACCCATTAGCAGAGTTCAGGAAAAACTTTCTTCGGTTTGACAACGAAAGTGAAATCGATACATCTCATCGAGTTTCCATTCGACACATTTTCGAGCCAAATCAAAGCAACACGTTAAAGACCCATTTCTATACCTTTTAATTGTGAGCAAATTGGCTTAGCTTATTGTGTTTTCATGGAAATTTTGCTTTGATAGGATGGTGTTTTGTATTAGGGGGCAAATATCTCTGGACAGCTCAAAGTAGAATGCTAAGGGTCTGTTTGGCAACTTGCCAAATAGTGATTGATTCTGTTCTTTTGTTCTCAAAATCTGTTTGGGAACAGAAATCCGTTTGTTAAATTTTTTGTGCTCGGGCACAATTTTGCAAAAAATTATGCCCAGAATCAGTTTTGGAACAGAATTAAGAATAAAAAAAAAGTAGCTTATTGATTCTGGAACAATTTTTTCAGAACTGATTCTTCTTGGTTTTTTTCTTTTTGTTGTTGTTGTTGTTCTTCGGCCCCGCCATCCGCCGACGACCGGCCACAGGCCAAGGCCAGCGACGGCGTTGCGGCCCTCGCTGCTTGGGTGAGGGCGGCTCACGGCCTCGCCCAGCCTAGGCGAGGTCGAGCCTCGCCCAGATCTGGCGAGGCCGACCTCACCGTCGCCACCAGCAAGGGCGTCGGCGCCTCGCCGCCCGCCGCGCCCTCGGCCCAGCTAGCTGGGCGGGCGGTCGCCGGCCGGCGCCGCGGCCAGCCGGCCATGGCCAAGAAAGGAAGGGGAAAGAAAGAAAAAAAAAAAGAGAAAAAAAAAGAAATAAATATTAAAAAATTCAAAATATTATTAACAAAAAGAAATTTTGTGTAGTTACCAAACGCATTTCTGTTCTTTTTCTATTCTGAGAATAAAAATTTTGGGTAGTTACCAAACGCCTTCAAATGCTTAGAAATTGTTTCCGGGCACAGAATCAAAATGAATCATTTCTGTCCAGAATCAGATTCTGGGTACAGAATGGTTGCCATGCGCAGCCTAAGCTTCTCAATTGATCAACGGCCGGCTATCATTAGGGCCCAATTCATTTTCAGGCCGGGCCTAGGATGGGCCTTTCTCGGGTCGGTCCAGACCCGGCCCACCGATCGAATCCGATAAACCCTCACAAACCCCACGAGACTAATCCCAGAGCTCCAGAAAGAGAGAGAGAGAGAGAGTGCAGAAATTTCTTGGCAAGAGCCGCTCGCCTCCGATCTCCGGCGTCAACACCGACCGGTTGCAGCATCGGAGAAGAAGGGGCACGGCACGCAGTGTGAGTCTCAGCTGAACCCTTATCATCGTCTCGTTCGTTCATGCGCAAGTCCCCGTGTTTTCTCATTTGGAAGAGAAGATTTCTTGAGAACTAGAAAGAAGCTTTGTTTTCCAATTTCTGGTTGCGACCCACTGCCCGACACGCGTATTCACGCGTGCTCTTTCGATAATTTGAAATGGAGAATGGGAATTAGGAACTTTTGCGAAGTGGGTTCGGCTTCGGGGGTGTCGGTAGCTTAGGAATTGGGATGGGCACTCGTGTTTTCAGCTGTGATACACTAAATTAGTTTATCTATGCAATAGGTTTGAGCCATCGATTGCAATGGCGATTGAGCACCAGCAGAAGAGGAAGGACAAGAAGAGAAAGCATGGTAAGGAGGGTTCGGAGGCTCCGGCTTCGAAGAAGGCGAAGCCGGTGAGCTCAAAGTCCGTGCCCAAGGGTGTAGTAGATAAATCGAGGCTGCAGAAGCAACGGAAACAATCGAATTATAAGAAATCGGATGCTGGGAACGAGAAGAAGCAGCCCATGACGAAGAAAGAGGGTCGCTTGCATGCCAAGGTGAGCGATACAAATTCATATACTTCGCCTATATTGGAAGTATAAGATGGAGTAGGTATGCAATTAAGGACTTGTTTTTATTAGCTTTTTCCAATCTTGGGTTACTCAAGTTTGTGGGGACTATGGTTTGTGCAGGAACTGGCAGAGGCTAGGAAGCAGAAAAGGAAAAGGCATTACACTCTTGAACAGGTAATAGAATAGTATGCTCTCTCTCTCTCTCATAGAGTATGTTTATGAATAGTTAGGGGATATTGGAGGCTGAGTGCGTTTTACACAAGTAACAAGGAGACTAAATGGTGGGGTCTTATTGTTTGCATAATTGATACTAATGGCCAATTTTGATAAAAAGTTGGTGCCTGAATTTTCTTTTCTTTTCCTTTTGGATTGTGTCATCCGTACGAGTCCTAAACACAAAAGACAAACTCTTTTCTTGAGAAGCTTTTGTTTAACTTAAGCTTCCCATATTCTGATTCCCTTAATTCTATATTGACTTGTGACTAGATGCACAGTGACAATGTTCTTTTTCATTTTTCCGGCTCCCTTAAAATTCTCGTTGTGTTTTACTTTGTAATTAGTGAAGATTTCACTCTGGTTTATGGTAAGCATGAGAGTGCTGAACGAAACATCTGGGTGTTACGTTTTTCTCTAATCTGAATAAAGTTGGCATTAGCTGAATCATGTCATATTCTCAGGAGCTTGCGCATCTTTGGGAAAAGATGAGACAACATGACATTGCCAAGGAGGACAGATCACGGTATGTAGATTTTTAAGTGTGGATTGTATGGTTGTTATATGTTTCTCACTGTACTGACTTCTTAGCATGTCGTCGCCAGGTTGGTTACTGAAGCTCTGAAAAAGATGAAGGGTAAAATCTCTGAAATTGCTAGCTCCCATGTTTCATCTCGCGTTTTGCAGGTATAACTTTTTCTTTGCCATTCTCCTCCGACACTCAAATATATGTGCTTCAATGTCGTCTCCTGATTTCTATACCCTACCCAGACTTGCATCAAGTACTGTTCTCAAGCAGAAAGGGACGAAGTATTTGGGGAGCTTCAGCCACATCTTCTCAACCTTACATGCAGTACTTATGCAGTTCATCTGGTCAAGAAATTGTTAGATAGCGGTATGCCTTAGACTGGAACTGAAAGTAGTTTCTAAGAGGAGCATTTGGTTGTTTTTTTTTTTTCCCTAGCTTTTCGAGCTTTTGAGCAGTGTGCTCGATATGGATATTTTACCTTTCCACTCTGTTGCAGCCTCAAAAAAGCAGCTGGCTGCTTTTATCTCCTCAATCCATGGGCACGTTGCGTCTCATCTGCGTCACATGGTTGGATCCGTTGGTATGAATTTATTGCTTAGCCCATTTTTCTATCTTGTTTAGATTTATTTCCAGTGCCTATACATGTAAGAATATAACCAGAGGTCCAGAAGTGCATTGGGCGTGCTTGTGCTATACTAGTTCGGAGTTTAAAGAGTGTCGATTAACAGGAAACCTTGATTTTGTTTCTGAATGAGAAACGTCACAGATCACTCTAGATTTTCTAGGAGTCAGGCTTAGCTTATTCCGCAGTGTTTAGGTTGTCATAAACATCTGCTTGAAGAAGGATAGCTACATAATACTTTAGGATATTTTGTTGTCATTACTTGTTGTATCAGCCCAAGCCCTTTGAATAATTTCAAGGACATACAAACCATTATTCCTAGTTTAGCACTGGCTTGTTTATCTTTTGAGGGGTAATCATCTGAGAGAAACTCTTTGTGCAGTAATTGAGCATGTGTACCAATTGGCAAATGCGACTCAAAAACAAGAACTCCTGATGGAATTATACTCTACAGAGCTGCAGCTGTTTAAGGACCTTGTATCTACGAAAGAAAGCAGGTGAATGATTTACACTTTTTCTATAATCAGATCCTTCTAATGAGAAACAGTAATAACCATGTTAATCCTTATTAGTTATAGTAAACCACACCAGGAAGGCTGTTAATCTGTGACATCTATCTCATGTGTTCATGTCATCTCTGGCCGTTGTTTTCACATTTTCAGTTAAAACTTTTGGTCGCAAATAATTACAGTTAACCCCTTTTCTACTTTAATTGTTATCCACTTGTATCAGTTGGTGAAATAATTGTTTTGATCTTTCCTTTTCCCTTTCAATGACATTGAGGAAATATCAACTTACAGAACATTTCCACAATTTATATTTTCAAGTTCTCATATGTTTTTTTTTTCCTCTTGATTGGTTTAATATAGAGATTTGGTTGTCAACAATAGGAAACAGTTGACAAGTTTTTCCTTTCTTTGATATCCTTAGAGGAAGGTGAAGCTTCTGTGCCATCTTAATTATTTTCTAAAGAATCTGGTGCAATGGCATTTGCATATGAAGAACACTGGATGAATTTGGTAAATATCGAGATTTGTCACATTTGGGAAGATCCCTGCAAGTCCTTATCTGCATCATTGTTTTAGGAAGCCTGGCATGTATATCATGAGTTATCACCTCTCTCTCTTTATGATCTTCGTTTGAAAATTTTGTTAGTCTTTAACTGAGTTAGTTGTTCTGGGAGGGCCTGATCAATTGTAGTCTCGAATGCATGTTTATCAGGTTATTGGATGTCATTTCAAAGCTTGGCCTGCAGAAATCCTCAGTTTTAAGACACATGAGTTCAGTTATTCAACCAATTCTAGAGAAAGGGATCGTTGATCACTCAATTATCCACAGAATGTTAATGGAGTACTTTAGCATAGCTGACAAGGTAATTTGGGCGAGTCTTGATATGCAGTATATCCTATAGAGGAGATCTTTCCTAATTTTTTTTTGTGTGGCTTTGACTTCTGATTGATTTATCTTCATTTGAAGTCTTCTGCCAGAGATTTACTCCAACAATTATCAGGTCCTCTTCTTGTCCGAATGATCCATACTAGAGATGGATCCCAAATTGGAATGTTGTGCATCAAACATGGGAGTGCTAAGGTTACTTGCTTTTGTTAGAACAGCTTTATTTTTGTCATAGATTAGCATTATGTCTTCTTGGCTTTTGCTTGTTCATTGACATTGAATTTCGAATACAATTGGTTGTATAGTTGTTCTTGATACCCTTTCTACATGTAGGAAAGAAAGAAAATCATCAAGGGAATGAAAGGTCATATTGGCAAGATAGCTAATGATCAATGTGGAAGTTTGGTAAGGCTGAACTTTAGTTTTCTTGCTCATCAATTGCTTTATTTTTATGAATACCACTAAATTAAAGAGTACCCACTTGCCTCTGTGATTGTAGATACACTGATAAAATGCTTTGTAATTCATTGCATGTTTTCTTCTTAGGTACTTGTTTGCATTGTTTCAGTTGTGGATGATACTAAGCTTGTAACAAAGGTTGGTATGATTCTATATGGTGGTCGCAGGGAGTTTCTGTCTTTACTTCAATATGGCATTGACTTCAGTTGATTTCATGTACCCTGATTACAGATGATCATGCGTGAGCTTCAAACGATTCTGAAGGAGCTGGTTCTAGATAAGGTTCGACCATCTTTTGTTTTGACTGTATAATGCTGGTAATTGAAAAATATGCTGAGGTGTCAAATGTCAATAAGTTTTATCTGAAGAGTGTTTCATTTACATTTTCCTCTCACAGACAGAAGCTCAATCATCTAGTATACTGTAATTTGTGATTAAACCAAATCCTTGTCTTGTTCTTCATAAGGTTTTTATTCAATGTTGGTGTATCCTGTCAATGATTTGGTGGTTGAATAAATATGAGTTGCCCTTTCAGTGATATGTTCAATGATTTTTCTTGTGATGCTCATATTGAATTGGCATGCTTCATTTTGCAGAATGGAAGGCGTCCATTCTTACAGCTACTTCATCCAAATTGTGCACGCTATCTCAGTCCCAGTGATTTCGCTTCTTTAAATTCATCAATTCCTTCTCTTTGCAGCAAGGTAAATTTTCCATTGTTACGGAAAGTTCAAAGTGAGACTACTATGTTGTTAAAGGTTTTAGCAAATCTTCTCTCTTTTGTTTTCCTTTTGCTTTTAGGATGCATCGGAAGCCGATTCCATAGCAGAATTAGGAGATGTTAATGAGAAAGCTGACACGGAAATGGCAGTGGCGAAGGAGCACGATGAAGATGGAAGTCCTGATGAGGTTGATCACACGATTAATGGTGGCAAAAAAGATCCATTAATAAGGAGACGAGAATTGTTGGTGAATAGTGGGCTTGCAGAGGTTTTTTCCTTTCCTACATCAATAAATGATATTTCACTAGTCTCTTTCCATTTTCTTGTATTGTTGCAAGTTCATCAGTGCTTTTCCATTCTTCATTATGTATTGAGAGGTCTATTTTTTCGATAAACGATAATATGAATTTAGCCCAAAGATGACTGACTATCGGCCAGTCTCCCTGCACCAAATGGAAATGGGAACTAAAAGTGCACTGATCCATATGTAGTATGACCGGGATGCATCATTGAAGTGAAATGTTTTGGCAGAATTTTGCAAGCCTTTCCAAAATGGCGTGTTGTTTTATAGTGTGGCTATAGTACACTTGTGGCAAACTACTATGCTATTTCAACATAGGACTTCCCTGTTGTGTAAAGACCAAAAGGTATTTGTAAAAGATAGTAAAAATATCTCTTGTAATGTGGTGAAGTGCTTGGTAATTTTTCTGAGAAGTTGCTTGAGGGCACAAGCTTATGGTGCTTGGTAACAAAATCTTTCAGTGATAATAATGCCCAAATAGCAAAAATACCATGTTGTGCAATCCCCAAAAACGATCACTGGATTTGCCATGTTATTTATTCAAGGTTTTGACTACTTTCATGTTAGTCTGTGATGTTTGTACCTGAACTCTTTAGATATGATGATTGGCTGTTCTTTGTGAGCAATAATCTTCTATTTACTGTGTAACCTTGCAGGGTCTTGTTGATGTGTGCATTGAAAATGTGGGAGAGTTAATTGCTTCAAATTTCGGGAAAGAAGTCATCTATGAGGTAGTAATTACCATTGAACAGTTTGAATTATCTAATTTGTGTGAACTATTCTGGAAAATAATCTGCTACTTCACTTCTGTTCTCTCCTCTTTATATCATAAAATGGCTGCATCTACGTGAGGTGATTATCCATAGTTATCAGCTAAGATAATTTCTTAGTGACCAACGTCTTATAGATTCTCGACCAATTCAATTTATTGCATCACATTCCTTTCTCCTATGCATGCAGGTGGCAACTGGGGGAGCCGATGGGATCCTCCATCCAACTCTGGATGACAAAATAAACTCATTGCATGAAGCAATAGCAGCTCTCGTGGCCCAGCCCAAATCTGAAGACACTGAAGAAGAGCACGTCCTCGAAAATTTCCATTCCAGTCGAACAATCAGAAAGCTGGTCATGGACTGCCCTTCTTTTGCTGTCACACTGTGGAAAAAGGCGCTGAAGGGGAAATGCAGAACATGGGCTCAAGGCCACAGGTGAGGGTTTTGTGCAATTATAAAATGCAGCGAGTTGTAGTAACTTCTCTACCTGAACTGGGTTTTTGATTACTCCCATATATGCTGTTTGCTGTGTGACTGCAGCTCTAAGGTGATTACAGCATTCTTGGAGTCGTCGGACTCAAAGGTCTGTCAATTGGCGAAAGAAGAGCTGCAGCCCTTGATCGACGAAGCAATCATCAAGCAGCCCGAAGCGAAAACCGTCAAACAATGAAAGATTGAAGTCCGAAGATCAAGAAAGGAGCGGCGTTGTGAAGCCCGCGTAACTGTAAGCTAACGCACATCAACAATTAAGGCCTGAGAATTGGGAGACGTACTCTGAAGCCCGCGTCTTCAAATGCTAGTCCATTGGCGACGAAATATTAAGATGACTCGATGATTTTGCTGCTCTGGTGGTGCACTCTTAATAAAAAAGGAGTCCTAGTACGACTCGATGGTTTTCGGGAGAACAAGTAGTCCGAAGCAGAGATGGAAATTTTGTATCAAGGGTTCTGCTAATCTCAGAATCAGATGCTTGTTATACCATCTAGATTTTGCCAAATCTTAGAGTAATATGAGGACTTGATAGAGTTATACAGCTTGAATTGGAAGTTCTGAGGAGTTTCTCTTCCTTGACCTTTGACTTTAATGTTTTTCCCCTTGAGGATACCACTTAATGGGGTGAGACTTTTTTCTCATGATAGTGCATATGAGAAAGAAATGAAAAGGGTAATCTCATGCGATTCTTTTGAAGGGAAAAGTATTTTGAGGGGACACAAATTGGGAAAAATAATAATGTAGTTGTCATGGATCAGCATGAGAATTTTCTAATTTTTATCTTTTCTTCTTGATTGGCCACGAGTTTTTTAGCACCGTAATTGATTCTTCACTCAAAATGACAGCACTCGATTCCTCAATGAAGGCTGTCACCACCGTTTGATCTCACCTGAAGTGGCGATAGTGGCGGCAGCCGCGGCCACGGCCGCCCTTTTTCCCATCTTTCATTTTGTTAGTCGCCTTTTCTCTTTTCTCGACATTTTCTCCTAATTAAACCTTTCGATTCACAACTACTATGCATTCACCGAGTAAGAAAATGTTTTCATTTCGAAAATATTGACTTTACATAACACATGAAAGAAAATGAATAACTTTCTATGGCACCGCAAACCAATCCATCCATGATAGATAAGGAAAAAGGTATTTTTACTTTTTCAAAAGTTATTATCTTATTAATGATATGTGAAAATCGATTTATCGATATTGATATATTATATAAAGTTTTAAATGTTTCGAAATTAAAAAAAAATTCAAAATGCATACACGGAAAAATTAAATTAATCAATCCAAGGGAGCAGCTATTGTGATCGTCCACTGCAGATTGACAGTGCAAACTGTCCACAAATCCTTTTTGAGGAAACTGGTAGACCATATTGAACCGGCTTCAATTTTTGGCTCTATGTTTCCTTTCTTTCTTTTTGACTTCTATGTTTCCATATTGCAAGCTCAAATTTAGAGCCAAAATAAGAAGAGAGCCCACAAAATCAATTTTCTTGAATATGAAAAAAGAAAAATTAAATTAAATACCGAAATATAAATAATTACAAATAGAATTATCACTTACTAAAAAAAAATGTTAATGTCATTATAAAGATTTACTAAATTTAAAAGATGATAAAATAGTTGCAACATTGACTTTGCAACTAATAACGAAATCATTGTGCAATGAAGTGGCTCCTCATTCCTTTCGCTCAAATCAAATTGCTCAACAAGGACTCTCCAGTGAACTAAAATTAAGATCAACGATATCGATCATGCAAAAAACCAATGAAGTAAAGAAAAGATTGAAATAAGAATACTGAATCGTTAGAGAAAAAAAAATCAAGCATTAATATATAATACCTCTTACTTTCTTGCAAATAAAGAAGCGGAGATTAACGAGCCTTTCTCCATGATTATGACTTATTCGATTACATTCCTAATTTTTCGAGTTATTAACTTCTTTTGATTTGGAAACATATCCGCATAATCTTTTTCTTTTGGTCGGAGGATAATTATCTATTTTTTTAAAAAAGTTGTAACCGAGCTCTTCATGTATTGCATTGGGCGTCTCGGGGACGCCAAGGTAGCTCCCCTGAAACGCGACGGCAACTTCTCCTCCCTATAAGTACTCTCCAACTCCCCGCACGTCCTCTTCTCCCTCTCTGTTTCTCTCTCAATATCCATCTCTCTCTCTTTCTCTCTCTCTCTCTCTCTCTACACGTTCACTGAGGTTGACGACCCACCAGGTGCGTTCTCTCTCTCTTTCTCTAGTTTGCAATGAACTCGTCGCTGATGACACCCTCGCTGCTGTCCGAGCTCGCTCTGCCGTATCGTGAACCGGGTGTGGATGAGCTCGGTGTTACGTAGCACGTTCACGACAGTGCAGGACGGACGCGAGGCGTTAAAGAAGTGGTTTACCCTGAAGGGTCTCTCTGCTTTCTTTGCGCTGTAATTCGGCTTGACCTTGTGTTGCCTGGTATTGCCTAGAAAGTGATTACCCTTGAACGTTAACACATTCACGGCAATGTACGAGTTTTAAAGTACTCTTTTTTATTTATTTATTCTTGTTGTGTGCATTGCTGTTGTAGTTGAATCCTGATCGTGAATGTCGCTCTAGAGTGATCCGAAGTTACTCGGGTTTGACTCTTTGTGTCGTTGTGCCATGTGGTTCAACGCTTCGTGATCGGTAATTGTATCTTGCTTCTGTTTCTGATCGTAACCAATGTTTTGTTGCCAGAATTTTTCTGGAGAATCGCGGGAGATGATGTCTAGTCCGACCAGCCGTAAGCGCTTGATCACTCTTTGAAGTTCCAAGCTGTTTAGTTTTTCTTTCTGCACATTACCCTGCGGCGCCTTGCCATACAAGCAACATTCCGCGTTTTTCGCATCCTTAAAGTAGAAAAATTTACTACTCGAAATCCTTTTTGCAGCTCTTGGGAATCCGACTAGTAGCGCCTTTGGGCCACAATCCGCATTTGGGCAGGCTAATAATGCAAATAACAGTCCTTCTGTGGGTGGTAGTGGTACAACACCTTTTGGCTCACCAACAGGTGGCTCTGTATATGGGGGAACTTCAACAGGAGTTTCTGCGGGTGCTTCTTCTCAAACTCCTTCGCTCATGTCTTCCGGAGCTCCCTTTGGTGATTCTTCATCATCAGCTTTTGTTGGTAAGACAACTTCTATCATTTTTGTTCCCTTTTTTGCATTCGGGCAGGCTAATAATGCAACTAGCAATCCTTTTGTGGGTGGTACAACACCTTTTGGCTCACAACCAGGTGGCCCTGTATTTGGGGGAACTTCAACAGGAGTTTTCAGGGGTGGTTTTCTTCAAGCTCCTTCGATCTTCTCTGCTGGAGCTGCCTTTGGTAATTCTTCATCACCAGTTTTTGTTGGTAAGATAACTTCTATCATTTTTGTTCCCTTTTTTGCATTCGGGCAGGCTAATAATGCAAATAACAATCCTTTTGTGGGTGGTACAACACCTTTTGGCTCACAACCAGGTGGCCCTGTATATGGGGGAACTTCAACAGGAGTTTTCAGGGGTGCTTCTTCTCAAACTCCTTCGCTCATGTCTTCCGGAGCTCCCTTTGGTGATTCTTCATCATCAGCTTTTGTTGGTAAGACAACTTCTATCATTTTTGTTCCCTTTTTAGCATTCGGCCAGGCTAATAATGCAACTAACAATCCTTTTGTGGGTGGTACAACACCTTTTGGCTCACCAACAGGTGGCTCTGTATATGGGGGAACTTCAACAGGAGTTTCTGGGGGTGGTTCTTCTCAAACTCCTTCACTCATGTCTTCCGGAGCTCCCTTTGGTGATTCTTCATCATCAGCTTTTGTTGGTAAGACAACTTCTGTCATTTTTGTTCCCTTTTTAGCATAGGGCAGGCCAATAATGCAACTAACAATCCCTTTGTGGGTGGTACAACACCTTTTGGCTCACCAACAGGTGGCTCTGTATATGGGGGAACTTCAACAGGAGTTTCCAGGGGTGGTTTTCCTCAAACTCATTCACTCATGTCTTCCGGAGCTCCCTTTGGTAATTCTTCATCGTCAGCTTTTGTTGGTAAGACAACTTCTATCATTTTTGTTCCCTTTTTCGCATTTGGGCAGGCTAATAATGGAAATAACAATCCTTTTGTGGGTGGTACAACACCTTTTGGCTCACCAACAGGTGGTTCTGTATATGGGGGAACTTCAACAGGAGTTTTCAGGGGTGCTTTTCCTCAAACTCCTTCGCTCATGTCTTCCAGAGCTGCCTTTAATAATTCTTCATCACCAGCTTTTGGTGGTAAGACAACTTCTATCAATTTTGTTCCCTTTTTTTGCATTCAGGCAGGCTAATAATGCAACTAACAATCCTTTTGTGGGTGGTACATCAACTTTTGGCTCACCAACAGGTGGCTCTGTATATGGGGGAACTTCAACAGGAGTTTTCAGGGGTGCTTTTCCTCAAACTCCTTCGCTCATGTCTTCCAGAGCTGCCTTTGGTAATACTTCAATACCAGTTCTTGTTGGTAAGATAACTTCTATCATTTTTGTTCCCTTTTTTGCATTTGGGCAGGCTAATAATGCAAATAACAATCCTTTTGTGGGTGGTACAACAGATTTTCGCTCACAACCAGGTGGCCCTGTATTTGGGGGAACTTCAACAGGAGTTTTCAGGGGTGGTTTTCTTCAATCTCCTTCGATCTTCTCTGCTGGAGCTGCCTTTGGTAATTCTTCATCACCAGCTTTTGGTGGTAAGACAACTTCTATCATTTTTGTTCCCTTTTTTATTGTTAATCATTTGTTGTATAGTATCGCATTAAGTTTGCTTGGTCATTTGGATTTGATTCAAGAATTGGAAGCTGTCCCAAAATATGTTATCTCTTCATAACTACATTTCTCTAGGATGTTTTATATCCATGATGATTGTCTTCAGCTTGTGTCGCAGTGCTGATTTAATTAGCACTTGGTGACAGATGACTTCTCTGTAATGATCGCTATCGGTTGCCCGGGTGATTTACTTGAAAATCGAGGCCCTAATGGATACTTACACCTTTTTTCCTCCTATTTTCTTAAAAATTTTCTGACTCTATACGCATCACACTTTGGATTCATATAGATTGTAAGTGGACTTTTGAAGGAAGTGGTATGTTTTCTGACTCTATGCACATCACCTTTGGATCTGCCTAATTTCTTACCCTTCACAGAGCGCTTTCCATAAATATAGTTTCAATTTTCGATATTATGCATCAGGCATAATGCTGTCAGATTTGCCTTGTTACAACTTTGTACTTACCTCAATAGTACATTGACTTGATTTGAATGCATCAGTTTTGTTTGGATGTTGTGTGTTTAAAAACTTCATTATTCAACTTCAAGAAAGTAATAATAAGGTAAGAATGTTTAGTATGGGTATTCCTTGATCAAAGATTATGTGCTGCAATATGGTCACTAATTTTAGGAAAATTTCTTGCAATAAGCGACATGTTCTTCTGCTTTTCTTCTTATGTCTGTTCTGGCTCTTTACCAATGTCACGCATCTCTACGTACTATCTATGATGCCATTTATGGGGACTGGAATTCTTTTGCGAACTATTTTAGCCATGCCAGAAGTGATTTACTAGTGTCTCCACTTTAGAAGAACATATATGCTGTTTCACGTACTGAGAATCTCTCTTTCTCCTCTTCTTTATACCGAAAGGATCTTCTCCTTTGGGTCAGAATCCTGCCTTTGGACATTTTGTTTTCACTCCTGCGCAAACAAGTACTTCTGGCACAATTCATCCATCACAGCCTGCATTTAGGAGCCGCATTTTTGGTTCTTCTACACCATTTGGTGCACAAAGTCTGTCATTATTAAGTGCTAGTTCTCCTCCAGGCTTTGGTTGGAGCACCCCCACCTATGGAACTACAAGCACACCGGCATGCGTTACTGACAGTGCCCCATCATTTGGAGCTACAGGCACCCCTGCCTATGGTTCAACCATGAATGCTGCATTTGGAACTAGAGGAATTGCATTTGGTGGAATGCGAGCTCCCGTCTTTTGGTCTGGAGGTGCATTTGGGTCTTCCAGTAATCCAGCTTTTGGGCCATCAGCGACTGCATTTAGGAGCAATCAGTATGGATCAGAATCTCATGGAGCTCATATCGGTGAGATATTCAATTCTACTCTTGTTTTTTGGAGGACTAGATTTTTGTATACTTTGCCTTGATGGAACAAAATTGGTCGAAACCTTCTTATCAACAGTCCCACTCCCGATACTTTCAGTTGCTATGTTTAATGGTAAGTTCCATCTTTTTCACGATTGGTAATGCAGGGCCTCAGGTAGCTACACCGACATTTGGCAATGCCGAGTTTGGAGAGTCCTCTTTTGGACGTCAGCATAGGGGAAGTCGTGTAGCTCCCTTCACTCCGACGACTGAAGCAGAGACTGGAGTGATACCGCTTGCCAAGCTCCAGTCAATTTGCGGTATGACTGTGCCTGTCTACAAATATAAAAGCCACGAGGAACTTAGATGGGAGGACTACCAGTGGGGGGACAAAGGTACTTGGATTGATTATGTGCTACTATGCCTTGTTACCTGCTACTGTTATTTTATTAGTCTTATTTTTTTTTCCAGAAACCTGCGAAATTGATGTTTACCAATTACTTTGTGTCATTCTCAGGTGGACCAAATCACGCTGGTCAGTCTGGTGTTAGTGTTGGCCCCGGTGCATCTCCTGCTATTCCTTGGCCTACTTTTAGTCTGTCATCTCCTTTTTCTTCCACTACAGCTTCCAATGCATTTTCTTCTGCCACACTTCCGCAACCACATCTAACCCATTTCCTTTTACAACATCATCTAATGAGCTTATAATGGCAGCTCCCAATCCTTCTGTTCCAAATCCCTCTAGTAATGCAGGGTTTTGGCCATAACCTAATACTTGCCCTTTTGGCTGTACTTCTTCATTAACTTTTGTTGTTAGATTATCACCTTCTGCATTTGGAACTCGGACATTTTTCAGTTACATTATATGGTTCTATTCCAGTGAGAGTGCTAGAAAGCAAAACTGCTCGATATAATCAGGATTTGCAGTTATACTTTTTATGGACTGAATTGGGTTTTGCTATGCTGCAGATGGTGTTCCCAAAGATGGCCCTTTGGAGGAGCAAACCGACTTTGTCAAGGCCAGCCAGAAACTTAAGGGAGTTCATGATGATTCCTCTCTTCAGAATGATGAGGAATACGTTATTATTAATGGAGCTGGTGAGTCTGCAATTGGGTATGATTGTGGTGCTGGCATCGAGACACTTATGCCGAAGCTCTGTCAGCCCGACTACTACACAGAACCGCACGTCAAAGAATTAGCAGCCAAGGAAAGAGCTGAACCAGGATTTTGCTGTCGAGTCAACGATTTTGTCGTTGGACGACTTGGTTATGGTCACATTAAATTTGTAGGGGAGACCGATGTAAGAAGGCTTGATCTTGAGTCCCTCATTCGCTTCAACAATCGGGAAGTGATTGTGTACATAGATGAGGGCAAGAAACCGCCTATAGGGCAAGGGCTCAATAAGCCAGCTGAGGTGACTCTTCTTAACATTAAGTGCATTGATAAGAAGACAGGAAAGCAGTACATCGAGGGGCCGAAAGTTGAGAAGTACAAGGAGATGCTCAAGAAGGCGGCTGAGGAACAAGGCGCGGAGTTTGTGTCCTATGACCCCATCAAAGGACAGTGGAAGTTCAAGGTTGGCCATTTCAGTTCATATGATCGGACGGGCGAACAAGACTAGGATTCTTTTGATGCCGTTATTTGTTCACTGAAGGAGGCAGATACATGTAGTGGTCCAGAAGGAAAACCTAGTGATTTCACTTGCTGGGTTCTTGTCTTTTGTAGTTATGTGCATAGAGCTGAAAGAAGATAGGTCTCATATGAACTCCTAGGCATCTCGTTTTAATTTCTTTTCCCAGTTAGCTTTGTAGCTTCAAGATACATGTCGCCATGTGCAGTAATAGATTGAAGGAATGAGACTGTCTGCGAGTTTTTGGTAGTTTCTTCTTATTTAAGCTCTCTTGAATGGATTTTATTTCATCTCCAACGTATGTCATACTGAAATTTTTATGGCAATTTTGTAGCAATGCATCGGAGACTGTTATCGTCAAACCTGCTTGAATTGGTTATGATGACAATTGTCGTCATACCAAAAGATCCAGGATTACATTAAATAAATTAAAAGTTCAAAGACCACATTATGCATTGGGTTAAAGTTTATAAATCACATTGAACAAATTAAAAGTTCAGAGACTACAATGCACATTGGGCCAAAGTTCAGGGATTGTTGTTGTCATTTTCCTTGCAAAGATGGTTGTCTGTGTTATACAAACATGTTGTGGTTTATTCAAGTCACGTGCAAGAACTACAATCCTTCTTTCTTTTGCAAGTATTGAAAGCTATTTATTTTTATTAAAGTTTTCTGATTGTTTACGTCAATTACATTGCAAATACGCGGTGGTGAATTAGTTTTATACACGCGACATGAGTGCGATTCATTTTTACTTTTGGGGCTGTCAAATAAATTTTGGATTAAGTGACAGGAGTGACTTATTTCGATCATGTATAAGATAGTGTTCCTTGTTTGATGCAAACGAGTGTCGTAGACAAAAAAATTCGTATAAGTACAAAAGATTTGGCGACTAAAACTTTTAAGTGTCACGGATTTTTACAAAATTAACCAAATTTTAATATGGTGCAACTGTGGCTGTAATTAATTTACTTCATATTGAAATAACTCCATATTTTTCTTTTGCTTCACAAGTAAAAAGATGAAACTAGTGAAAGGATTTTGCAAATGAAAGCCATTATATGATATAAAGCTAATTACACTCCTAACTGTTGCCGGTTGCCCATCATTCAGAAAAGAGTGTTCGTGGTGCAGAATTCAAAGTGCGATGCCGTTACATAACATGAGAAAAACAACGCATGGAAAATGAGAAACTTTTTGTGGCACCGCAAACCAAATCCATGTTAGATAAGCAAAAAGTAATATTGCTTTTCCAAGAAATTATTATCTTATAAATGATAGGGAAATCTTCAATTAAGAGCATGAAGTGTCCTCATATTCTCAAATAAGGACATAAAGTGGTCAAATCGTTTCAAATAAATACTTTTGGCCGGCCGGCCAACATGTGACTATTCTGGTAAGGTACTTTAGTCAAAAAAAAAATTATAAGTATATTCTTTTAATTTTTTGATTTTTACTTTTCTTTTCTTTTCCTTTACATTTCTTTTTTCTTTTTCCCTCTTCCCTCCACCGATTAGCAATGGCGGGCGGAAGACGCTAACCTCAGGCGAGGGTCCTCGCCTGCGCCATCCAGCGAGGGCAACCCTCGCCCGGCCTTGCCAGCCCACATGAGGACAAGGGTTGCCATCGCTGGCGTTGGGTGAGGGTTGCCCTCACCTGGGCTGGCGAGAGCTGCCCTCGCCTGATGTCGGCAACCTCATTCGGCTATTGTTAGCGATGGCCGGCGAAGGGAAGAGGGAAAAAGAAAAAAGAAAAACGAAAAAGGAAAGGAAAGAAAAAAACAAAGAAAAAAGGGAAAAAAAATTAAAATAAAGGACGAAAATGCCGTTCGGCTAGCTAAGTTAGGTCCTTATTTGATATTGATAAAGTTACTTCAGGCCCTTATCTGAAATAATGTTCATTTTAGGCCATTATTTGAGAAAACGAGGCACTTCATACCCTTATTTGAAACAATGTCCACTTCGGACTTTTATTTGAGAATATGATGACACTTCAAGCCCTTATTTGAAATTTTTCCTAAATAATATGCGAAAATCGATTTGTCGACATCTATATATTATAGAAAGTTTTAGACGTTTTCGAAATAATAGGGAAAAAAGTGAAAATGCCTACACGGAAATAATTAAATTGATTAGAAAGTGATAAATTAATCCAAACTCACTCTAAAATTAATTAATTAGGAAAAAGGAAATCACGTATTGCATTGGCGGTTTGGGCGTTTCAGGGACGCTACCAGTTAGCTCCCCTGAAACGCGACGCGCCTGTTCTCAATAGCGACGTAGTTCAAACGCGACGTGAACTTCTCCTCATTATAAACACTCCACTCCATGCACATCCTCTTCCACCTCTCTGTTTCTCTCTCTCTCTCTCTCTCTCTCTCTCTCTCTACACCTTCACAGAGGTCGACGACACACCCAGGTGCGCTCTCTCTCTCTCTCTCTCTCTCTAGTTTCAATGAACTCGTCGCCGACCACACCCTCGCTGCTGTCCGAGCTCGCTCTGCAGTGTCGTGAATCGGGTTTGAATGAACTCGTTGTTGTCAAGCACATTCACGACAGTGTAGGATGGACGCGGGGCGTAGAAAGTGATTTACCCTCAAGGGTCTCTCTGCTTTCTTCTCACTGTAACTCAGCTTGACCTTGTGTTGTTGCCTGGTATTTACTATTTATAGCGCATTGCCGTTGTAGTTGAATCCTGAACGTGAATGAGCTGTAAGGTGTTGCTCTAGAGTGATTCGAAGTTACTTGGTTCTACTCTTTGTGGTGTCGTGCCGTGTAATTCAATGCTTCTTGATCGGTAATCGTATCTCGCTTCTGTTTCTGCTCGTAACCAGGGTTTTGGTGCCAAAATTTTTCTGGATAATCGTGAGAGATAATGTCTGTTCCGACCAGCTGTAAGCGCTCGATCACTCTTTGAAGTTCCAAGCTTTTTAGGTTTTGTTTCTGCACATTATCCTGCGGTGCCTTGCTGGACAAGTAACATTCGACGTCTTTCGCATCCTTAAAGTAGAAAAATTTGCAACTCGAAATCCTTTTTGCAGCTTCTGGGGAGCCGACTAGTAGCACCTTTGGGCCACAATCAACATTCGGGCAGGCTAATAATGCAAATATCAATCCTTTTGTGGGTGGTAGAACACATTTTGTCTCACCAACAGGTGGCTCTGTATTTGGGGGAACTTCAACAGGAGTTTTCGGGGGTGGTTTTACTCAAACTCCTTCGCTTCTCTCTTCCGGAGCTGCCTTTGGTGATTCTTCATCACCAGCTATTGGTGGTAAGACAACTTCTATCATTTTTGTTCATTTTTTAATCGTTAATCCTTTGTCGTATAGTATCACATTAATTTCGCTGGTCATTTGGTTTGATTCAAGAATTGGAAGCTGTCCCAACATATGTTATCTCTTAATAACTACATGTCTCTAGGATATTTTACATTCATGATGATTGTCTTCAGCTTGTGTCGCAGTGCTGAGTTAATTAGCACTTGACGATAGATGACTTGTCTGTAACGATCACTATTGGTTGCTTAGGTGATTTGCTTAAAAATTGAGGCCCTAACGGATATTTACACTTTTTTCCTCCTATTTTCTGAAAAATTTCCTACTCTATATCCATATAGTTTGTAAGCGGACTATTGATGGAGGTGGTATGTTTTCTTACTCTGTGCACATCACCTTTGGATCCACCTACTTTCTTACCCTTCGAGGGGCGCTTTTCATAAAAAATAGTTTCAACTTTCGATATTATGCATCAGGCATTATGAAGTCAGTTTTACCACAACAACAAAAGTTTTTTTACAGTCTTGTTACAACTTTGTACTTACCTCAATAGGACATTAATTTGATTTGAATGCATCGGTTTTATTTGGATGTTGTGTTTAAAAACTTCATTATTCAACTTCAAGAAAGAAGTAATAAGGTAAGAATGTTTAGTATGGCTATTCCTTGAGCAAAGATTATGTGCCGCAATATGATCAATACTTTTGGAATGATTTCTCACTATAGGTGACATGTTCTTCTGCTTTTCTTCTTATGTCTGTTCTCACACTTTACCACTGTCGTGCATCTCTACGTACTATCTATGATGCCATTTATAGGGTCCGAAATTCTTTTGTGAACTATTTTATCCATGCCAGAAGTGATTTACTATTGTCTCCTCTTTAGAAGTATATATATGCTGTTTTACGTACTAAGAATCTCTCTCTCCTCTTCTTTATACTAAAAGGATCTTCTCCTTTGGGTCAGAATCCTGCCTTTGAACTTTTCGGTTTCACTCCCGCTCAAACAAGTACTTCTGACACCACAGGTCATCCATCACAGCCTGCATTTGGGAGCAGCAATTTTGGTTCTTCTACTCCATTTGGCGCACAAAGTCAATCAGAATTCAGCGCTAGTTCTACTCCAGGCTTTGGTTCGAGTGCCCCTGGCTTTGGAACTACAAGCACACCTATATTTGTTACTGACAGTGCCCCATCATTTAGAGCTACAAGCACCCCTGCCATTGGTTCAACCGTGAATGCTGCATTTGGTGCAACGAGTGCTCCCATCTTTGGGTCTGGAGGTGCAGTTGGGGCTTCCAGTAATCCAGCTTCTACAAGCACGCCTGCATTTGTTACTGACAGTGCCCCATTATTTGGAGCTACAAGCACCCCTGCCTTTGGTTCAACCGTGAATGCTGCATTTGGTACTAGAGGAATTGCATTTGGTGCAACGAGTGCTCCCATCTTTGGGTCTGGAGGTGCATTTGGGGCTTCCAGTAATCCAGCTTCTACAAGCACACGTGCATTTGTTACTGACAGTGCCCCGTCATTTGGAGCTACAAGCACCCCTGCCTTTGGTTCAACCGTGAATTCTGCATTTGGTACTAGAGGAATTGCATTTGGTGCAACGAATGCTCCCGTCTTTGGGTCTGGAGGTGCATTTGGGGCTTCCAGTAATCCAGCTTCTACAAGCACACGTGCATTTGTTACTGACAGTGCCCCGTCATTTGGAGCTACAAGCACCCCTGCCATTGGTTCAACCGTGAATTCTGCATTTGGTACTAGAGGAATTGCATTTGGTGCAACGAATGCTCCCATTTTTGGGTCTGGAGGTGCATTTGGGGCTTCCAGTAATCCAGCTTCTACAAGCACACCCGCATTTTTTACTGACAGTGCCCCATCATTTGGAGCTACAAGCACCCCTGCCTCTGGTTCAACCGTGAATGCTGCATTTGGTACTAGAGGAATTGCATTTGGTGCTACGAGCAGCCCTGCCTCTAGTTCAACTGTGAATGCTGCATTTGGTAGTAGAGGAATTGCATTTGGTGCAACGAGTGCTCCCATCTTTGGGTCTGGAGGTGCATTTGGGGCTTCCAGTAATCCAGCTTCTACAAGCACACGTGCATTTGTTACTGACAGTGCCCCGTCATTTGGAGCTACGAGCAGCCCTGCCTCTAGTTCAACTGGGAATGCTGCATTTGGTAGTAGAGGAATTGCATTTGGTGCAACGAATGCTCCCATCTTTGGGTCTGGAGGTGCATTTGGGGCTTCCAGTAATCCAGCTTCTACAAGCACACGTGCATTTGTTACTGACAGTGCCCCGTCATTTGGAGCTACAAGCACCCCTGCCTTTGGTTCAACCGTGAATTCTGCATTTGGTACTAGAGGAATTGCATCTGGTGCAACGAATGCTCCCGTCTTTGGGTCTGGAGGTGCATTTGGGGCTTCCAGTAATCCAGCTTCTACAAGCACACGTGCATTTGTTACTGACAGTGCCCCGTCATTTGGAGCTACAAGCACCCCTGCCTTTGGTTCGACCGTGAATGCTACATTTGGTACTAGAGGAATTGCATTTGGTGCAACGAATGGTCCCATCTTTGGGTCTGGAGGTGCATTTGGGGCATCCAGTAATCCAGCTTCTACAAGCACACGTGCATTTGTTACTGACAGTGCCCCATCATTTGGAGCTACAAGCACCCCTGCCTCTGGTTCAGCCATGAATGCTGTATTTGGTGCAACGAATGCTCCTGTCTTTGGGCGTGGAGGTGCATTTGGGGCTTCCAGTAATCCAGCTTTTGGGCCATCAAACGCTCATGGAGCTCATATCGGTGAGATATTCAATTCTACTCTTGGTTTTTTGGAGAACTAGATTTTTGTAGTTGGAACAAAGTTGGTAGAAACCTTATCAACAGTCCCACTCCCCATACTTTCAGTTTATTAGCTTAAGGGTAAGTTCCATCATTTTACGATTGGTTTTGCAGGGTCTCAGGTAGCTACACCAACATTTGGCAATACCGAGTTTGGAAAGTCCCCTTTTGAAGGTCAGCTTAGGGGAAGTTGTGTAGCTCCATTCACTCTAACGACTGAGGCAGATACTGGAGTGATGCTGCCTGCCAAGCTCCAGTCAATTTGCGGTATGACTGTTCCTGTCTACAAATATAAAAGCCATGAGGAACTTACGTGCTAAGTTTATTTTTTTAATCTTTTTTTTTTCCAGAAACCTGCCAAATTTATGTTGACCAGTTACTTTGTGTCATTCTCAGGTGGACCAAATCACGCTGGTCAGTCTGGTGTTGGTGTTGGCCCCGGCACATATCCTGTTATTCCTTGGCCTACTTTTAGTCAGCCATCTCCTTTTTCTTCCACTACAGCTTCCGATGCAATTTCTTCGGCCCCAGCTTCCACAACCACACCTAACCCATTTTCTTTTACAACATCATCTAATGAACTTTCAATGACAGCTCCTGATCCTTTTGTTCCAAATCCCTCTAGTAATGCAGGTTTTTGGCCATCTCCCAACACTTCCCCTTTTGGTTCTTCTTCATTAACTTCTGCTGTTAGATTACTGACTTCTGCATTTGAAGATAGTGCACCGCCATCCATATTTTCTTCGTCAGTCTCAGCTACACTTGGTTCATCACCATTGGTTATTGGTGCTCCCACTACTCAGTCCTCCCCACTATCTTCGTCTACTACACCCTTGATTGCCGAGACTGCTTCTGCTTTTAGACAAACTCCTGCTTCCTTTAGCCAAACTACTGCTCCCCTTGGCCAAACTACCAAGCCCACTTTTGGTCAAATACACACATTTAGTACAGTTTCCAGTGGCTCTGGTGGGAGCTTATTGCCCAGTAGTCCATCGCGAGTTCTCTCTACTAATGCAGCCGCAATCACTCAAACAAATGTAAGTCCTCTTAAAATCCTCTTTACTATTTTCTGTGGCCCATGCATGTGGTTAATCTGTCAAGTTGCATTTGTCGTTTGCAACTCTTTTGCCAATTGTTCAGCTAGTTTGACTTTATACTTTTGCCAATCCCGCAGCCCTCTTTTTCTTTGCCTCGTCAAACATCTGAAGCTGCTGAGACTTCTGGTATTTGTTCCCTTGGCAACTTAGGACAGACACGAGCAGGTAACTAGTAAACCCCTTCTTCATCTCTTACCTTGTATTTTTAGCATGGTGCTAATTTTATATCAAATCTGCTTGGTAGCTGGTACAGGTGGCTTTGGCTCACAAAATGCTTTTGGTCAGAGCCATTGTGGACAATCGTATGTGTTTCTCATCTTTTGCCTAGAGCATGTGTGCACTTTATGCAATATTTCTATGGTAAATTGTCTGCTGGTCAATTTCAATTACATTAGTCCCTTCCCAACTTCTATGTGGGCTAACTTGTATTGACTCTCACTGATTGTGGGATTCATATATTTGACTGCCTATAAAGCCGCATGAAAAAATTTTGGAATTTATTTAAATGAATAAGTTGTTTATCCATCTAGCTCCCTTCTTGCAGGTCTATCAACGGGAGTTCTTCAGTTGTTCAACCAGCACTGATCACAAATCCTTTTGGAATCCTCCCTGCTGTACAGCAGTTGTCGATAGGCTGCACTGAAACTGGTTCCCCTGTCCAACATGGAATTTCTAGCGTGCCTGTACGACTGCCTGTCCAATCCTTTCGAAAGTCTCGTTTGCTGTCTGCTCGGCATCTCTCGCTGAGGCAAACAAGGCTGCCTGTAAGGAAGTACCATCCTGATAGGGGTGTTCAAAGGGTGAGATAAATTATCTGAATTGACAAATATCAATATTATGTAAAATATGTATCTGCTTTATAGGTTACACATCAGATTCTGTTTCAAGCCCCTCTTACTCGATTGCTGTTACAGGTTCCATTTTTCTATGATGGAGACAATACACCTAGCAAACCAGAGGCTGATGCTCTATTCATTCCTAGGGAGAACCCAAGATCTCTGGTTATTGGTCCTGAATATTGGCCTGCAAAAGAACAGAAACCATCTCCATTGAAGAAAACTTCTCCATATGCAAATGGTAATTTCATATGTCAACGTTGGTCATTTTACGCATTTTCCTTACTTAAGAAGATGCCTTGTGGCAACGAAGAGCTAGGCTGCTACGGTTCCAAGTTGGAATTGTTTTAGAAAATTGTTCTGTTGCTTTTAATCATGAATACATCCGTCTGCATCCATTCTGGTACAAGTCAATTTTTTTGTAAGCTTACTTTGTGACATGAAGCTTCCATGCATGGATAAATCTCTATTTTCAAATTGCAATTCTCACATTCTAGGTCTTCATAAAATTGCCTTTGTTGTCTCAGCTCCGAAGTAACTTGGACATTTTTCAGTTACATTATACGGCTCTATCCCAGTGAGAATGCTAGAAAGCAAAACTAATAATGTCTGCTCGATATAATCAGAATTTGCAGTTATTCTTTTTATGGACTGAATTGGGTTTTGCTATGCTGCAGATGGTGTTCCCAAAGATGGTCCTTTGGGGGGGCAAACCGACTTTGTCAAGGCCAGCCAGAAACTTAAGGGAGTTCTAGGAGATTCTTCTCTTCAGAATGACGAGGAATATGTGATTATTAAAGGAGCTGGCGAGTCTGCAATTGGGTATGATTGTGGTGCTGGCATTGAGGCACTTATGCCGAAGCTCTGTCAGCCTGACTACTACACAGAACCGCACATCACAGAATTAGCAGCCAAGGAAAGCGCTGAACCAGGATTTTGCTGTCGAGTCAAAGATTTTGTCGTTGGACGACTTGGTTATGGTCACATCAAATTTGTAGGGGAGACCGATGTAAGAAGGCTTGATCTTGAGTCCCTCATTCGCTTCAACAATCGTGAAGTGATTGTGTACGCAGATGAGAGCAAGAAACCGCCTATAGGTCAAGGGCTCAATAAGCCAGCTGAGGTGACTCTTCTTAACATTAAGTGCATTGATAAGAAGACGGGAAAGCAGTACATCGAGGGGCCCAAAGTTGAGAAGTACAAGGAGATGCTCAAGAAGGCGGCTGAGAAACAAGGCGCGGAGTTTGTGTACTATGACCCCTTTAAAGGAGAATGGAAGTTCAAGGTTCGTCATTTCAGTTGATATGATCCGATGGGAGAATCCGACGAGAGAACAAGACTAGGATTGTTTTGATGCCGTTAGTTGTTCACTGAAGGAGGAACGTACCGAATAGTGGTCCAGAAGGAAAACCTTTTGGTTTCACTTGATGGGTTCGTCTTTTGTAGTTATGACGATGTACATAGAGCTGATATAAATAGTTCTTATATGAACACTTAGGCATCTCTTTTTCATTTCTTTTTCAGGTTATTGTTGTAGCTTCAAGATACATAGTGCCATGTGCAGTAATAGATTGAAGGAACAAGACAGTGTCTGCCAGTTTTTATTTGTTTCTTCTAATTTAGGCTCTCTTGAATGGATTTTGTTTCATGTCCAACACATATCATGCTTAAATTTTAATCAATGTCCAACATTTGATGGATGGCAATTTTGTTGCAATGCGTCGGAGATATTTGAACAATATCGTAGAACCTGCATCCATTGGTTCTGATAACTTAAATTGAATGCAAGGATGTATTTTCATGGATTAGGACTTCGTTTGAAAGAAGTCAAATATAGATTCGGGGGACTAAAGAAGCCAATTTTTCTAAGAACTTAATTTCTAAATATATTACAGGTAAGTAACACGACATAACAATTCCGATTATTTCAACAATAGATTCGCGACTAAGGCATGTGATGGATGTAGAATTTATTGCCCACTGGGCAAGAAAAGTACATACAACTCTGCTTAATGCTTTCTGTCTTCCATTTTCCCTCTCCTTATGATTTCTTTTGCCTAGAAAAGATCCCTCCTTCCCGATAAGGCGACATTTTAGGGAGTTCTCGATGTCGATGACAAACCTGTACTTCACATCTCTCTTGATGAGCCTCTCGAGGGCTTCATTGGCATAATCAATCGGTATCAATTCGATCTTTGGGTATATTTTCTGCGCCGCACAGAAGTCCATCATTTTTGGGATATCCTTTGTTCCTCCCGTTTTGCTACCTGAAACAGTTTTCATATTGCGAGCAAATTAGCTTGTTCACCTATTAGGTATCAAGATTTCATGAAGTAATGAGCTTTGTGAACAAAGACATACCGAGGTTAAGGCTCGCTGGACTGAATTTAACTTCACCCAACCAACACTAGAACGCCGCCTGTCTTCAAAAGAGACATGTAATGATCGAATGAGTGATCGCCGGATGCTGTGTCTATTATAAAGTCCAGGGACTTCATGGCCTGCATGTATTGGATTCATGAGATCACAACAGAACTTGACCTCCACGGATCTCACTGTTGATAATTCCAATTTTCCTTTTTTACCTTCATCTGTTCTGGGTCAGATGAGACAACGAAATGGTCAGCACCAAGCAAGCTCAGTGCTTCCTCCTTTTTAGAAATGCTTGTACTGAACACTGTGACTTTCAGTCCAAAAGCCTTCCCAAATTTAACTGCCATGTGACAGAGCCCACCGAGTCCAATTACGCCTAGAGACTTACCAGGTTGGTTCATCTTGTGACGCATCATTGGAGTGCATACTGTGATTCCAGCACAGAGCAACGGTGGTGCTAAAGCCAACGGGTAGTTTTCTGGTATCCTGAAGCAGAATCTGTCAATGAAGCACCGCAATTAAGTTTTTAAATAAAACCAAAAAGAGGAAGTGGATTCTCAAGAGAGTCAGAGTCCCATCTTTTTTTTTCCTTTGACAGGAATCAAATGACAGAGCCAGAAATCCTATCTTCTGTGTGCTTGGGAATTTTACTTGCTTAGATCATAATTCAGCATCACGTTGTTTCTGTGATTCTTTTGCTTAAGGTAGAAACTTCTTGCCGTAGCAAGAAAAGTAAAGCTATTGAAGGATACAGGAGACCATACTAGATCAAAATTGAGAAAAGAGAGTTGGTCTAAGAAAGAAAACTGGTGGCATCTTCCATATGCTTGACAGAACACGTAATTTCTCTATTCCCTCAGTCAATTTTTCTGAGGAACAATGAAATTCCTGGGACTCTGTCAGTCCCAAGAATCGGTGAAAGCACATACATTTTGTTTCCCCCTTGATCTAATACTACTTACTAAGGATTGTCTCTGTGAAACAATTTGAGGACCGCTTATTCCATTCTTCAACAGGGTTTATTGAGGAGAGTTTGTTTTTGCATTTGATAAAGGCGATTCTCCATTGAATTGTTATCTAATACCGAGGAGTTAAACACTCTCCAGAGTCCGTATAGGAAGTATCTTTATCCCTTTCCACAAGATGCAATTAATGGCTAAAACGCCATTCCTCACTGTTATATGCATTATACCACTTCTGACCAACAGAATAAGAAGAAAATTAGCAGAGAAGAACACACGATTTGACATCTTTTCTAGCTAACATGATTTGAAATCCTTGCACTGTGTAAAATGCTGTCTAATGAAATTTTGTCATAAAGCAATTACCTTTCATGGACGACAATGTAACTAGAATATCCTCCCTTCGTGACCGTACCGTCCGCATCAATTCCATCAAAAGTAAAAACCGGTCCCTTTTCACAGTAGTTTTCTAGCCCGTCATTGCAATACTTGCACTCTCTGCATGAATTAACATAAGTTCCCACGCCTACACGATCGCCGACTTTGAAGCATTGGACACTGCAGCCAACCTCTTTCACACTCCCAACTATCTCGTGCCTGAATCAATCGACAGATTGTCTGCAAATTTTGTTAGGAGAATTATGAGGATGGTGCTAAGAAAAAGTGAGTAATATTCAAATTCCGCTGCATCCTACCCTGGCACCAAAGGATACTTGGAGTTTCCATGCTCATTCCTAGTCCAAACAACATCTGCATAGCACACTCCACAGTGCGTGATCCTAATCGAGATGTCATCGCTTCCCACGGTCCTAAAGAGAGAATTCCCGAACAGGTGAGAATAATTAAGCGACTAATCAGACTGAGGTACCTTTTTTCTCCTTTTTCAGATCAATAACCTAAGCGTGACTTACAATAATCATACATTTGACCCAAAAAAAATTTCAGAAAAGAGAAATGAACTTGGAAACAAAATCCATGACTTTTAGCATTTGTTTAAATAGGGCATACAACCTAAAATGCTCACAAAGGCAGCTGGTACTGGATCCTCATGTCTGCCATGAAATTCTGAGTAACTCATTCTGGGACATGGCATATCATGCATACAAACAATTCTCAACCCAGAAATTAGTGCATACACAACAAAAGTTGAAAAAGAAAAATGAAAATGGTTTGATTAATGTGGAAATTCAAGATAATTACAAGCATCAAAAACTGTTCTGCAGTACAGAAGAGACGATAAGAGCTGAGAACACTGTATTGAGACTTATTCAGATGAACACTTCAATAGTCACTGAAAAGATAAGGAGCGGATGAATAAAAAAAAGAATAATGGTAATGGTAATACCTGCGGCTGAATTTGTAGGGGGAGAGAAGTCCAGAAGGATCTCTGGCGGCCCAACCAAGACAATCTTCCTTCACACCCTCCGAACTCATCGTTCCTCGGCGACCTCAACAGAACCCGACCCACAAAATATTACCGTGTGTTAATCTCTGAATGAACTGAATTATGGAAGAAGAAGAAGAAGAAGCACAGAAGGAAATTTATTTCGTGAAAAAGAAACCAAGAAGAGAACTTCAACCATAGCCAAAAGACAAAAGTTCAAATGGTGACAAAAGACCAGATGTCAAGAAGACTAGGCAATTATGGTTACGTGCAGACAAGATTCTGTGGTCTTACTTCTGAGCAAAAAATGTGATTAGCCGAGTACGAGGACGAGCGCTCAACTACTGTCACCTTTTTATAGATGCCATAGTATCACATGTTCGTGACCAATCTTCGAGCTTTCTATTATGAGAAAGTTTAAGTGATTCATCAAACGCATTCAATGACCCATACAGAATCAAGAGAAGTATGCAGTGACACCTTATAGAGAGTGGTTCTTGTTATTTCTTGTTCCTCCTCCCTAATAAGTGATCTATCTTATGTACAAAATACTTTCTCTTCAAGAGCTTCGACTCCTAGATACTTGGGACATTGAATTTTCTTTTAGCAACAATGAGCTCGGCGTATCTCCGTTTTGGGATTTCAGTTGCAAAGGAAAACAAAAGGACGTCCTCTAACGAATCAACAGTATTCTGCTGTGACAGCTGGAAGAGAGATGAGTGTTTTACATAGTTATCAAAAAGTTTCATGCAACAATAGGTAGAAATTCACTCTGCCAACGTGCATCAACATTTTTGGCCATGAATCATTGGTGAGGAGCTGACAAGGACATTCTATTTCTTAGACTGGCAAAAAGATATCGAGCTTGTTCTTTTAGCGAGTGTATCGCCGTTAAATATGCCTGATTAATTTAATATCCTCTTATGAAATATGCCTGATTAATTTAATATCCTCTTATAAATAATTGTCATCGAGGCCTACTAAATCCAAAATGCAAATGGACGGGCTCGGATAAGTTAGTAGATGAGCCATTTTATCTTATACCCTCCGTACCTCGTGAGAGAGGGTGCTGCGTTCTTTTTAGAACGCATGACTTGGGATTAAGATTTTTGATAACCTAAATAAGGAAATAAATATCGTCGTCGAGGCCTACTAAACAAAATGCAAATGGACGGGCTCGGATAAGTCAGTAGATGAGCCATTTTATCTTATACCCTCCGTACCTCGTGAGAGAGGGTCCTGCGTTCTTTTAGAACGCATGACTTGGGATTGGAAAACCTGGACGTTTTAGCATTGACTTCGATCATCCACGACGAGGAGGATTGACGAAATCGATCTATCATCAGGCCGATGCATAATCGATTTTTTGGTCAATCCCTGCAGTCTTGGGACCATGGAATTTACAACAAGCTTGCTCCTTCACAGGAGTCGATAGTAGTCACACTTCTTTACTTAGCTGAGGAAGCTGATTACGAGCTGCATGGTTGGGTTTGCTACATAGGTTTTCCTATCAGTGTCCTAAAAGTTCTTTAGAGGTCTAACCCTACTTTGAAATGCATATTCCAAACGCACTCCTGTCCATTGACAATGCTATTGCCAAGACAAAGGACAAACAATATCTTCAAATAGTTCTGGGGGTCAAACCAAATCACTCTTCTCACTTTGACCCAGAATATGATAGATAGCTCCCAAGACAAAACCATACAGTTGCTTTCAACCTTTTTTTTTTTCACGTTGATAGCACTTCTCTATATAAAAAAAGAAAATTTGAACATATCAATAACTGATATTTCTTGTAATTTTTCAACCGAATAAGTAAAAATTTATCTATGGCTAGGATGTTCTTCATGCAACTAATGAGTTCCAACATAAAAAGTCGCTGTGAATATACTTTATATAAATAATATTTTTTACGAGCTATAAGTAATTATTCGTGATGGAAATAGAAACCTTCAACAAATCTGTAGTTCATACTTCTCGTACAATTGTCATATAACGTATGTCCGTGACAGTAGGTATAATTCAGACTTCATGTAGACTATTTTTGTAGCTTCAAGATACATATAATTTTATGTGCAGTAATAGATTGAAGGAACAAGACTGTCTGCGAGTTATAGGTGGTTTCTTCTGATTTAAGCTCTCTTGATTAGATTTTGTTTCATTTCCAACGTATGTCAAACTGAATTTTTAAATCAATGTCCAACATTTGATGGATGGCAATTTAGTAGCAATGCATCGGAGAAATTTAACAATAGGAGAACCTGCATCAATTGGTTCTGATGACTGAAATTCAATGCAAGGATGTTTTTTCATGGATCTAATACTTCGTTTGAAGGAAGTCAAACAAACATTCAGGGGACTTAATAAGCCAATTACTCTAAGAGCTTGATTTCTAATTATACTATAGGAAAGCAACACGGCATAACTAATTCGCTTATTTCAACAATAGATTCTCGACTAAGGTATGCGATGGATGTAGAATTCATTGCCTGCTGGGCAAAACAGTACATATAACTCTGCTTAATGCTTTCTGCCTTCCATTTTCCTCTCCTCGTGATTTATTTTGCCTAGAAAAGATCCCACCTTCCCAATAAATGGCGTCATTTCAGGGAGTTCTCGATGTCAATGACAAACCTGTACTTCACATCTCTCTTGATGAGCCTCTCGAGGGCTTCATTGGCATAATCAATCGGCACCAATTCGATCTTCGGGTATACCTGCTGTGCCGCACAGAAATCTAACATTTCTTGGATTTCTTTTGTTCCTCCCGTTATGCTACCCGAAACAGTTTTCATACCTGCCAAAAAGTTCATCACGAGCAACTTAGCTTGTTCACCTATCAGATATCTAGCATTCATCTAGTAATGAGCTTTGAGAACAAGAACATACCGATGTTAAGGCTTCCTGGACTGAATTTAACTTCACTTGGGAACCCAACCAATGCCAGAATGCCACCCGTCTTCAAAAGAGACATGTAAGGATCGAACGGGTGATCGCCGGATGCCGTATCGATTATAAAGTTCAAAGACTTAGCCATGGCCTGCATGTATTGGATTCATCAGATCCCAACAGAACTTGACCTCCATGGATCTAAAGTAGTGGTAATTTTCATTTTTCCCTATTACCTTCATCTGTTCTTGGTCAGATGAGACAACGAAATGGTCAGCACCAAGCAAGTTCAGTGCTTCCTCCTTTTTAGAAATGCTTGTACTGAACACTGTGACTTTCAGTCCAAAAGCCTTCCCAAACTTAACTGCCATGTGACCGAGCCCACCGAGTCCAATCACGCCTAGAGACTTACCAGGTTGGTTCATCTTGTGACGCATCATTGGAGTGTATACAGTGATTCCAGCACAGAGCAATGGTGCTGCTAAAGCCAACGGGTAGTTTTCTGGTATCCTGAAGCAGTATCTGTCAATGAAGCACCACAACTAAGTTTCCAAATAGAACCAGAAAGAGGAAGTGCTTTCCCGATAGAGTCAGCATCCCATCTTCTCTGTTTAACAGGCATCAAATCAAAAAGCCAGAAATCCTATCTTCTGTGTGCTTGGGACTTTTAGTTGCTTAGATTATGATTCAGCATCATGTTGTTTCTGTGATACTTTTCTGACCACAAATTGCTCAAGACAGAAACTTATTGCTATAGCAACAAAAGAAAAGCTATTGCAGGATACAGGGGACCATACTAGATCGAAATTAAGGAAAGAGAGTTGCTCTAAGAAAGGAAACTAGTCGCATATTGCCTGACAGAAACGTAATTGCTCTATTCCCCTCATTAAATTTTTTTCCAAGGGACACGAAATTCCTGTGACTGTCAGTTCCAAGAATTGGCGAGCACAAACGTCTTATTTCCCATTTGATCTACTACTTACTGTCTAGGGATTGTCTTTGTAAAACAATTTGAGGACCGATATTCCGTTCTTGACCAGGTTTATTGAGGAGAGTTTCTTTTTGCATTTGATAGAAGCAATTCTCCATCGAGTTGTTATTTGATCCCGAGGACTTAAAGACTCTCAAGAGTCGGTATAGAAAGTATCTTTAGCCATTTCCACAAGATGTAATTAATGGCTAAAAGGCCATTCCCCACTGTCGTATGCATTATACCTCATCTTGCCAGAATCAGAATAAGAAGAAAATTAGCAGAGAAGAACACATGATTTGAAATCTTTTTTGGCCAAAATGATTTGGAATCCTTGCACGGTGTAAAATGCTGTCCAATGAAATTGTCATGAAGCAATTACCTTTCATGGACGACAATGTAACTAGAATACCCTCCCTTCGTGACTGTACCGTCCGCATCGATTCCATCAAAAGTAAAAACCGACCCCTTTTTGCAATTGTTTTCTAGCCCGTCATTGCAATACTCGCACTCTCTGCATGAATTGACATAAGTTCCCACGCCTACATGATCCCCAACTTTGAAGCGTCAGACACTGGAGCCAACCTCTTTCACAATTCCAACTATCTCGTGCCTGAATCAATTGAAGAATTGTTTGCAAATTTTGTGCAGAGAATTTTGAGGATGGTGCTAAGAAAAAAGAGTAACATTCAAATTCCGCTGCATCCTACCCTGGCACCAGAGGATACTTGGAGTCTCCATGCTCATTCCTAGTCCAAGCAACATCTGCATAGCACACTCCACAGTGCGTGATCCTAATCGAGACGTCATCGCTTCCCACAGTCCTAAAGAGAGAATTCCAAACAGGTGAGCATCTAATCAAGCAACTAATCAGACTCAGGTACCTTTTTTCTCATTTTTCAGATCAATAACCTAGGTGTGTCCTGCGATTATCATGCATTCAACCAAAAAAAAATTAAGAAAAGAGAAATGAAAAAGGAAACAAATCCACGACTAAAAGCATTTGTGTAGTACAAACAACCTAAAATGCTCTCAAAGGCAGCACCTGGATCCTCATGTCTGCCCTGAAATTCTGAGTAACTCATTCTGGGACATGGCATATCATGCGTACAAACAATTCTCAACCCAGAAATTATGCATACACCACAAAAGTAAAAAAAGAAAAAAGAAATGGTTTGGTCAATTTGGAAATTTAAGATAATGACAAGCATCAAAAACTATTTTGCATTACAGGTGAGAGGATAAGACCTGAGAATACCATATCGAGACTTATTCAGGTAAATACTTCAATAGAAACTGAAAAGCTAAGGAGCAAATGAATTAAATAAAGAATAATAGTAATAGTAATACCTGCGGCTGAATTTGTAGGGGGAGAGAAGTCCAGAAGGATCTCTGGCAGCCCAACCAAGACAATCTTCCTTCACACCCTCCGAACTCATCGTTCCTTGGCGACCTCAACTGAACCCCACCCACGAAAAATGACTCTGTATCAATCTCTGAATAAACTGATCTATAGAAGGAAAAGAAGAAGAAGAAGAGGAGTTACTGTGAAAAAGAAATGAAGAAGAAAACTTCAACGATGGCCAAAAGACAAAGTTCAAATGGTCAAAAGTGTTGTTTTTTTTTAAAGAACCGAAGGAGAATTGACAGCAAAATCTGTATTTTGCAGCAAGACAGAATGTATTGGAAGGGAACTTCTATATCTATTCAGAAAACTGAAATTGCTTAAATACAGACCAAAGCTTTTCCACTAACTATACGTTGCCCACTAACTAACAACTTGCTTGGTCCACAAAACCAGCAACAAACTAACAGAGCAGTTAAAGAAAACATGCAGCTAAACACTCCTACAAAATAGGACTGACCAAGTAAAACCACAACTAATTAACTCCTAGATAATAGGACATCAGCAAACTGACTAAATAGAAAATAGATAGTGCAGCCTTGATACAACAACACTCTCCTCCTGGATCAAGTGCTGCACACTCCTAGCTTTGCCCTGAGAAGTTCAAATCGACCAACATGAAATGACTTAGTGAATATATCTGCAATTTGGTTTTCTGAACTACAGTACACCAGCTTCACCTCTCCAGCCTTCTGCACTTCTCTCAAGAAGTAATACTTGACCTTAAAATGCTTTGTTCTTCCATGAAATACTGGATTCTGTGAAATGGCCATAGTAGCTTGATTATCCACAAATACTGCTATGCCTTCTTCTTGCTCCAAATGCAGATCATCCATCAGCTTCTTTATCCATAATGCTTGATTCATAGCTGCAGTAGCTGCAATGAACTCAGCTTCTGCAGTTGATTGAGCCACTATTTCCTGCTTCTTTGAGCACCAGGAAAAACATGCCGACCCAAATGTAAAGCAATACCCTGAAGTACTTCTCATATCATCCACAGATCCTCGCCTGATCACTATCGAAATACCCTTGCAACTTAAACTCCTGAATTACGCAGAACTTAATTCCATATGAAAGAGTACCTTTCAAGTACCTCAACACCCTCTTTGCGGCTACCATATGCAACTCACTTGCACAATTAAGGAATCTAGACAAGACACTTACAAGTAAACATGATGTCCGGCCTGGTTAGCGTGAGATACATAAGACACCAATCAAACTTCTATAAACTCTTTAATCGCAAGTTCGATCCATCCTTCTTTTGAAGCTTTTCCTTCTGACCCATTGGAGTACTTACACTCTTGCACTCCTCCATATTGAATCTCTTCAGGATCTCCTTCATGTACTTCTTCTGACAGATAAAAACTTCATTCTGAGTCTGCATAACCTCCATCCCCAGAAAATACGACATCTCACCAAGATCGAGTCATTTCAAACATCTTCATCATCTCTTGCTTAAATGCGCATGTCGAGCACTATTACTCCCCGTCACCAAGCATATCATCCACATAAAGAGACACCACCACTAAGTCAGATACTAACTTCTTGACATATAGAGTGGATTCACTGAGGCTTTTCTTGAAACCCAGGCCTAGTAAGTGCTCATCCATTTTACTGTACCATGCTCTGGGAGCTTGCCTCAAGCCATAGAGAGCCTTTCTTAGCAAATAAACTTTCTCCTCCTGGCCTGGTGTGACAAAGCCTTCTGGCTGCTCAACATAAATCTCCTCCTGCAACACTCCATTCAAAAATGCAGATTTCACATCTAACTGATACACCTTCCATCCTTGTTGAGCTGCCAAAGCAAGAGTCATTCTAATTGTATCCAGTCTTGCCACAAGAGCAAAGTTTTATGAGAAATCAACTCCCCAAACATGTGCATATCCCTTCACCACCAACCTGGCCTTATGCTTATTCACTGAGCCATTAGGATTGAGTTTGGTCCTGAAAACCCATTTTACTTCAATTACCTTTTTGTCTTCAGGCCTCTCCACTAGCTCCCATGTCTGGTTCTTTTCTATCATAGCCAACTCTTCCTTCATTGTATTCATCCACCTCTGATCACTTTTAGCTTCCTCATAACCTGCAGGTTCCAAAACAGCCACACTACACCTCTGATATATATCAGTCAGAGATTTGGTACCTCTAATTGGAACATCATCCACCAGCTCGTCAGGTTCCAGTGAGACCTCCTTGTGCTTGCCTTGTGGCTCATCTGTCCAATCCCATTGCTCATCTTCTAGGAACTGAACATCCTTGCTAGTGATCACCTTTCATGTCTGTGGTTGATAGATCATATAGGCTTTTGACACTAAACTGTAGCCAACAAAGATCCCAGGTTCAGCTTTCTCTCCCAGCTTGTCTCTCTTGACCTGCGGAATATGAGAAAAACATAGACAGCCAAACACCTTCAAATTTCTTAGAATTGGCTTAACACCAAACCAAGCTTCAAAGGGTGTCTTCTTCTCCAATACCCTTGTAGGCAGTCTATTCAGCAGAAAAACTGCTGTGTTTGCTGCTTCTGCCCAAAATTCTTTTGGTAGATTCCTGTCATGTAGCAGACACCTAGTCATCTCCATAATGGTTCTATTCTTCCTCTCACTAACTCCATTTTGCTGTGGAGAGTAAGGAGCAAGATAAGTCGATGCTCAATTCCGGCCTCTTCACGAGAAAGAGTTGAACGTCCGTGAAGTGTATTCTGTTCCATTATCGATATATGATGACTTGAATCTTGCACCACTTTGATTCTCAACCCATCTCTTAAACTTCAAAAATACCTCAGCAACTTCGACTTTTTGCTTCATGAAGTAAATCCAAAGACATTCTAGTATAATCATCAATGAAAATAATGAAATACTCGCCGCCATTTAGTGAAGGAGTCACTTGTGGACCACAGAGATACGTATGAATCGGGCGGCTTCTCCGTAGCTCTCCAAGTGGATTCCTTGAAGGGAAGTCTTGTCTCGCTTGCCCAAAGAAACAAGCCTTGCACCTTGTGATTTGCTCCTCCGGGCTTGGTAACCCGCTTGCCATTTCATTCCTCTGCATGAACAGCAAGCCTTTGTGATGAAAGTGGCCCAACCTCTTGTGCCATATCTCTGAATCACTGGCCTGACACTTGAATGCCACATGCTCCTTCTCGAGAGGATTCAGAGAAAAACTCTTCTGACGCATCTTTATCTTGAACAGCTCCTGACCACTGGAGTCAAAGATCAAACACTTCCCCTCTTCAAATATCACCTTAAATCCCTTTTCTACCAACTGTCCCACACTCAGCAAATTCTGATCAATTTCAGGCACATACATCACATCAGAAACCAGCTTGGTTCCAGCACAACTCTCTATTGCTACAGTCCCTTTACCTTTCACTTCTAAGTACTCCCCATTCCCAATCCTCACTCTTGACTTCAATGACTTGTCAAGGTCTATAAATAGCTTTTCATCACTTGTCATGTGGTTTGTGCAACCACTATCAACAAGCCAACTGTCACATGGAGTACTAGAGGAGAAACAAGAGGCAACAAACAGTTGATCTACCTCTTGCTGGACTGCAGCATGTGCCTCACCTTGCTGTTGATCTCCCTTCTCTTTGCAGAACTTCTCAATGTGTCCAAGCTTATGACATTTTCTGCACCTTACATATGGCCTCTTCCAACACCTAAAGTGTGGATGATTCTGTTTTCCACAGTGCTGACATGAGGAATACCTTCTCCAATTGTTCTTGGAGTTGCCCACACTATTCTCTCCTGCAGCAGCTTCTGAACCACTACTGCCATTCCCTTTCTTCCCTTTCCACTTCTTGCCTTTTCCTCCTACATTTTGCTGTTCTTTGGCCCGCAAAGCTCATGTCTGCCCTGAAATTCTGAAGTAACTCATCTCTGGGACATGGCACTATCATGCGTACAAACAATTCTCAACCCAGAGAAATTATGCATACCACAAAAAAGCAAAAAAAAGAAAAAGAAATGGTTTGGTCAATTTGGAAATTTAAGATAATGACAAGCATCAAAAACTATTTTGCATTACAGGTGAGAGGATAAGACCTGAGAATACCATATCGAGACTTATTCAGGTAAATACTTCAATAGAAACTGAAAAGCTAAGGAGCAAATGAATTAAATAAAGAATAATGGTAATAGTAATGTACCTGCCCGGCTGAATTTGTAGGGAGAGAAGTCCAGAAGGATCTCCGGCAGCCTTCTAACGCAAGACAATCTCTCCTTCACACACCTCCGAACTCATCGTTCTCTTGGCGACCTCAACTGAACCCCACCCACGAAAAATGACTCTGTATCAATCTCTGAATAAAGCTTTTCCACTAATGCATCTAACTATGTAAAAGAAAAGAAGAAGAAGAAGAGGAGTTACTGTGAAAAAGAAATGAAGAAGTAAGAAAACTATCAACGATGGCCAAAAGACAAAGTTCAAATGGTCAAAACACAAAAGACCAGATGTCACGAAAACTCGGCAATTACGTTTACGTGCAGGCAAGATTCTGTGGTCTGACTTTTGTGTAAAAAATGAGATTACAGAGTACGGGGATAGCCGCCCAACAACTGTCGCCTCTTTATAGATGCCATAGCGTCGCATGTTCATGATCAATCTCCAGCTTTCTGTTACGTAAAAGATTAGTCATTCACCAAACGTAAGCCATGACCCATTCCTAACCAAAGAACGTATGCAGTGACCTCTTCTGGAGGGCGGCTCTTGGTATTTTTCATCCATCCTCCCAAAATCTAATTCCATTATAAAGTTATTTACATAAAAAAAAGAAGTCAGGAGGCAATGTGTCGTTGCACTAAAGAACCCACGAATGGACATCTGTGTTGGTTACACAACCGATAATTTGTACCTGATCAATCATGTTGCTCCAGTGGTATGTCTTCGATTAATCTATTTTGAGAACATTCATCTTCTTTAAGCATGCTTCCTCACATGTTACTATGGCGTGATATATTTTCTCTTCAAGAGCTTTGACTCCTACATATTTGGGATGTTAAATTTTTTTGGCAACAATGAGCTCGACATATTTCTGTTTCGAGATTTCAGTTGCTAATGGAAACAAAAGGACGTCCTATGATGAATCGACAGTATTGTGCTATGACAAAGCTAGAAGAGAGATGACCAGGGAAAAGTGTTAAAAAAGTCCTAAACATTTTGCATTTGTGCCAATTTAGTCATAAACCTTTTTTTTATGCCAATTCAGTTCAAAACCTTTATTTTTGAATTTTTATTTATTCTTTTATTCTTTTCTTTTCTTTTCTTTTTTTTTCCTCCCTCCTTCCTTCAGCCGGTCGTCGATCCAGAAGCCGACGAGGTCGACCTTGCCAGCCATTGGCGAGGCTCGCCCTCACCAGTGACAGCGAAGGCGAGCCTTGCCATTGCTAGACGAGGTCGTGTCTCGCCCAGCGGCCGACGAGGCTCGAGCCCTCGTCGGAGGCCACGACGAAGGCCTCTTGCGAGGGCTCGAGCCTCGCTGGCCGCTAGGCAAGGCATGACCTCGCCCGATCAAGCGAGGTCTAGCCTCGCTTAGCCATGGCAAGGCTCGCCTTCACCGTCGCTGGCAAGGGTGAGCCTCGCTAGGGGCCGGCGAGGTCGACCTCGCCTGCGGCTGGGAGAGGCACGACCTCACTAGATCCGGCGAGGTCCAGCCTTGCCCAGCCATGGCGAGGCTCGCCTTTGCTGTCGTTGGCAAGGGCGAGCCTCACCAGCCTCTGACCTCTGGCCGGTCGCCGGTCCGGCTACTGGTGAGGTCGGGCGAGGCCGTCCTCGCCGTCGTTGGCGAGGCCTCAATCTCGTCGGCAATTGGCAAGGTCGGCCTCGCTCAAAGCAATCGGCAAGGACGAGACCTCGCCGGAGGTGGGGACGAGAGCTCGCCAGATCTGGCAAGGCTCGTCCTCGCCCGCAACTGGCAAGGTTGGGCGAGGCCGTCCTCGCCGTCGCTAGCAAGGGCTCTACCTGGTTAGCAACTGGCGAGGTCAGCCTTGCTCGAAGCAGCCGGCGAGGACGAGCCTCACCAAATCTGGCAAGGCTCGTCCTCGCCAGCGGCCGTCGGGGCCGACCTCACCGGTCTGGTGACCAGCTAGAGGTTGAAGAATATGAAAGAAAAAATAAAAGAAAAAAATTAATAAAAAATTTCGAAAAAAAAATTAAACAAATTGCCACATCCGCGTTCGTCGACTTGCCGACGTCCACGTCAATATCGGTTAGCCAAAATTAACTGGATGGGCTGAATTGGTACAAATACAAAAGGTTTAGGACTGAATTAGCACAAAAAAAGTTTATGACTGAATTGGTACAATTATAATAGGTTTAAGATTGTTTTGGTAATTTTTCCAAACATTTTTGGTGATAAATGGGCTTATAAGAGCCTTATTTTAAAAAGCCCAAACCTCAAGCCTATGTCCTCTAAAACCAGGCCCCAATTCATTTTCCTTTCCCCTTCAACAGATAATGCATGCGAGCGTAGAAGGAAAAGAAAGAAAACCACTAGCGACAAAACCGATGAGGGGAAAAGGAAGGAGGGAGAAAGCTTGCAATTACACGATGGGACCTCACCAAGTTGGATTAGCTTCGTTTCACAGCCTTCGGGGAGTAATCGAACTCGCTCTTCGTTTAATCGGAATAATTTTTGAAGTTAAGTCATAAATTCCATTTATGAGTTGTTAAGCTACGGAGTTTTATGGAATTGATAGTTTAGTGCATTGTGGAGTTATAGGATTTGACAAAAATTGATTCTGAATTATGGTTTAATTTAAACGGATTTTTAAAGTTTCACGTGCAACCTATGCATAATTGACAATACGCATTAATATGAATAAACGGACAAAGGTGAATGTTTGCTATGAACGAGTTTCTTCGTTTGTGCATAGGAGTCGATTGATTGACGAATAAGCGTAGTCTAGTCGAGTTATTAGTTAAAGTAGAATTTTGTTTGGTTTTGATATCGTTTTTCAGTTAATTGATAGGAATACGAGTTCGTCCACTTGAGTAACCTTTGTAAGTTGATTTTCAGCTTTCTCAAGTGAGTAGTATTTATCTCTCTTTGGTTTCGTAAAACTCATCTCTTAAAAATGATAGAAGAAAAAGTGGTGTTTAGGGCATATTAAATGAAAAAAGCTAGATCGAGCATTTACTATCGTTTAGTATATTTGAAATGGTAAAATATCTTTTTATTACAGTTTGAACCGATTGTCTGTGAATGGTTTGCAAAACCTTTTATAAAAGAATCATGAAAAGTTATTGATTTATGAATATAGTTTATGCAAGGGACTTTGTTTGATAAGTTGAATCATGAAAAGTTAAATGTTCTAGTTAGTGAAACTGAGTTTTGAGATGGATTCTCATTTTGATTGTGGGTTATTGGAGAATGAGGCTGGAGGATTATGCTCATGTCACCATGATATTAAAGGGTAAGTACACATACTATTATTAGGACGTCATTTTAGGCTAAGTCACCGGCTGATATAGGTGGGGACCTAATCAAGGGGGAACTTGGTCGCCTTTGTTACGGGCATTGAGCGTGATCATTGTTAGATATTGAGCATTTGCTTACTCAATGGAATGGTCCATTGAAGTTTAATTTGATAGAGATTGATCAATAACATGGTTCATTGTTATTGTTAATGTAAAAAGTTTTGTTGGAAAAACATAATCCACTTTTGATATTTGCATATATCATATATTGGATTTGGAATTGACAAGTTATGACATCGGTTTTTGAAGATGCATAGCGAATGCTCGATCTACTTAGCAAAGATGTACTACTCACTAGGTGGTGATTACTCATTCCATTTGTCTTACTTGTTTTTCAGTTCTTCAACTAGTCTGTAGTCGCAAGTAGGACGAGAGTAGTTATGTTATCGGCATGACATTTTAATGGTGGTATTTTTAGGAATGAATTGTTTATGTTTGATGAACTTGTAAGTTTAGTTGTCAGTTGGAGATTGACATATTCTTTTGATGGATTATAAGAATTCGGATCATGTAACCAGATGAATCTTTTATCAAATATATGAATGTATATATTTCTATAACAGGTTGATTATAATTATGTTTGAGGTTGCGTTCTCTAGGTAGGAGGACGGTTGTAACATTGGCACTGTTTTTGTGGAGCTAGGGGTGTGACATCTTCATCCGTGAAACATTAGTGAGGATTTTATAAAGACAAACTATTTCTTAAACCAGCAAAACGATTTCGAGCTTGTTCTTTTAGTGAGTGTATTGTCGTTAAATAGAAAAAATTTATCCAAAAAATCATAAACCTATTATACAGCCACTAATTCAATCCTAAATTTTTCAAAATGGCCGATGTCCAAACCTTTTGACGATTTTCTAACGTAGTCCATCCGAACAATTCAGGTTGAAAATTGCTGATGCGAGTCACCAGGCCTATGCATAATCGATTTTTTGGTCAGTCTCTGCAGTCCTGGGGCCATGGAACTTCGAATATACTAGTTCATTGACAGGAGATAGTAGTCACGCTTCTTTACCGAGTTGAGGAAGCTGATTACGAGCTCCATGGTGGGTTTTGCTACACAGGCCATTAAATCGAAATATGCAATATAGTGTATTCATAATCCATGTTCTATCTGCCACGAGGAGTTCTTCTTGCTCTTGTTCTGACTTTCCTTTTTCAGGATAAAAGAAAGAAAAAGAACACTTAAACACGCCATGAGATTTCCCATCTATTTATACTGTTTCAACAACTGAGATTTAGTTCAAATATAGATTATTTATAGTGATGAGGGAAATCTTTCAGGCTTGGTCAGTTGGCCCCATGTAGGTATTGATTTATATGGAAGAATTTGATGTTCTGTTAGTCATTTGATAGGTCTGTGCAAGGGGGTTTGATTACCCGATATCGACCCAAGACCCAAGCCCGTCAACAGATAAACCATGCTACTAAAGATATCTATGCGGTTTGGTTAAATGGCCAACGCCATAGAGTCGGTCAATGAAGAAGTTCCACAAAACATTTGTTTGGAGGGAAAAAAAGTTCAGCAAAATCAGGCAGGGATTCGCAGAAGATGACTCCAATATTACTGAGAAAATAAATATCTATCAATGAGCTAATGTAGTGCAATACTTGATTGATCAGGGTGACAACCAAGCTCAGAAGATCTAAATATCTATGCCAGAGCTTGCATCGAGCGCAAATGCCTCGGCATGCCTCTTGCAATACGCTGAGAAAGATTGCAGTCCTGTGCGGACTTCGCAGTCGAAGCAAAGAATTATTTCCAATTCGATAATATTATCTATTTTTAACAGCATTCTTTCTCCTGAAATTAGGGTGAACACCTGTACAGAGTAGACCTCCAAATGCACTTCCCCCATTCGAGGAACACCTCCTCAGGGAACAAATACCCGACATGGATTCGTGCAAAAGTAATTCTTTGTGTATAAGCCACCTAAGACTGTGTACCGTACTTAAGGATACAAAAGATAACAAACCTGCAAGAAAATCTCCCGGTCCTAGCCAGGGTTTCAATACTGAATCAGCCTCACAAAATCCTTTTCCACTTTTTCGTCACATCGGGCTTCTTGTCGCGGTCACTCGGCTTTGTGGGGTAGCAAAGAATGAGAAAACCTGCCAAATTGGTTTAAGTGCATCCATTGACAGCTTCTAATCTTGAGCTCTCCTTCTGGAAAAATTCAAATTCTTGGATGAGTTTAGCCAGCTTCGCGGCATTCTCTTCCTGGATGTGAACTGGGACCTTTTGTTCATAGCCAGATGCATTGATGGTCTTCTTGAGTTTCTCTTGCTGCCTGTATAAGTAGACAGTTCACAAATTATGAGACCCAAGGCCGGCGAGCTCAGTGATCCAGGCCTTGTCTTCAAGGTTTTCATTATAAGATTATAGAGGATCAAGCTAATCATATATCCTAGAAAATGGAGTCATCTGCAGATGATTGCTTCAATTCACAAGAAAAATGAATATAACACGGACCACCTTAACTACGATGACATCAAGTGGATAGACAAGATCAAGGACAAGGGAAAACATCATGGGACTCCTCTGAGAAAATGATATATACAAAAACAAGAGGGGAAAAGAATTTAACAGCTTTCAGTAAAGTTATCAAGAGACAAGGTCAAGAAATTAACGTGGACCATCTTGATGACACCAGGTGGATAAATGAGGTCCACAACAAGGAAAAACATCATAGGACTAAAAGAATTAAATTGCTTTCGGGAAAGTTATCATGGGACAAAACCAGATTTACTCACGAGCGTTTTTGTTAGAATGTGGAATAAAGACAGAAAGAAACTTGCACATTCATTCTAAATTAAGCAGGCTGCAGACATAATGATGTACTGTACAATATTATATCTAAGCTGCTAGCAAAGGCTTTTACCGGTGCATACACTCTCCTCTCACATAACTGTGGGCCCATACATGAATGGAATAAGTGATATCCACATCACAACATAGGAGCAGGCAACACGAGTGCCTAGTAATCTCCCATGATAACAGCTTTGCCAGCAAAGTGTTGATTAGATTCAAGAACGCACATGTACAGAGAGAGAGAGAGAGAGAGAGAGAGAGAGTATATTTTCACTGGACTTACTTTTGAATCTCTTCCATCTTATTCTTGATCTTCTGACGCTCTGCTTCTGCATTAAGTTCTCCTTGAACCTTAAGATACACTTTGAGATTTTCATTCACATTCTCAAAAGCACATCTTGCTGGAGCAACGTCTTTTCCACTCAACATAACCTGTGAATCCACCAAATGAAACTTTGACTGGCCGCAGAATCATCACTTAAACTAAGGAGCAACAGCTAAAGAAAATGAGATACATAACAAAATTAACGAAGAAAAATGGAACCCAAGTTCGGTCTCGCATGGTAGGACTATAAGCAGTGTCGAGGTGTATACACTTCATCCTACTGATGAGTGAGATTTACCCTACATGTGCAGCTGATCATTCAAGAACCTTGAAGATAATCAGCAAGTAACCTTTCAATTATAATTTGAAGACTTTTGTTTTCCACAACAGACCGACTTAAGGAAAGGAGCTTGGTGGGAGTTAATAATAGCTTTTGGAACGAGATTCAAAGGATAAGAATTGGCTTCCATGACCATTTGGGTAATTTACATCACATTCTACGCCAAGCTTATTGATCCAATGCTGAATTGCATTCAAAAGGCAATAAGAACACACAAATTGCAAAAGAAAACACAACTACTTAAGAAACTAATACACTGTACCTCTAATGAAGATAAAGCAGCAAGAGTTGCAATCTCCAATTCATGGCTTTTAATGATGTTTGCTATTTCCTCACTTTGGCAATATGCATGAGCAGGTAGCCTGAGGAAAAAGTTAACTAACAGGAATAAATAAAAGAATATATGATCGCAGATATAACCACAATCTCATATAAACTGAACTTGGCAGATTTTGAGAACTCTTTCCCCAACAGGCCTGGACTATTACAAATTTACAGCATAGAAATCTAACAAAATCCACTAGAGAAATAAGATAGCTCAAATGGTATCAATGGCAAGACCCAGTGACACCTAGCAGAAACTCACATGGTGTAATCTTTCATGCAAATTGGAGTAGATGCACTGTTTCTTCCAATGAACACGACAGAAGACTCTCCATAACAATGAAAGAGAATCTCACATTGAGGTGGTCCTTCCTCAGGATATATCTGAGGAGGATGTAATACTAGCAAGCAAAATACCCCAAGTAAAGGCCTTATGCGTCCATTTCACCTTGTAAATCCTTGAATTTTGACTACTTGAAAATACCCATCAACCCAACCACATCTAATCACACCTTTGTCAAATAAAGAAAGTTCGGTTATGGGCTTTCCCTCATGTCATTATGCACAGTATCAAGCAATCAGGACTTCCAGGAGCACCCTTAACAGGTAAAAATGCCAAGGAAGGCAGACATTAACTTGTTTGCTTTAACTGGTATGTTTCTTTAGATGAGAAGGAAGATACAGGAACCAAAAGACTAAACCAAAAGCTGCATGCAATAAATTAAACAGACCCTCATTAATTTATGACTATCAAGCATGCGTCAGACATTAGCAAATGAATGATTGTATCAGCAATCAAAAATACATTGAAAACAAAAGGTTAAAAACTCATATTTACCTTTCATTCTTATGCTTTGTAAGACCCTCTGACCTTAGTGACCTAAGGGATTTTACTGTAGACTCAATGAGATCCATCTCAAGCTCCACCCTTTCATTTGTCCAGCACTAAAGCAAAACGAAAATCACAAGAATGTGACAAGGACGAAATTAACCCATTGAATTGCTAATTAAATCCATCAACTACAAGCTACCCATCAACATTTTAAATGTTTTGTAGATTACTTAGTAGAACTGCAAATGTCACAAATTAATTAAGCCGTAGGACAAACTTTTTTAAGTCAATTAACCTGGATTTACCTCTACAGGGGATGGGTAATCACACATCATAATTGATTCTTTTCTATCACCGTCCTTTGCAGAAGGCAGGCGCTGCCACAATTCTTCAGTAACAAATGGCATGAAAGGATGAAGCAACCGTAACCCAGTTTCCAAGCATAACCACAAAACTTCTTGTGAAGACTTCCTTTCAGAGGAAAATGTGGGATCCTCAGCAGCAAAGTAAGGCTTGATTGCTTCAATAAAAACATCACAGAACTGATATTGCCACCATGAATATACTGCGGTGGCTGCATCTGAAAATTCGTATGATTCAAGAGATGACATGGTTTTCAATATAGCCTTGTTCAGCACAGATATTATCCATTTGCAGCTAAATGGCATAGTTTCTGGATGTACTTCCACTGGGGGGACAAAATTGTCTCCAAGTTTGGTCATAGCAAATCGAACAGCATTCCACAATTTGTTGCACCATTGACGATATCCAACAACTCTTTGGATATCCAGATTTATTTTGTCAGACTGCAAAAGGATATAAAAGAAGTTACAGATTAATAGTTCTACAACAACAAAGGCAACAATATCAAGGCCCATACATGGTACGTTTTATATATTGGTCAATTGGGGTGGGAAAGCATAAACCTGAGCCGTATAAGATACAAGTGCGAATCGGAGAGCATCAGCACCACATTCAGCAATACCATTGGGGAAGTCTTTGACCTGTCCTGCTTTGGCAACAGTCAGTTCATTAGGGTCCAAATTGCCCTCCTCCAATCTCTTATGAAGACCTTCTAGGCTTATGCCATTAATTACTTCAAGGGGATCGATGACATTTCCTAAAGACTTTGACATCTTTCGGCCATGGGCATCACGTATCATGGGATGCAGATAAACCTGCAATGATATAATATGCATTAAGCAGCAAACAGCAAACAGCAAGCCGATACAATTACTCTTCATTTTCCTAGATGTAGAAGCTCCAAAAATTTTGAATCGTACAGCAATCAGACTAAGCGTTGACTTCCCAAATATTACTAATAAGAAGCGGGTAGTCGGTAATACCAGAAGTGGCAAAAGGAAGGGTTAGACTGACATTTGACCGAGGAAAGAATCCATCTATGCAAATATTAAAAACTTACAGTATCTGACAATGACATGTAACAAAAAACCAAGCTTGTTGGGATAAACCATTTGCATTATATATCGATGTCACTTGCAATCCTTATGCAATTGTGTTGATTTTCCTGGTCATAAAGGGAAGTAGTACGAGATAGATATTTATGAAAGTTTCAACCAACTCAAACACAAAAGAAAAGGATTATGAAATAACAACCAACACAACTCAAACCAATAAAAAAAAAAGAAAAGACACTACACATTTCTAGAGCTTTTACAGAGGACCCCATTCCAACGAAACATCAGGTTTCCAGGAAACAGACGTTCTGCCCAGAGTAAGCAAACTGAGCTATTTGGCCACTAAAAATGCAATTATCAGACATATAGCATCATATCTTTATGAGATCAATGTTAGTAATATGTCCTGCAGCCGTAGTTAACTCACCTTCCTGAAAGGTACATCTCCTCCCAGTTTAATTCCCAACATCACCATTCGGGCAACCCAGAAAAAGAGAATATCATGGCCAGTCTCAAGGACAGAAGTAGGATAAAATGTCTTCAAATCTTCTGTATCGTCTGCCCATCCGAGGACAGTCAATGGAAAAAGTCCAGCTGAAAACCAAGTATCAAGTACATCAGGATCTTGGCACAAATCAAATTTCCTCCCAGCATACTTCTTGCTGGCCTCTGTTCGAGCTTCGCTCTCATCTTTTGCAACTATCCAGTTATCATTGTACGCGCCAAGTTCCTTCAGTTCATCGTCTTCCAGAGTGACATACCACGCTGGGATCCGGTGACCCCACCACAGCTGCCTCGAGATGCACCAATCACGTATATTCTCAAGCCATCTGTGGTGTTAAGACATATCTTTAGTCGTAAATTATTGTAACAATACCGCATAAATAATGCTCAAATGTCCAAAATTAAATTGCATTATACACAAACATCAGTATAAAACCATATTCAACCAGTTATTCTCCAATAACATATACCAACTGTGCACTGGCATTCAGCTGGGCCAAAAATGAGACAGAAGAAAAAACCAGGGAAGAACATTTTCATGCTTAGCCCTTGTTTGTAGCAGCAAGCACTGGCAGCAAAATGTTGGGGAAAAGTGAAGCTTGCACATGTGCTTCCCTTATTTTATTACTATCGTCCAGAACGGTGTGGATTAAATGACAGCACCTTTTCCAATCAGCAGTATACTGTTTAGGAATAATTTCGAGCTTTCTATTCTCAGCATCCATGGCCACATCAAGAGCTTGCTTTGCCATGCCACTGCATTTCACATACCACTGTGGCTTTATTAACGGTTCCACTACATCATTGGTCCTTGAACAAAGGCCAAGCCTCATCTCATTGTTTTTAGAACCTCTATATAGTCCCTGAAAGCAAGAAATCATATACTTAAGTCACTTATGACAACAAACTACCTGAAACTGTGACATGGAGCATCAACTGGACATAGTGGAGAGAGTAAGAAGAGAATAGTCTAGGAGAATATAGTAAGCATCCATGTCAAAAAAGTGGAGAAAAGGACAGAATTTACTAGCAATGCCATATGACAGAATGCAATAACGTTCCACCAACATCACAAACAATTGGCCCATGCCTTAAGATGTGTCATAATTATGCCCACATAAAGCATGCATGATGATAAGTAAAGACCCGAGAACAAAGCAAATGGGGAAGTAGATAAGTTTGAACAATGATTATTGTTCAACAACTTGTGAACATTTGCCTTCATATTCATTCACTACAAAATATTTCACCAGCTTCCAGTCAAAATCATTTCATCTCTAGTTAAGAGTTCTTTCTTTGGATTCTTCAGAAACGTGCCTCTCCTGTGGGGCACGTGCACTCAGAGTGATGAGACATGTGAGTTCAATCTAAATAGCCAGTGGTGTCCTCCAAGAAAATTGAAAAGCTATCTGCAGTCAACCATATCATCCACCAAAGGAGGTTAAAGATGTAGTTCATGGATCAACAAACCAAGAGTTAAATAACGTATTAGTTGTTTAAGCTTCAGTCAAGTACGATGTTGCCAATCTATTTAGATTGAGAATGCAACTCAGCTCAATTGACTAGCCTTCCTTTGGCCAAAAACAAACAAATAAATAAACTCACTAACTTCCGAGCCAGCACTAAAAATATTTTAGCAGAGTTACCGAATAGAACAACTGAGGAAAAATTTATCAGCATCAGAAAGTAATCCATGTTTTCTAGAAGGAAAGCCTTGTAGGCAAATCTGGCATGACACCCATCTTGGTAACTCATGGATTAAGCTGTGCATGGTATCTTTCAGTAGGGGCTGGTGGGGTGGAGATGTTGGAAGGACACGGTTTGATGATGGAGCCAAGAGGAAAATGAAGTGACGCAAGAAAAAGATGTGGTCTGAACATGACATGGGTTTGAATTTTAATAAAAGGTAGTAAAATGCAGTCATGTTGTGGTAGTCATGGATGGGGTCAGTATGGCCACCCAATAGTGGATGGAAGTCTCAGCAATTAGTGGCCATAGCAGACATGAATTTTAAAACCTTCACACAATATTTTAAATCATAATTTAACTTATAGGGTTAAATTGAGACGTTATAGGAATGTCACAATGCTTTTCAAATCATCTAATGGTATCAAGAAGTTGAAAGACATAAATCTGATAATCAATTTGTCGGATAGGACATAACAGGCTGAAATAAAATAGAATTTGATCTTGCAAATTTATTATTGCATTAAGCATTTAAGATATGTCTACCAATCTTCATATTGCAGCAATACATCTATGGCTTCCATGGATATTTTACCTTCTCCTGCAGTGCCACAGTAATAGCTTGACGGGCCTTAAAGCGTGGCATCCCGACAAACTCTGAACCACCATTGCTGTTTATTCTCCCATCATCAGTGAAAATGTTGATAAACTCAAGATTATGACGCCTTCCAACCTCAAAATCATTTGGATCATGTGCTGGAGTGATCTGAAAATGGTGGAACAGGATATTAAAGGTGGCACATGATAACCAAAATTAAGCCTTTGAATTGCAATTGATTAAGATCTATACCTTGACAGCACCGGTCCCAAAACTTGGATCAACAAGAATTGCATCACCAATGATGGGAAGTCTTCTTCCGTTGAAGGGATTAATTGCAAATTTGCCATGCAGATGACTATACCTTTTATCATCAGGGTGAATTGCAATAGCAGTGTCACCAAGCATTGTCTCCACTCTCGTCGTCGCAACAACAATCTCTCCCAGGCCTTCCTCCAGTGGATAAGCAAATGAAGTTAAAACTCCAAATTCTACTGGATCTTCATAGCCAGGAACTTTTAGAAGCTTCCTTTCCTTGATGTCCGCATAATCTACCTACAAACAGCTGCATCCAGATAAGGGAGAGAAAGGGACAAAATAACTGCACGGTCACAAGGAAAACACTCACCTCAATGTCAGATATTGCGGTCCTTAAGATACAATCCCAATTCACAAGGCGGAGATCCCTGCAAGAATTTTATTTAAAACATGCAGATAAACAACTAAAAATTAAATATGTAAATGAAAACACACAACCTATGATTCAACCATTTAGTATTAACGTATTAGACATTGATTATCTCAGCAGTAATTTATCAAACTGATGATTATCAGCCGTCGGTATCAAGAATCTTTGTTGGGACGACTGCTTCCAATAAGAAGAAACTCATTAGCTTTTTAACCAAAAAGTCTCAAATATACTTGCGAACTATGAGTCGATAAGTAGAATACAACAGAGATCAGAAGGAGGAAAAGAGATACTGGCAACAAGGAATGCTACTTGTCAAGTACCTATAGATAAGACTCTCTTTAAACAGCCGAACAAATGCTTCAGTAACAGCTCTTGATCTTCTCTCATCCATTGTAAAGCACTAGAAATTAAAAGGAAAGAGAAATATTTCAGCGAAAATAAACATTTCCTAGTTAATAAATCATGACAAAGATAAAATGCAGATATCAATAGCAATGTCTATTAACAAGTTTTAAACTCAAGCGTACATAATACTCTCCAACTCAAAGCACTTTATCATGGGAAAGTCTAAGTTAATGAATTTGGAAGAGTTACCTCACGGGACCAATCGAGTGATGCACCCAAACGTCTTTGTTGCCTTAGTATAGTGCCACCATACTCATCCTTCCACTTCCAAACCTATTCACAACAAGAGAAAAACGAGATACACTGAGCAAAATGACTTTCACACGGACAGTGAAACAACCACCGAAGGTGAATTAGCTAGGATAATAGTTTCACCTCAGACACAAATTTCTCACGACCAATATCATGCCTAGTCAAACGACGTTCGCGCATTAGCTTCTTCTCCACAACAACCTGCAATATAGCATCCACAATCTTCCACCTTAATATCGAATGAACATCTTCAGGCTCAACCAACCACAATGTAGACCTAACGCCACGCGGTTTCTTATTTAGATGAGGGATTTAGTATGGGGAGGTTAGGGAAAGAACCTAAGTCAAAAGTTCACCAATGTCATTGCCTCAGGTAATACATGTTAGGATGCAGCATGGTCATTTCAATAATATTGCCTCACCGTAATGCTGTTAACTGCTACCATATCATCATATTTACTTGACAAATGGAAAGGATTTCAACTATCATATCTCAGACGTATCAAATGTATGGAACTACAAAATCTGTTTTATGAGGGGCAATGAAACCTTCATCTGAACCCCATATTCAGTAACTAGCCAAATTAACCACAGATCCCAGTAAAACCTGGATCTGACTCTGAATCCACAATATCTTCTGATATTCACCAGAATACTGCAGGAGGCAAGCATAAATTTTTAATGGAGCATTAAACCTAGCTTTTCATTAACCTACATTCCCCCGAGTTGATTAGATATCACTCACATGAAGTGTGAAAATGACTCGTAGCATGGCAGGTAAAAAGATAAGACGTGATTAGAACTGGTAGGAACCATAGACCAATAGAAAGCCAATTGAAACTTAAAGAATTCAAAACAATTATGGACATTCTAATTGAAGCCAACATGACAACTTTCTTCACCAATACTCACATAGTGGCAACCTCTACACAGCGTCTCAACTACCAAAATGCCACTTCGGATCAATTATTGCTACCGCACTGCAACTGTCGAACTACCACACATGATTAGACTAAGGCCATGATGGTATTCTCTTCACTTAACTAATAAAGGAAAGATTTCAGATTGACTGCTTTTAAATATACAATAGACATTTCTATGCGACAAAATGACAATCAGGCCTGATGCTAATCGTGGCAAAGGACAGGGTGAAAGTCCTGCATCCTTTGGCAAAGGGAGAACGAGTTATAAAGGTTATGGACCATGGCTGGGAAAAATAGCAATAAAAAGATAAGGTCTTGATAACAGTTTTTGGCTTTTTCTACATTGAACTATTTGTCTACCGAGTTTTTTTAAATAGGTAAAGAATTGAACAAGCGACTTTCCATGATAATCCTCAAGATCCCATTTGCTCATTTGGGGAAAAGCAAAAGAGATAAAAGGATCTCACACCTGCGTTGCAATCCCAGCATGATCCATGCCAGGCACCCACAAGGCATTATATCCAGACATTCTCTTCCAGCGAATGATCGTGTCCTGCACATGATGAAAATTCTGACATGAAGGATGTATTTAGACTTCGTTATCAAGCAAGAAGAGAATGCAGAAACAGTCACGCAACCTGTATAGCAGATGTGAGGGCATGGCCAATGTGTAGGGCCCCAGTCACATTTGGAGGGGGAAGAACCTGCATAATACGAGACATTAAGAAAAAAAAAAAGGTAAAAAGCAGTGGTCAGCCCAAAAAAGTTAGAAAAGAGGACTAAAATCTAAAGTCTAGAACTGATAAATTATAATGAGATTGTGGGCAGGTACTCTTCCAATCAAACATACAATTTTTTTCAACAGAAAAAATTTAAAATGCAGCATGATCTCCTTCTTAAGCCCATTGATACTGATACGATGGCCGTTTTAAGCATGAATTATTCGATATACACACATTATCAACAAGAAAAGCATACAAGTAGCCAATTCTTAACTCATTTCGAGATCCATGTACCATATTTAAGCAATTACAACAATAAAGAATTATACTTCGAAGAGAAAAAGCCATGAGATTAGGACATTAATAGCCAATCGAAATACGAGCAGACTACATGGAATCTTTCTAAATTTGACAGCTTTTTCCTAAAAAGTACACTTCCTACCACACTCTTACGTTGAGTAGCATTTGGTAGTGAATTAATCCATGCCAAAGTTAATCCTCTGACAATTACGCTTGCAAATAGTTTTATAAATTCGTGCTCTCAAAATAGGAAAAAGAAAAAAGAAAAGCATTGAACCATCAAAAAGCATGCATCTTTAAATGTGAAATAACAGAATAAATACTGAATATGTGAGGTCTATTTATTTGAAATTACACTACAAATTTTCCAGTAGAACCTAAACTAGTGAACAAAACTTACTGAATTGAATCTTAAGATCCCCAGTAAGATCCTCACTTAGTCACCGATACCAAGTTGCAAACAATAAGCCTTAGAAAAGTGTCCAGAAGTAGATTGTACTCACAATTACAAATGGTGGTTTTGGGCTGCTGGCATCTACCACAAAGAAGCCTGACTTCTCCCACCATGCATACCATCTAAATCAACAGGAAGTGGATCCAAAAAAAATTCTAAGAAACAATAATGATGAGAATACAGGGTAAACAAAAGAGAAGTTCATTCTTACGATTTCTCAACGGCGCTTGGATTATACTGCTTTGCCATTTGGCGGGATAGCCTCTTCTTCTCGCCAAATGGAGTCTCTGGGTCGACATAATCACCTGGATTCTCTTCACCTGTCTCTCGCTTTATACTCTTTTTTGCACTCTTTTTGGTGGCGTCAGCACCTTGTTGAGCCTTGAAAAGAAAATAAAATGAAAAGGCATCGATGTTAGTACGCATACAGAGTTTGGCATTTTCGAGACCCTATATACAGCAAATCATCAATCGCCAATATTGAAAGCTATGAGATTCAAAGCAAGTACACATAGGAGCAATTACGAATCATTGACAAGAACGATATAGTAAAAATTCTTTTAAACAGGTTTATAATAGTTTACCTTAAGTTTAGCAAGCTCTGCTTTTTCAGCAGCCTTGAGTTTCTTCAATTCCTTCTCCCTTGCCTTCAAACAAATACGAAAACGCAACACCGAATATCAAGACAGATTCCCAATGACAAAACTAATAAAAGCCCACTCAATTTGGCGAAAACCGTGACAGTTTTTCCAGTGATTCTGACCGCCTCTGCGGCATGCTATGCAAAATGGATAGGAATACATGCAGAGGGACAAGCTGATTGTTGCTTGATCTTAGTCATTCATTCAAAACTGTAAGATTCATGCACTATGATATAGCCAGACAAGCAAAACAAAATGACGTGCATTGCACCTGAGGAGGCACGAGGAATTAGATTGGAAACCAAACCAAATGAAGTCTGATGCATTAAAAAGATAATCAAATGATGCATTGACTTTAACCTTCTCTTCCTTCTTCTTTTTCCTCTCAAGGTCTTCCATGCCTTCCCGCCTGTTATCCAGTTGAGACTGCACGACCCACATCAATCCATCAATCTAATCATTACAGTTACAGAGCTGCCACTTCCACAGCTAACCAAACAACTCATACGATACGATCACATGAGCTTCCACACAAAAAGAAAAAAAAATACCATTTCGATGGTTGAGCTTCGTTTAGAAGTAGACCCAACAGCCGCCGGCCAGCAAGGGCGGCGACCGTGACTTAAAGGACACGACTCGACGGCGGCCGAGCTCGACGGAGGCGGAGGCGGAGGCGGCGGAGGCGGCGGCGCTTGTCAGGAGGGTTTGTCTCGGACACGGCTCTCTGACACTTCGATTAATTTAAGAAAGAAATTCGCAAAAACGACATGGGCAGCCTCCGGCGGGGGCGCGAAATCAGCCATTTTTCTATTTATTCGCAAAAATAAAAATTTATTTTTATCTTGTATAATTTGACACAAAGTAAGTAATTACAAATTACAAAATAATAACATCGTTCATTTTATTTCATGAGTCCAAATATATAGTGGTGTATTTTCTAATTATAATTTATAAATTTATAGATTTTAAGGAACGATTTTGATTATAACTATCATCGGAGAGCATACAGATAATAATGTAATGTAAATGTAACAGGTGTACTTGAATAATAATAAAAGAAATCATATTCCAATATTAATTTTTAAGGAAAAAGCGACAAAAAATCCCCAAGCTATACCCACCGTGATATATTTATCGTAAATTTTTTCTTATGACACACGTTTACCATCTATCAAAGTTTTGTCGAATGATATTTCAGTCAAAACAAGTTTCAACGTAATCAGATTTTTAATGGTCCTCATTAATAAAACTTTGACGAAGGGAAAATGTGTCACATAAATTGAAATTTGAGATTTTTGGTGTCATAGAAAAAATTTATGGTAAATTTATCACGATCGACATTGTTTGAGATTTTGGTGGTTTTTACCTAATTTTCATTGATACATTATAGGGTTAATACCACGAAAAACCCAAATTAGATACACTGTGACAATTTTACCCAAAACTATTTTTTTCATCATAAAAATCCAAGCAATGGTACACTTGTGACAAATCTACCCGAACTATTTTTTACCACAAAAACCCAATTGGTATACACGTAACAATTTTACCGAACTAATTTTTTAATATTATTTTTATTTTTCGAATTTTTTATTTATTTTTTATTTTTTCTTTACTTTTTTCCTTTCTCTTCAACCTCGGCGGTCGCCGGACAGACTGGCCGAGGCGGCCGACAGGTCGGCCAGCCGTGCCGGGTGAGGCTCGACCTCGCCGGCGTTAGCGAGTCGGCCTCGCCACGCACGGCGAGTCGGCCTTGCCCAACGCCGGCGAGGTCGAGCCTCGCCCGCTGACGGACCGGACCCTCGCCAAATCTGGCGAGGTTCGACCTTGTCGTTGGCCAGAGGTTGAAGAGAAAGGAAAAATAAAAAGTAAAGAAAAAATAAAAAAATTAGAAAAATAAAAAATAATATTAAAAAATTAGTTCGGGGTAAAATTGTCACATGTATACCAGTTTGGGGTTTTTGTTGGTCAAAAAAATAGTTCGGGGTAGATTTGTCACAAGTGTACCAATTTGAGGTTTTTTATGGTCAAAAAAATAGTTTGGGGTAAAATTGTCACAAATGTACCAGCTTAGGATTTTTCGTGTATTAACCCTACATTATAAAGGCAACGTTATCTTACAAAACGATTAAAAGAATGACAATGAAAGTCATTGATGTTCTGCGGTTTGACCGATTGAGTTCTTAACATTTTATTTTGCTTAATTGAGTCCTCAGCATTTTCAATTTTAGTCAATCAAGTCCCTCAATTCTTATCCTTGGAAAAAGTCGCATGGCTATGAATTCCCGAAGGAGATGCCCGAGGAGAAACCTGTAGGAGGCGAAGAAGCTATTCAAGCAGAACTTCTCAAGAAGCCAATTTTTCAGACAGTTTCTACATCATCACATAGAAAAAGTACTAGGATTCCATTACCCATTTCACTTATTTCAGCTATAGACTCACGACTATTGAAAGTACATCAGGCATAGTTTGTTTGTACACCAGTAGAGCAAGTAACAAGGTAGAGCTTGAAGCTCTCCTCCTGTCTCTGAAATTCCCACTTTTCCTCTCCATGTGATCAGCTTTGCCAGAAACAATTTCCAACTTCCCACATTGATGGTGTCACTTCAAGGAGTTCTCGATGTCAATCACGAATCGGTACTTAATATCTCTCTTGATGAGCCTCTCGAGGGCTTCATTGGCATAATCGATCGGTATCACTTCGATTTTCGGGTATATCTTCTGCGCCGCACAGAGGTCTATCATTTCTTGGATATCCTTTGTTCCTCCCGTTACGCTACCCGAAACAGTTCTCATACCTGCCAAAAGTTCATCGCGAGCAACTTAGTTCGTTCGCATATCTAGTAATCAGATTTGAGAACAAAAACATACTGAGGTTAAGGCTTGCTGGACTGAATTTGACTTCGCTCGGGAACCCAACCAATGCTAGAATGCCACCCGTCTTCAAAAGAGACATGTAAGGATCAAATGGGTGATCGCCAGCTGCCGTGTCGATTATAAAGTCTAGGGACTTAGCCACGGCCTGCATGCATTGGATTCATCAGATCACGACAGAATGTGGATAATTCCATTTTTTTTTTCCTTTTTTACCTTCATCTGCTCTTGGTCAGATGAGAGAACGAAGTGGTCAGCACCAAGCAGGCTCAGTGTTTCCTCCTTTTTGGAAATGCTTGTGCTGAACACTGTGACTTTCAGTCCAAAAGCCTTCCCAAACTTAACTGCCATGTGACCGAGCCCACCGAGTCCAATTACGCCTAGAGACTTACCGGGTTGGTTCATCTTGTGACGCATCATTGGAGTGTATACTGTGATTCCAGCACAGAGCAATGGTGCTGCTAAATCCATCGGGTAGTTTTCTGGTATCCTAAAGCAGTACCTGTCAATGAAGCACCACAATTAAGTTTCCAAATAACACCAAAAGAGAGTGTTTTTCCCAATAGAATCAGCATCCCATCTTTTTTGTTTAACAAGAATCAAATCATAGAGCCAGAAATCCCATTTTCCACGTGCTTGGGAATTTTACTTGCTTAGACCACAATTCAGCATCATTTTGTTTCTGTGAGTCTTTTTCTGACCACAAATTGCTCAAGACAAACTTCTTGCTGTAGCAACATAAGTAAAGCTATTGCAGCACACAGAGGAGACCGTACTCGATCAAAATTGAGAAAAGAGACGCCCTAAGAAAGGAAACTGGTGGCATATTCATATGCTTGACAGAACATGTAATTTCTCTATTCCCCTCAATCAATATCTCCAAGGGACATGAAATTCCTGTGACTCCATCAGATACAAGAATCGGTGAAAGCACATACATTTTGTTACCCATTTGATCTAATACTAACTATCTAACTCTATGAAACAATCTAAGTACCACTTTTTCCATTCTTGAGATGGTTTATTAAAAAGAAAAAATTTCTCTTTGCATTTATTGAACTCAATTCTCCATTCAATTGTAATCGGATACACAGGACTTAGAGACTCTCCAGAGTAGTTATAGAAAGTATCTTTATACCTTTCCACAAGATGCAATTGATGCCTAAAATGCCATCCTCACTGTCCTATGCACTATACCACTACTGGCCACAATCAGAATAAGAAGAAAATTAGCAGAGAAGAACCCATGATTTGAAATCTTTTTTCAGCCAGCATGATTTAGAATTCTTGCACAGTGTAAAATGCTGTCTAATAACATTGTGTCATAAAGCAATTACCTTTCATGAACGACAATGTGACCAGAATATCCTCCCTTTGTGACCGTACCGTCCGTATCAATTCCGTCAAAAGTCAAAACTACCTTTTCGCATTGGACTTCTAGCCCGTCATTGCAATACTCGCACTCTCTGCATGAGTTGACATAAGTTCCCACACCTACATGATCACCGACTTTGAAGCGTCGGACACTGGAGCCAACCTCTTTCACAATTCCAACTATCTCATGCCTGAATCAATCAGAAAATCATTTGCAAATTTTGTTCAGAGAATTATGAGGAGGGTGCTGAGAAAAAAGAGTAACATTCAAGTTCCGCTGCATCCTACCCTGGCACCAGAGGATACTTGGAGTGTCCTTGCACATTCCTAGTCCAAGCAACATCAGCATAGCACACTCCACAGTGCGTGATCCTAATCGAGACGTCATCGCTTCTCACGGCCCTAAAGAGGTAATTCCCAAACAGGTGAGCATCTAATCAAGTGACTAATCAGACTCGGGTACCTTTTTTTCTCAATTTTCAGATCATTAAACTAGGCTTGACCTACGATTATCGAGAAAACAAGAAACGAGAAATGAGAAAAAGAAAAATTCCATGACTATAAGCATTTGACTATATGGTACATACAACCTAAAATGCTCAGAAAGGCGGCTGGTACAGGATCCTCACGTCTGCCATGAAATTCTGAGGAACCCGTTACCAATTATTCTCAACCCAGAATTTAGAGCATACACAACAAAAGAAAGAAAGCAAAATGAAATGGTTTGGTCGATGTGGAGATTTAAGATAAATGACACGCATCAACAACTGTTTCGCATTACAGGGGAGAAGATAAGACCTGACAACACCGTACCGAGACTCTCACATGAACGAACACTTCAACAGAAATCGAAGAGGATAAAAAGCCAACGAATTTAACACAGAATGATAAAAGACAGGCAATACCTGCGGCTGAATTTGTAGGGGGAGAGAAACCCAGAAGGGTCTCGGGCAGCCCAACCAAGGCAGTCCTCCTTCGCACCCTCCGAGCTCATCTTCTGTAACTGCACCCAGCGAAGCAAATCACACGACCCCTCAGCGTGCGATCACGTAACCAGATAAGACAGATCCATCAAACAACAAGAAGAGAAAGGGAACAGAACTTGAAGGCGAGTGTGCCCAAGATCAGAGACTCGACAAGTTATCACTCATTGACCCACTCACTCGCACACCCCACACACACCCACACACAACCCCACAGAGAGAGAGAGAGAGAGAGAGAGAGACCCAGTTGCGGAAATGAAGATTGAAAGAGGTTAAGCGGCGCCGGATGCGGAAGCGCGAAGAGGGTGATGAGCAGCAGAGCCTGAAGATGGAGGCCCTGCGAAGAAGGCTTCGTCGGCCTTTTCCAAGATAGCTGCGAAGTATATCCGATTCATTTATATAGTCGTGGGAAATAGTTGGAAAATTTGAAATAAGGACAAGAAATAGGATTCTTTTCCTCAAAGGTTTAATACCACGAAAAATATCAAATTCGTACATGAGTAATAAATTTACTTCAAATTAATTTTTTGATCACCAAAAACTCAAAATTAGTACATCTGTAATAATTTTACTCTCCAATAGTTTCCATTAAATTTTACTGTCAAATTTCTGAGTCGATGATACGTGATAGTTGATAGGTATATCAATTTAGGGTTTTACACTCCGTTTGTCATGGGTGGACCAGTTTGTAATTTTTTGGGATATTAATTCAATTTAATGGAGGGTAAATTTGTCATAAATGTATCAGTATGGGGTTTTTGGCGGTCAAAAAATTAGTTTGGGGTAAATTTGTTACAAGTGTACCAATTTGAGATTTTTCGCGGTCAAAAAATTAGTTTTGAGTAAATTTATCACGAGTGTATCAGTTTGGAGTTTTCCGTTGTATTAACCATTCCTAAAAAGAGGATTCCGACCGGATTTTATTTTAAATAAGGGTCGGATGGCCAATTTAATCTCAAATAAGGGTTTTAATCTGTTCGCCGGCCAGGGGACTAGCTTGCTATTAATGAAATAATCATTTTCTAAAGTCGCGTAAAAACTCGAGTTACTTCTGATACCCGGCGATTTTGGACAACAATATTGAAGGAGATTTTATTGTCGCAGAATTTTCATTGGATCGTCAGAAAATTGATTATATAAAATGGAGTCTGAAATAAACATTTAAGTTTGCTTTTGGCATTGAAAAGAAAACATAAAGGGAAAATGTTGAGTACAGTTTTAGTTCGTGAGTTTCTATGATGCATAGGATCTAGTCTTCTAACTTTCATTTTATACGCTCGAATCTCTTATCATTTTCCACTTGTGCAAATTGGTCTTCCAAGTTTTTTTTTTTTCAGTCAAGTCATTTAACGCTGTTGACTCGTGCAATCAAATGCTTCATCTACCCATAATAACAAACATTATCGAATTTCGTTTTTTATTAGCAGTTAATTTTTCGCTCATTTGGCACCACCTTAGTATTGTGTGACATTTTTCTACCTCAATGACAATACTACGTCATTAATTACTACGACGCATTTGGTAGGAGCAATTCACTAAATGATTTGATTGCACAGATCGAGAAAGTTAGAAGACTCGATTGAACAAAAAAAAAAGTAAAGACAACCAAATTGTACCAAACACCACAACTTAGAGGACTAAAATTATATTAAATTCTAATGGCAAACAAAATTTAATATTTCCCCGCTCCAATAACTGGCTTTGACGTAACCAATGTAACATTTCAAAAGTTGAGGCCTTATGCAATAATATTAAAAAAAGAAAGTATGAGTTGGATAGAAAAGGACAACAGCTATTAAAATTAAACAATCTTTTTCAAGTCTCATTCAGAACTTGTTACTCCTACCTTACCATTTTGACCCTTTTGAAATTGGAACTTGAAGATCACTGGCTTCGACATAACCAACTCCAAGAGTCAAGGCCTTACGCAAATATAGTATATAGAAATGAAAGATAGAGTTGAGAAGGAAGGGACAATAGCTGTTAAATTAAACATTTTCCCAAGTCCCATTCAGAACCTGTGACACCCTTTCATTTTAATCATTTCTATAATGAAGCAGAAGATCACTGGCTTTGACATCACCAATGTAAGCACTCCAAGAGGTGAGACCTTATGCAGAAGTATTAAAAACTAAAGATGGGTGGCGAAGATAAGGAGAATAGCTGTTTAAAATTAAACCCTTTTCAATTCCCATTTAGAACAAAAATGTGATGGACCTGAGTAAATCCTTAAAAGGCTTAAGGGGAGACAGAAGAAGGAATTCCCTGGTAATTGTGGAGGGATCTCCCTGTAAGTTAACTCCACATTCCTTCTCTCCCAAGAAGAAAAACAATGGGAGGGACACATGGGGGCCTCCTGGATGGAGAGGGTATAATCCATGTAAGCTCCGGTTGACTATTTCTAGGTAGGCTGGTATAGTAGCCACCCGTGCCTAGGGTGACAGGAGAGGAGCTTCGGCTCCTGCTGGTAGGCCCATGCTTACACATAGTGACAAGTAACTGTTTTGCCTGCGAGTATCCCTGGTTCTTGATAGTGTGCGTAGCTGCGTGTAAAGATGCTTTTCTAGGGTAAATTCGCACTTGAAATCCTAAGATTTATTTTCAGTATTTTACATTTGCTCCAATCAACTCCTGAAACATTTTTTAGGAAAATATTTTTCAATGAATAAAACAAAGAGTTAGGTTAATTTGCACTTTTCAACGTTAATTCAGAACTCCGTGTTCTTTTAGTTACTTGAACTCTAATGGCTAAAATGTGTGCGACTCAATCACACCTTTTGATAACGATTTAACACTTGATTTCACCGATTAAATATATTTAGTACTTAATTACATTTCGCCTTATGTTTAGGATTTTCATTTTATTATATTTTCTTGTAAGGTGGGGGGGGGGGGGGCGTGTTTAATAAACCGTACCTCATCTCATCATTGAAAGAGACATGATTGACGTGAAAAACACTAACAATACTAAAACGCAGACATGATTGACGTAGAGATTCTTACAAGAAAATCCAATAGAAAGAAGTCTCTCTAGTCTCTGACGCATGGCATGACCTCGTCTTGGAGTGTGATAGTGTTCTGCAATAGCTCTGACATATTCAAGTCAAGAAGGCCCACGATGCATGTGATGCAACCAAAGATTTCCATTCCATATTTCTCTGGTAACTATTCATGTTTACCTCCTGTGAACCGAAGGACAAGACCAATCCATAAAGCTGCGGAGGATTAAGAACAACCAGCCATAAGCTGTTGATAAATTCGGTTAATCGTTCGAAGCTTAAGTTAGCGAATCATTTAAAAGTTTAAGCAAATGACTAAAAATGTCAGATGTCAAATAGAAGGAAAATCTGCAGAGTCAACATCCGCGTCGGCTCAACGATGGCATATCAACAACTAAGGGAAAAATCTGCTCCTAAATATTTATCCGAAACTGTAAATGAGGATCACGTTGCACTTGTGTAACTCCTTTAACGCAGATCGATGGTCATACTCCAGCTAGCTTTGTCAGAAGTTTGAGGACTCTAGACGGACAGGCTCTAATTGCAAGAAGACTTGTTCCCTTAAATGCTCATCTTTGTTCTGCGCTGGAAGTACTTTTAGCAGATAGCTGTGCCTCCAGAAACAAATCGCACGAGGTGGCCCACAATTCTCTGGCAAGTTTGGCGTCGTACGAAAGTGAAGAAGAGTTGATAGTCCGGCCCTTCCCACCAAAGAAATACACACCAGAAATTTCCTGTATTTGCAAGACAGCTATTTAATGTGGCTATTTGTAAGCATTGTTCCAACATGTAATAGCTGCTGCATAAGATTGATACCACAGATTATCAGCAGAGAATGGAAATTCAATTCCAGAAACACATACTCTCATACCGTATCAACAATAATGGAATTCACGTCAGATGTTAGTGCGACCTCAATTGAGGATAAAACCAGATAGACTCATCCAAGATGGTTTAGATGAGTGAAGCACCAGTATAGGAATGTTTAAGACCACCCCATTTAGTGGAAAATATTCATTAACACCCACCATGTGTGACTCTTGTCGCCTACTGAGATGAAACCCAAGTGATTTATCGCAGTCCCATCTAGCAAATAGCAGAAAATAAAGATAACGATTGCAGTCAGAAAAACTCACTGGAGAGGCAAGGGCTGCATCCAGAATTGAGTTGACCGCACTTTCAGGTGAATCCAAAAGGCCCATTGCAGTTAAAACTGCAAAAGCTGTGTAGGAAAGGTAAGGGGGAACTTCTCGCATGATACTGGTTTTCACCACTCCAGGATCCACAGCACTACAATAAAAAAGAAACAGAAGAGAATGTCTTAATTTTGATGCCAGAATGTATTCATACACAAGATTATAGAGAAAGTGAATCTACAAAGTCTAAAAACATCTTCCTGCTTATAATCATCTAGCATGATCTCTCTGACAACCCAATACCAGGTTATTAGCTAAAAAGGGATAGGTCATGGAATTCTGGAAATTGGAAAGTTCAAATTTAAGTACCGTACAAACTTAAGGGTGAGATTACACTGTCCTACAAGAATGTGAAATCCAGAGTAGCAGAATTGTTGATACATACACAATGGAAACATGACAGGAACTTTCTGAGCGAAGCCGTCGATGAAGTTCGTATGAGAACAGTAGAAGGCATACTGTAAACAAATAGGAAACTCTTACTAAAGTTGAGATAAGAAGCAATATTTGCTTCTCGAATAGTGCTGTATCTTTCATTCTATCCTTTTCTTTTAGTTGCTAGGCTTCTTGAAAAACATATTTAACTTACATTTTGAATAGCCATATATCCGTGCACATGGATACTGTTTCATCCTGAAGGAACTCTTCCCAGTAACACTTTCCTTGTCAAACATCATACCACGTACTGACGATGAGAAAGACCAAGGAAAAGATAATTTTAAATAAAAAATAAAAAACCATGACTCTAAACCTAGTATAACAAGTGCACTACGACAGAAACTGCGCAAAGAAGAAACTGGACAGCAAGAAACTACAAACAAACAATACCAACTATTTGACATCGTAAAAGAGTTCCACATATCAGACAAGGAGTACAGCTATATTGCACCTTCTAGTTTTAGCTTGCTATTTCAGGCACTGTAGAAGTCCTAGATGGACACTCTATTTAGTTCACTAATTGAACAAAAAAATGACATGCCATAAGGGTCAGCAAGCCCAGGTTTCACAGAGGAGCCTACTTGCAGGCACAAGATGCATCAACCCATGGCCACCAGCTGCAATGTATGTTCCACAGAATTTGGCCAAACAGACAATATAAATAAAAGCATTTCTGATCACAAAGTGAAAACATCTAACCGCTTCGATGCGTAAAAGATGTGAGATTGACTATCCGAGATGGAACAAGGCTGTTTCTGAGAAGTGGTAATAAATGCTTTGTCAGAAAGAATGCTCCCATGTAGTTTGTTGCCATCATCCTGGTGCAAAAAGATGAGGCGATAAGAATCAACAAGAGATCAGGCAACAATGCATTATCAAAGTCAGTAGAGACCAGGCAACAATGCATTATGAAAGATTGCATTTAATAAATTCCATTCCAAAAGAAAAGTTGCAAGGAGACAATGGAAATGGTGGCAGACGCCACTCGCTACTGAGGCAACAAATCTCGGCAAGTAAACTACGAGTTGACAAGCTATATAGGCAAATCAAAATCACTAGAACTTAAACTTTCACTTTGGATAGTGACGGCAGTATTAGCGTACTTATTTACAAGTTAGAAGACATGCATCATCATTTGTAAAAACTAAAACAACAGAACATATAATCTCCACAGCAACTGGTGTAGTGTTCAAATTGCCAAACATTTAGATATTTGGAAAGAATATTGCACAAAACTTTCCATGGCAATAAGATAATTACTCATCAAAGCCTTCAGCTGTAATTCTCCTGGATGTTGCCAATATTCCAGCATTATTTATCAGAAGTTGGACCGAAGCATGCATATTTGATTCCACCAGCCATTGCTCAAGGGAGCATCTGAAGTGTAAGATTGATTGGATAGATGATATGTCAACTTGAAAAGCTTTAAGATGGGCATCCTTATTGTGTTTACAAATCTCTGCCACTCTCTGTGACCCAAAAACAACGATCATCAAGAGCATCGTGTAGAGGAAAGAAGTTAAAACGGATGCCGCACAATAAGTACCTTCGACAACCTATGAGCAGACCGTCCAACTGCAGAGAGAGCATGAATTTCAGTCAAATAACTGTACCTGTATGGATCAAAACTCATTCTTCTTGTAACAAAGAAAAGATGCATTTTGCATTATCTCTAAGGACAACAAACAGTCATTTGTACGTTAGTTGTCTTGTTTAGCCATTGACAAGTTTTTCTCTTTGCTTGAATCACCATGTAAAGACCAGAGAACATTCATATATCAATCCATAACTCTTCCTATGAGAGTGTTCATCATGGGCTGGTTGTGGCATTTACGTAGACAGCCTAGTTCTTTTTTGTTCCCCCCATGTAGCAATTGATAATCATGTCAAGTCACTTCTCAACAAGATACTCACTTGGCTTCAAAAAGGCTAGACAAAGGTAGAGGTGGGACAACATGTAAGCTCTTTTAGATAACTCACGCTGAAGGTAATGTCATCATCATCCTTTCTTGTGATAACTTAACAGAAGTCATATCTGATTCATTTGACACTGAAGTACTTTTTTCCTCTTTTGGGGTTTGGGTTGGGGGAAGAGAATCAGAATCTGGATATTTTAATTGTCCGCACACAGTGTCGGAGCCAGAAATCTGTATTCTTTTTTTTTTTTTTGGGGGGGGGGGGCGGAGAGAGCAATATTTAAGACCACGAATATGTGAAAAAAAGAAAAAAGTTAAATATTAAATACATTAAACTTCACATCTCACTTTATTTGTGTTCATGAAGGAATAAAATCAATTTTGAATGCTAAGTGAGATAGAAACAAAAAAAGGGTAATTCAAAATTAATGTCTAGCCGATACGATCTTTCAGATAATGAAATTCGTATTTATAAATATATGTTGGTATTGCATTAACATAGAAACTCAAACTTATTGGTGAATAGTTTCTACCAATTCTGAAAAAATATAAACCATATCTGTCTTATAAAAAAACTAATACAAGAAATATTAACTTAGAAACGGTTTTTAATAACTTGAGTTTAATGAAAAGTATCGGTAATTGCTAAAAACAACATCGAAGAATGGCTTGAGTTAAGTATGGGACCACTCAAACAATATCTTCTTTTTTTTTTTGGTTGGGGTTGGGGGCGGGGCAGGGGGAGCTGTGCGTGGACTCAAATGGCACAATGGCTAAGCAAACTGTACTGTCAATTATAATCAAGATGATCCAGCACAAGCAATCATAGAAAATCCAAGCATGGGGTTGGACAAAGTGTTGCTACATCCATATCAAAGGAATGAGGAGCACAACAGACTGCGACATTACCAAGGACAACAGTGAAACCTTCTTTTGAAAGAGCATAAGCAGCAGCGGCCCCCAAGCCAGATGTAGCCTGCAGGCAAAAGCCAGAGAAATCTCTCGGTACAGTAGGATAATCTAATGAAGGACACTTGCTACTAGCAAAAGAAATCTATCTTACGCCAGTGATAATGCAGAGAGGTCTCACAGGAACTTCTACATTGGCATTTCGAGGGTATGAAACAATTCGAACAAAAAGACCATGGCTGAAGAATGGCAAGTATGAGGCCAACAAAGAAAACGTCCAGAGTACCGCCATTATCCAGAAGTCTACCGTACAAATGAAACGGACAGCCTCGACCAACTCCTTTGACATTATTCTCATCTTTGCGACCATAGAGTTCTTACCTGAATTGGCAAAGTCAAAACAAGGACAGACCAAGTTCAACATACCAATAAATCCAATAGAAAAGTATACATGCATGGTAAATTCTTTAAGTTTATTGGACTGAGCAGTGGAAACTCAAATACAAAGCAAGCGAATGTCACAATTAGGTACAGGAGAGACCCAATCTAGGAAGAAAACATGCACCCTCACGTGACAAGTGCAGCAAAATGAGTGCCTAGTTATTTGACAGTCAGAGTTGAAACCTTGGCCTTCAGCCTACATGAAAACTTTTAGTAACTTTGAGCGAGGTAAGAACTAGACAAATTTCACCATGTGACTTGATTAAGCATCTCGGGGAAATCAACAATACAGAGTTTAATGTTCTAGTTCGTAAATTCCGTGTCCTTTTCATTGTCATGTATGAAGGCTGGGTTCCCTATTGTTTAGAAAATATAGCTTTAAAGTGTCTTGATGCCCCCGCGTCTCCCAACCACTGCGAACAGAGACACAAGTCAAGATATCAAATGTTAAATCCAGTCTTACCAAATTTATACATCACGATACACAACCTAGGGAGCTCGCTTCATCAGTTACGGCATTAATGCATTGTGCTCATCCAGAGTAAAAAGGACACCATCAAAATTAAGATTCACAGAGATAGCAAATACGACAGCTTATTTCAAAATGAAATTTTCTTCATCACCAGTCTCCAAACCTTCATCAAAATTCGACATTTACTCATCCTCAACCACGTTTGCAACACACGCAGCTATATAATTCTCATATACCAGCAGAATTCGTCAAAATTCCACACAATTCAAACGGACCTACACCCACGTCACCGATAAACAAGTTTTTCGCCAAGAGTCAACCTTTATGCCAACTCAAGCTTGCTCACCCCCTAATAACGCACCCCCATGAAGCGTGCTCTCAGAGGCATTTCGTCAAACACATGGGAGCTATTGAAATATCCGGGCAGAGTCTTGCACCATCCCCGGTGCACGCGGGCGTCACGAAAGCAGAAAGCTTGCGGAAGCGGTCGCAGACACGCGTGCGGACCAGTAGCAACCCATTGCAACGAAAACGAGAAGGGTACACCGGGAAACGAAAGGCACTCACAAGGCACGTGAAGGGTCGAAGGAACTGAAGGAAGGCGAGAGATGGGTCCTTCTGCGAGCGTTGATCGAGCACTGACGTATCGAGGCGCATCGACCCGACAAAGCTCTGATAGATTGACTGATAAGAAAAATCCCAAAGCTGTTTGAAAAGTTCAAAGCAGGATGACGAATATCCGTCGAGCAAATGCGTTCACATTAATTACGAATGGAAGGATTAATAGTATGAAAAACTTCAATTTAATATATATATAATAAATTTACTCTAAAATAATTTTTTGATCGATAAAAATCTTAAATTGGTACATTTGTGATAAATTTATCCCAAACTAATCTTTTAACCAACAAAAACTCTAAATTTGTGCACATGTTAAAAAGTTATCCTCCGTTAGTTTCCGTTAAATTGGATTAATACACGTGTAACAAACGGATGGTAAAACCCCAAACTGGTACGTGTCATTTAACTCGGCAATCCGACAATAAAATTTAACGAAAACTAACGAAAGGTAAATTTATCACAGGTGTACCAATTTGGAGTTTTTAGTGGTTAAAAAATTTGTTTGAGATAAATTTGTCATGAGTGTAACAGTTTGGGGTTTTTCGTGATATTAACCCTAAAGAAAATTAAGTGGGAAAGTTTTCATTTATCAAATTCACTAACATAATTTCAACTATTACGCCTCTTGAAAAATCAAATCTATAATAATGAAACTGGGATTTTACCCGTGAAAACGATTAAATTTTACCCATTAATACCTTTAGTATTAGAATCTTAAGAAAAAATGACTCCCAAAATACACGAAAATTTTAGGGTAAATGACACATATGATCCATGAATTTTAATCCAATGTGCAATGTGGTCTCTAAACTTTAATGTAGTCCCTAACTTTAGTCTACTATGCAATGTCATCCCTAAACTTTTAATTTGTTCAATATGATCCTAAGAATTTTGGTACATATTCAATTTAGTTCCTAAACTGCATGAATATAATAAATGTGGTCCTTGAATTTAAATTAATGGAAGGATAACACTGATCATTTTGATATAGTTTATAGACTAAATTGAACATGTCGTAAAAGTCGAAGCACCACATTGAACAAATTAAAAGTTCATGGATGATATTGTATATTGGACCAAAGTTCATGGACCATATTGAACAAATTTAAAGTCCGGGAACCACAATGCACATAAAGCCAAAGTTTAGGAACCATTTGTGTCATTATCAAAAAAAATTTAAAATAACAGAAGTTCGGAACATCATGAGATATGCAAAATCACTGTACCTTTGTGATGTGAACTAGAATTTTATTTCGCAAATGTTGAGATTAGCAACAACTGTGTCAGCATTTCGAATTCAGTTACAATAAGCTAATTAAACACACTTCATAGAAAAAAAAAAGTAACATGAATTCTAAGTGCCTTCCGATGATCCTCGAGTGAACACGGGTGGAGTCATCGGACCCTGTTATTGCCCAGTAGAGATGATTATTAAGCGCGCGGCATCCTCGCTCGAGCCTTCTGATCGGGCTTAAATTTTTGTGCACATTTGCTCATCTTAAAGTTCTTATACACAAATCTCCAGAGTGGATCAAGTTTGGCTCGAGCCTTCAAGCCCTTGTGGCTCAGGCTAAGTTTGGCGCGTCTGTAGTCCGTCGGGCCTATGTTAAATTGATGACCTCGTGTCGCATGCTCGAATTTGCCACATCGGTGAGGCCGTGTTTGGTAATTCGATGGTGTTAACTAACGGTTGACGACAAAAGACTCGACAAGATGCGAAAGATAAAAGGAATACATTGAACGAAAAAATAGTTACAGGACCCAATCACAGGATCATCGCACTACTTCGAGGACTAAAATTTGTAATTAACTAATCATACATCAAAAGGGGGGAAACAAGAAGAACTAACATGACCATCATTATAGCACTAACATTTATATCCATGGAGAATTCTTGTCCAATACTACCACGCGTAAATCCTAGCTAATTGCTATTTATCCTGGCGAAACCGCCGGGGTCTAGCTTTCGGAGTCATCAATGGCACGACCACCCTCAACGTCTGAAGCTCGTCCTCCTCCGGCGCGGCGGCTCAGCCTCATGGGCTTTAAGCTTCACGGCTTTGTAAGTCGCAGCACCAGCTATGGCTCCGAGCGGAGGAGCCACCATGTACATCCACAGTCCTTTGTAATTTCCTGCTGCCACAGCCGGGCCGAGAGTCCTCACGGGGTTCATGGAACCACCGGTCGACATCCTATATTTCCCAGCAACATTGTTAAAGAACATTACGAAAGCTCAAGTTCTGTAAAAGCGTCGGCACTCGCACGAAGGTAAGTACTTGTAATACAATTCTTACCCTGTTAAAAGAATGCCGAGCAGCACTGATGCTCCAATTGCAATACCTGCCAAATCTCCTACCTATCATCATGAAAAGAACGAACGCATAATTATATAGGTCGATAAAGTAAATCTATGTGAACTGGATACATGATATGTATAAATGCAACGAGTAACAGATAGAGGAAGAGTCGATGTGCAGCGTAGCAACGACATACCGCGCGAGTGTCGGTTGCCACCGCGACGATCACAAACATGAGAAGGAAAGTGGCGAGAAACTCGAGAGCAAACGCCTGTCCAATATCCATCGAAGGCACCGTGACGCCACCGTTGGCGAACGGATGGAAAACGCCCTTGAGGACGAATGAAGCGCACATCGAGCCCATGACCTGCGCAGTGATGTAGCCGGGTACTTGGATCCATGAAAAGTACCGGATCACTGCAAGGGCGATTGTCACTGATGGGTTCAGGTGGGCTCCCGATATGTGACCGATTGAGAAAACTACGATCATCACAGCCAGTCCGGCGCACGCCGCGTTCCCAAGCAACGTCTCCGCTCCGCTATACTTTTGGTTCACAATGGGCCCGCCCACCGCGCAAAGTATTAAGAAGAAGGTTCCGACAAATTCTGCTCCGACCTACATCGTTCATGTAAATCTAAATAAGAAATTCTATCCTATCTTTCTTTTTTGGTTTCACTCATTATGAAAAAGATATAAGAACTATCCTTATAGAGTCAATTTTTGTTATGGTATTGTCTTTCCAGGTATATATATGGCCATATAAATGGGACTAGGCTTAAATATGTTTGAGCTACTAAAGCTCAATTTGAATATCATTTTATGCTACAACAGTCAGCAAGCCTGTCTAATCTTACTATTCTTCGAAGGTTGATTGGGTTTACCTTCCGCAACGGATCATACTTATCCGGCTTGAGATACCGAACACCTTCAGTCGCATCGTCGATCGGCATGCGCATGCAACGTACCACGGACTTGTCCTCCGGCGACAGTGAGTCCACTTGCAACGTCACCGCAGCAAACTCCACGGTCGCTGATTCAGACATCTTCCTCAGCCCAACAACTTGCTGGAGGAGATTAGGGAAACCCGAATATCGCGAAAAAAAAAAAGGAAGGTTACAGCGTTGTCTTCTACGACGCACGAGAAGATCAATGAAAAGAAAGATCGAAGGGTGGTGTTTATGAGGGAGAGAGCCTTCGATCTGTTGCCTCTCCGTCTATGAATTGCATAGAAGAAGCAGCGACCCCGGGAAGCATTTTATAGGAGGAGCCGATGGCTTGACACATCTGCATCATCTTCTTCTTCATTCGTCAAGATATTGACTTGCTCATGAGGATCCGGTCATCCATAGTTGTTCAGACTGTGTTTTGACTGAATCTAGGGCTACTGTACACAAGTAAATGATATGGATGCTCATCACTCTAATTTTGACTCGGTTTGGCATGCTCAGGGAGACATGGAGGGGATGTTTCTATTTCTGAATTTTAGGTTTGCAACTCTCTATTGTACATCATATAATAAGTATATAAGACCAATTCCATATGGGGAAGATTCAGAAAAAATGGGCTTTTTTGGGCCCCGTTAGATTTCTGCACAAGTTGGTAAGTGTCGAAAAGTCAAAGAAATGAGATTTCAGGCACGTAACGAATTTGATTGGCGACTCTGCTCTTTTGCTCGTTAACAGATTTGGGTTCGCGCAAAGAAAAAGAACAAATGCTGGAAGCACATAGTCTAGTGATGACAAAAGTTGGTAAATCACTTTAATTTAATTGTTAATTTCATATGAGAGTTTGTAAATTCAAAGTATTAAAAATAAAAGTTGATAGGTTAATACAAACATTGACAATTTGAAAACCATTAGAAAAAATTTGATAATTTCATAAAAGTATTGGTAAGTAATCAACAAGATATCTGGAAAAAAAAAACCATTGTTGATTTTTTTACCTATGATTTTTCTGCACTTAGCACTTGTATCAACACTTATTGAGATTTACCAGCATAAAAAAAACCCTGTATTTATTTACATGGAATATATGTGCTAGCTTGTTAAGCATGTTCTTCAAAAATAATTATTAGGAATATTTAGAAACACGCTGCCTTTAGTTTCATCCATTCAAAGTAGTAATAAACCTATCAAATTTGAATTATCAAAATAAGAGTTCAATATATAGTCAACTTATGGCATGATTTGCTTACCAAAATTATCGTGCATAATTGCATATTGTAGGAGAATATGGATAATTACAACTATTTCAAATCCAAATTAAACTGTTATCTACCTAACATGTTCACGTTGGCTAGGTTTTGGGACTTATTCAAACTGATCTCTCAAGCACAAGGAGGACAGAAAGAAAGCATGCTGGTGTGAATTGTCGACCATTGTAATATACAATATTTTGAAGTGGGGTTCGGCTAAACCTAGCTATAATCGATTGCATACTCTAACACGTTTGGGACCTAAGCAAGTCCTTACAATGCTTTATCACGGTTCTCGTCCGAACCTCGGGATCACTGAGATATAAAACTTCAAGAAGATATTCCCTCTCTCTGGGGAAGACAAAGATACAGGGGGAACTGGGAGTGCAAGGCATGTGGCACAGGCATAGGCACAGACACGTTAAAATAAAATAAAAAATGCATCCGTGAAGCCCACCCTACGGGATGGGAATAGGCTGCGAAGCCCTCTAGAGTTTTGATTCCCTTTCTTTGGTGAGGTAACCTCTTAAAGCTAAATTATCAAAATAGGATTTCAGTATTTATTCAACTTGCATGATTTGCTTATCAAAATTATCATGCATATCATAGGAGAATTAACTTTCATCAACCACATGATTAGCTTGTATGGATAACTACCCCTATTTCAAATCCAAACTAAACTGTATCTACCTAACATGTTCTTCACGTTGGCTAGGTTTTGTGACTTATTCAAACTGATCTCTCCAGCACAAAAAGGACAGAAGGAAAGCACGTTCATGTGAATTATTCACGATTAAAATATACTTAATGTTTAGAAGTGGGGTTCGGCTAAAACTTAGTATAATCGATCGCATACTCTTGCACGTTCACGACAAGAAACAACAGCGACGCTTGCATGACTTCGTCAATGCATGTTCAAAGGCACAGATGCCCTAATTTCACTGTACGTGAAGGTCTGAGATTTAGTGATCATTGTAAGGTCACACTCTCGTCGGAGTTGAATGTAAGTTTGAACAGAAAAGATTAAAACCAGTCTCTAGTTCAAGTTGATGAAGTAATCATTCATAAAAAATAAGTCATCAACGTTGTTTTGACATCTGAATCGATCACATACTCGAGCAGGAATGCCAAACTTCATTTTTAAATGCAAAGATACTTTGCTTTGATCACCATCTTTAATTTTTCTGAGCTGAAGAGTTTGCTCTTTTTACGTTATAAAGTTGCCACAATCATGAATAAGAATTTCAGAAGCATCTTCTTCTCCATGAAACAGCTTAAGATCTCACAAAGCAGGATCCGTGCTTTCATATCTTGAACTCTTGGCGATAGTCGATTCTTAGAAACCATCAAAAAGCAAGATTTTCACGTAAACACATCTTTAAGGTCCGAAGATGTCGCCACCGTCGACATGTACACCGCCAAAGGCCTCCTAACCATTGGCCACCGGTACTTAGATGTGAGGTCAGAACTTAATCGATGGTATTTTCCTTCATGTTTCAGCATATTTTTCGCATTGAGTTGGGGAGAGAAATCTGAAATCTCAGTACAAATCGAGGGTTTGAGAGCAATGTTTTTCATTGACACAGGACAAATGAGGATTTCAAAAATAGCCACGTTGAGAATGCAGTGAATGTGTCTTACATGCTCTTCACACCAGATGGAAGAGTTCAAAATCCTGACTTTCTCACTCAAGCAGCTGCAGTGTGCAAAAAAGAAGATCACTAGGTCGTGTCATGTTTTCATTTTCTTTTTGTAATTCGTGTTTTATCTCGTGTCGTCCAAAATGGGTCATCCAATATATACATATATGTTATGAGAGCGCTCACTTGTATTACTTGCCAAAAAAAGAATATATGTCCCCTAAATATCTCGATGTGATATGAATAATTCTATCGTCAAACTCCCCTTTATCATTATTCTTATCAAGCGTCGTACATTTCACAATACATATATTAATTAGGTTGCTTGTTACTCCTCCCTTTTCATTTTTATCCAATACTTTGAAAAAATGAAAGAAAAAGAAAAGGACAATAGCAGTTAAACTACATCCTTTACCAAGTTCTATTCAGTGCAGAACTATGGACGTTAGCGGCCTTCAATTTGTTCAAAGATAAAAGTTCTATTAAGCCTAGGCGCCTCATGGTGATCCTCGAATGAACATGGTCGGAGGAGCCACCGGGCCCTAGTTGTGGCCGCTAGAGGTGAATATTGAGCAGGCTCGGTCCCAGCTTGAGCCTTCAAGTCGGACCTAAATTTCTGTTCACTTTCTCCTCTAATAAATTTCTTGCATACAAATCTTCAGAGTGCGCTAGGCTTGGCTCGGACCGAATAGAGTCGAGCAGGACTTTCTCACTAAATGCCCTTGCCCTAACTTGCCCAAAAGTGTTCAAGTCCTTGTGGCTTGGTGCACCCGCAGTCCACCAAGCGCATGATAAGGTGTATCGCTCTGACCCTCGCCGGCTTTCGAGCGAGATTGGGCTTCTGCTCCCAGCCCTTGCACAACACCTCTTTCTCTCTCTCTCCGAATTCTCCCTTTTTGTTATTTTAACATTTTTATTTGTTTACCAAACTGATGATAGGGCATCACAATAAAAAATTTGCCACGTCAACGAAGCACGTAATAATCTAATAATGTTAACTAATGGTTAATGATAAAGGACTCGACAAGATGTGAAAGATAAAGAAACGCATTGAATGAAAAAATAGTTAGATGACCATATTACACGAACATTGATACTTCGAGGACTGAAATTGTAATCAACTAAATTTTACATCCAAAGGGAACTAACGTGACCATTAATAACTGTAGCATTATTCGGATACTATCTGGAATCTCAAGTTGGCCACATCTCATCTACTTTGCACCATGTTTGGTCAACCTTCTCCAGGCACGTCTGCTCCGGAGTCGTCGAGGACACAACCACCCTTAACGGCTGAAGCTTGTCCTCCTCCGACGTGGCGGCTCAGCCTCACACCCTCTAAGCTTCACGGCTGTGTAAGTCACAGCACCAGCAATGGCTCCAAGCGGAGGAGCCACCATGTACATCCACAAACCTTTGTAATTCCCCGCAGCCACGGCCGGGCCGAGAGTCCTCACGGGGTTCATGGAACCACCGGTCGACATCCTATCATCACGGTGTTATATATTCGGATTTCGCTCTATATTTTTTCCAAAGGTAAGAATAGGTAAGAATAGTAAATACAATTCTTACCCTGTTACAAGAATGTCAAGCAGCACTGTTGCTCCAATTGCAATACCTGCCAATTCTCCTACCTGTCATCATGTAAAATGCAACCAGAATATGGTTGGAGAGCTTTTGATGATCAATGGAATGAAACGAGCACAGATAGAGGAAGGGCGAATATACAACGTGGCAGTGTCATACCGCACGAGTGTCGGTTGCCACCGAGACTATCACAAACATGAGAAGGAAAGTGGCGAGAAATTCGAGAGCAAACGCCTGTCCAATATTCACCGAAGGCACCGTGACGCCACCGTTCGCAAAGGGATGGAAAACGCCCTTGAGGACATAGGAAGCGCATATCGAGCCCGCGACCTGCGCAGCGATGTAGCTAGGCACTTGGATCCATGGAAAGTGCCGAGTCACTGCAAAGGCGATCGTCACTGACGGATTCAGGTGAGCTCCCGATATGTGGCCGATCGAGAAAACTATGATCATCACAGCAACTCCAGAGCATGCCGCGTTCCCGATCAACGTCTCTACTCCGCCGTACTTTTGGTTCACAATGGGCCCGGCCACCGCGCAAAGTACCAGGAAGAAGGTTCCGACAAACTCTGCTCCGATCTGCAACGTTCACGTGAATCTAAGTAAGAATTTCTATTATACTTTTCTAACTCGGTTTCACTTTTCATGGAATACGAGAATGGAATATGAGAATGGTTTAGTTTCTATCGTAAACCTAGTCAATCCAATGCATAATCACCCTATATTTGCCCACAGCAATACCTGCATGCATGCAGCATTTTGGTCCGCTGGTAAAACGAAATAACCATATTAAATTATCCCAGAAAAACCCTACTGTTTTATCACCACCAAAATCATGGGAAAATCTCCAAGAATATAGAGAAGGACTGATTCATTAGTATCTAAGCAAGAGTAAAGCTTCACCCTAACTTTTTTAGCCACCTAATCTCACTCGGATTCGAGCTTTATCAGGCTTACCTTCCGCAACTGATCGTACTTATCCGGCTTGTGATTACGAACACCCTTGGTCGCATCGTCGATCGGCGTGCACTTGCATCGTATCGCGGACTCATCCTCCGGTGGCAAGGAGTTCGCTTCCCACGTTCCTGGAGCAAACTCCAGGGCCACTGATTCGGACATTTTCCTCAGTCGACAACTTGCTGGAGACTAGCGAAACCGGACAGAAGGCCAAACGTTGATTTCTAGGAAGCACGAGAGATCAGTGAGAAGAAAGATCGATGGTGGTGCTTATATACGGCGAGCCTTCAATCTGTTGCCTGCATCTATGAATTGCAGCCACGACGGAAAGCATCTCATACAAGAAGTCAACGGCGTTACGCATCTCCATCATCTTCTTCTTCTTCTTTACTAATATGCTATTGATTTGATCATAATGCTACAGCACTCATGCTTAATACTCGATATTTTATAGAAAATAAGCTATCATTTTCTCCGGAGTCAATGCTCCTCCTGAAACACCTATTTCCCGCGTTGGTAGATATTCCAAGAGAACTGGTAAGTATTGAAAAATTATTGATAAAAAAAGTTGCCAACTTTTATTTGAGTTAGTTCCCGAAATTTTGTTCAATTTTGCCTGTAATAAAATTCTTGTATACAAATCTCCAAAGTAGGTCGGGCTCGGCTCAGACCCAATAGAGTTGAGCAGAACTTTCTCACTAAATGCCTTTGCCCAAACTTGCCCAAAAAGTATACAAGTCCCTTGTCCCTCAGGCCAGGCTTGGTGCACCCACAGTCCACCAAGTCCATGGTAAGATGTATTGTTGGGAAAAATCCACAGGGAAAATGGAATCAAACATTGGGGGATGAATACACCGTTTTTGAGACATTATTTATCCCACAACATTACTAATAATTATTGGCAAAAATCCTCTAGGATACAATAAAGTCTCGAATGAGAATATCGTATGGCAATCCTGGTGTTTCTCCAAAACTCTAAAAGAGAAACAAATGGAGAATTAATGGTTTAATTTTGAGAAAGATACGAAAAGTGAAAAAAAGAAAATATTGAACAAAAAAACGTTAAATATATTTTAGCAAAACTTATGTTTGAGCATATACGACCTTTCAAAAGTTGTATTCCTCTTAAATAACCTCTAATAAGTAACTGCCAAATGAGACAAGACACCTCTTTGTTTGTCAAAGGGATAAACGCACTAGAAGTCTTAAAACTTGTCACAAAAGTGCAATTGAGTCCTAAAACTTTCAAAAAGTGCAAACAAGTCCTAAAACTTATCATGAAAGTACACTTGAGTCCTACAACTTTCAAAAAGTGCAAATAAATCCTAAAACTTGTCACGAAAGTACAAACAAGTCCTAAAACTTGTCACAAAAGTGCAAAAAAGTCCTAAAACTTTCAAAAAGTACAATCAATGGAAGGACTTAATTAAACCAATTTGACAAGTTTTAGGACTTGTTTGCGCTTTTTTAAAGTTTTAAGACTCAAGTGCACTTTCATGACAAGTTTTAGGATTTGTTTGCACTTTTTGAAAGTTTTAGGATTCAATTGCACTTTCGTGACAAGTTTTAGGACTTTAAATGCACTTATCCCTTTGTCAAACAATACCAACATGTATGGCTCCAACCCTCATCGGCTTTTGGGTGTGATTCGGCTGTTGCGCCCAACCCTTGCACAACACCTCTCTCTCTCTCTCTCTCTCTCTCTCTCTGAATTTCTCCCTTCTTGTTATTTTAATTGTTAGATATATTTAGGATAATTCTGATGATTTTCTGCATCTCTCAAGATTGTGCGAATATATCTTTTTGATTGTGCGTATCTTGATTGATATGTTATCTTGTTTAGTCATTTCATAAAACATATAGATAGGCTAATGTAATCTCATTAAGATATGTAAAAATATATAGAAAATTCCTCAACTCTCTCTTCCGTATTATATTTTGAACTTGGTATCAGATCTAGTTAATCCTGAACTAATTTAGCGTTTTGTTTGCTTTCAATAAGTCCTAATATCCTTCATTGATTTCAACATTATTCATCTCATCCGATAGCCAATGCATTTTTGCCGCATAGTCTACAAAGCCCTCTCATACGAGGAAGCGCTTAGTCGAGTTGATGGTCATGCTTTGATGCCAACCCCAACGACCGCATCACCCAGTCGAGCCTTTCACAGAGGTGGCTTTTCTTTCAATGCTAGCCGCATAGGCCGCATCGGTCAGTAACTAATTTCCCAAGCCAGCCATATAGGTTGCTTGATGCTACCACGGCAGCTATATAGGCCACGTTGCTCGGTTATTGTTTCGCAAGTCAGCCGCATCGGCCGCTTGCTGTTATTCACCTCCGATCCTTGACACATTTCAAGAAGCCACACCACCACCAGACTCGCCACTCTCAAACCAGCAAGATTTGGAAATTTCGCCATGAACAATTGGCGGATGCCGCGTCATCCGCCACGTGTGTGCTGTTAATCACTGTTTAGATTAGTATTCAAACTCAAGTTGACATTTTCAATGCACCTTGAGGGGATGTTAGATATTTAGAATAATTTTAAGGATTTTCGGTATCATTCAAGATTATGTAATATCTCTCTTTGATTGTGTGTATCTTGATTGATTTGTTAGCTTATTTAGTCATTTCATAAATCATATAAATAGGCTGATGTAATCTCATTATGATATATTAAAATATATAGAAAATTCTTCAACTCTCTCTTCCGCAGTATTATTTTCAACTTCAATATTTTTTATTTGTTTTTTGAATTAATGATAATGCATTGTTGTGGAAGCCAAACGATCGAACAATAAAATTGACAGAATAAGAAAAATAAATCGGACACCAAATTTACGTGGTTCGGTCGTAGTGACATATGTCCACGGGGACAGCAACAACGAATTCCACTATAGATCAAGCGATTTAACGGAAATTACAGCCACACTCGAGTCACTCAAACACTCTAAGAATTTCCCAAGCCCCAATTAGACCCAATAAATGAAACAGTGCTTAGCCACACAATTCCTTACGAAATAATCTCTCAATCTCACAAAGAAATTGACTCAAATTCTTATAATAAGAATTTAATCGGCTACAACACACTCAGATATCTTCAAGGTATAATATACTAGCAGAAGATCTTCACAAATAACATCCCTTTCTTATTTATAGGCAAGAATTGAATCCAAAGTAGGAAACCCCTTTTTAGGAAACCTTCTCAAATTAGGAAATCCTTTTTAACTAGAAAACCATTCAATTAGTAAACATATTCAAAATAGAAAACCTACTTGAATTAGGAAACTTTCCTTTTCGGACTCAAACTCAAGACATATTTTAACATGCATCGACCTAAAAAATTTGCCACATCAACTAACCATGGTTAATGACGAAGGACTCGACAAGTTGTGAAAAATAAAGAAATACATTGAAGGAAAAAATAGTTAGAGGACCATATTACTTGAACATTAATATTTCGAGTACTATAATTGTAATTGACTAAATTATACATCCAAAGGGAACTAACATGACCACTAACAGTGGCATTCTTTGGGTTACTGTTTGGAATCTCAAGTTGACCACATCTCATCTACTTCATACCATGCTTGGTCAACCTTCTCCAGGTTCGACAAAAAAAAACTTTCTCCAGGAACGTAAAATCCCCCTAAAAAATCACACGAACCTCTACAAAACTACCACAGGTGGATTGTAGCTAATTGCTATTTATCCCGGTGAAGCAGTCAGGCCTTGCTCCGGAGTCATCGAGTACACAACCACCCTTAACGTCTGAAGTTTATCCTCCTCCGACGCGGTGGCTCAGCCTCATAGCCTCTAAGCTTCACGGCTGTGTAAGTCACAGCACCAGCTATGGCTCCAAGAGGAGTCACCATGTACATCCACAATTCTTTGTAATTCCCTGCGGCCACGGCCGGGCCAAGACTCCTCACGGAGTTCATGGAAGCACCGGTCAACATCCTATCATCATGGTGTTGCATATTCGGATTTCTCTCTATATTTTTTCAAAGGGTTAATATCACGAAAAATCCCAAACTGGTACACTTGTGACAATTTTACCCCGAACTATTTTTTTTACCACAAAAAATCTCAAACTGGTACACCTGTGATAAATTTACCCCGACCTATTTTTTGAGCACCAAAAACCCCAAACTGGTACACCTGTGACAATTTTACCCCGAACTAATTTTTTGACCACTAAAAACCCCAAACTAGTACATTTATGACAAATTTACCCTCTGTTAGTATCTGTTAAATTGGATTAATATCACTAAAAATCACAAATTGGTAAACTTGTGACAAACAGAGGGTTAAAACTCCAAACCGGTACACCTATCAACTACCACGTGTCATTAAACTTAGCAATTTGACATTAAAATTCAACGGAAACTAACAGAGGGTAAATTTGTCACAGGTATACCGGTTTGGGGTTTTTTGTGGTTAAAAAATTAGTTCGGGGGTAAAATTATTACAAGTGTACCAGTATAGGGTTTTTGGTAGTCAAAAAAATAGTTCGGGTAAAATTATCAGAGGTGCACCAGTTTGGAGTTTTTTGTGGTTAAAAAAATAGTTTGGGGTAAATTTATCACAGGTATATCAGTTTAGGATTTTTAGTGGTAAAAAAAGTTACCAACTTTTATCTGAGTTAGTTCCCAAATTTTATCTCATTGACTTAGATCCCGATTTTTATCTGATTTTCTGAGGTGCTGACCACTTATTTTGAATTTTACCAAAAAAAGCAACTACTTAGTCGGAAAAAAAAACTCTCTAATATTTTTTAACATTAATTTAGCTTTCTCATCACCACTTTAAATTTACCGACCATAATGAAATCACGTATCTAAACTGGAGTATTTTATCAACTTTTGTCAAATTAAATTACCAACTAGTTTTCGGTTATCGACTCTCATTTGAATGGCTTACCACGTAACTTCATGATTCACGCTATCGACGTTACATTACGATTCACGCCCCCATCTCGTTTAATACTTAAGAGGAGAGAAAACATTTAAGGCCATGGTTTTGTCCCTCCCCACCATTCATTTGACTTTAATTATTTTACAGAGTAATGAAATTGATCAATATCATGAAATTAAAAACCAGTTTCCAGTTCAAGTTACGCAGTACTCATTCCTAAAAGAAAAGTCGTCGACATCGACATTGGTTTGACATCCGAATCCATCGCGTACTCGAGCTGTAATGCTGATGCCAAACTTCGTTATAACATGCAAAGAGAAATATTAATTCCAAAGTCAAAAGGGAATAATAAATCCAGTTTGCTTCGATCACCATTTTTTTAGTTTTCTTAGCTGAAGAGTTTGCTCTTTTCACGTTATATAGTTGCTACGACCTTGAGCAGAACTTCAGCAATCATTTTCTTCTGCTTGAAGCAGCTTGAGATCTCACAAAGCAGGACCTAGGGCTTTCATATCTTGATCTCTCGGCGATCATTGATTCATGGAAACCATCAAAAAGTAAGAATTTCGCACGAGCGTGTTCTCGTCGGAAATTAATGTTCATCCTAAGTCACGACCCTCTCCTTACTTTTTTTTTTTTTTGGCATTTTTTTCAGGTCAGAAGATGTCGGCACGGTCGATGTATACACCACCAAAGGCCTCCTAACCATCGGCCACCGGTACTTAGATGTGAGGTCAGAACTTAATGGATGGTCTTTTCCTTCATGTTTCGGCATATTCTTCGGATCTGAGTTAGGGAGATAAATCGGGAATCCTAGTACAAATCGAGGGTTTGAGGGCGATGTTTTTCATTGACACAGGACAGAGGAGGAATTCAAGAAGAGCCACGTTGAGAATGCGGTGAATGTGCCTTACATGTTCTCCACATCGGATGGAAGAGTTAAAAATCCTGACTTTCTCACTCAAGTGGCTGCAGCCTGCAAAAAAGAAGATCACTTGGTCGTGGTACGTAGCTCTCAACCCCCGGGTTTATTGAACTCATTGTTTGGTAATGTAACTTCAGAACTTAACAAAAGAGAGGCAAATTTCGGCTGTATATTGCTGTATGTGTAGGGTTGCAACAGCGGGGGCAGATCGCTCCGTGCCTGCGTCGACCTTCTCAATGTGGTAAGTTCGACTCTCCGAATGAATGTCGTTTGCTTTATCACAACATTGGCGGCTTGACAGAGAGGATAAGCAACATCAAATTATAAGGAGTTTTTCAGTCCGACACCCGGGGAATGCGACATTTTTCACAGCCCCACGCGCTCTGATTAAGTAAATTAGATTAGTAAGTATTAGCAAAGTAAAGTATTTATTTGTGTGCGCGCACGCGCGTGGAATTTGGTGGATTCAGGGGTATAAGAATGTGAACAACATGGATGGAGGATACTCTGCTTGGGTTGACAAAGGATTTGCAGGGGATAAACCAGCAGAGGAGCTCAAAACTGCTTGCAAATTCCGACCTTGAAAGGAACATCATCTCAGGAGGGCTGGCAATTCGTGTTTGCAATTCGTGTCAGTCGGAGTCGGCCTAAAGCATATTGATCTTTATTCTACTTGCTAAATAGATTAGTTATGATTATAAAAAAAAAAAGTGTGTAAATTCATGTCAACACATAAAATCAGGCATGTCATGTCGTATCGAGTCGTCTTTTTTTGTTTTCTCTCGATAACTTGTGTTTTCTGCTCTATGCCTCGATGTGATGTGAACAAGGTTATCGTCAATACATTGTGCAAACATATTACACTGCTCAGGTTCTTATGTGATGAGGCGTTCTATGCTTACCCAACAGCAAAAGATGGAGCAAACTGCTTGGATCTCACTAAAAAGCATAAAACTTTGAAGGCTTTACATGTAACAACATATCCATTATCGTCGTGCGTGAATTAACAGCTCCTAAGGTGAACTGAAATAGTCACCAGGTAGTAAAATTAGGTATATATACGGGTCCGGTCAGAGTTTGCTGATACCCAAACCGACCCGAACACAAACGATATATAATCTATATGACCCGAACCGAAAAGGGTCGGTTCGAATTTCCAGTTCACACCCTTTTTTTCCCCTCCTTTCTTTTTACTTCCCTGCAAATCCCCTGTCACAGGGCTCACAGCAAAACAGAAAACTGAAAAATGCCCTGCTCGGATTCCTTATGTGAGTCAAACATCCGATGCATTCAACAAATGAGCGAGAGAGAGAGAGAGAGAGATTGACCAGACATGCTTGAAACTTCTATCGGAGGAGACAAACAGAGGCCAATCCAAAGAGGGTCGAGTCCTTAAACTTTCATTAGTCACAATGCTTTACAGAACTTGAAAACAGTGAAACAGAGCCACGGATCCATGAATAGAGACTGATGGAGGAAAGAAACAGAGTCGAGCACATTGAGATCTCGGCATCCATGGACGCATCCAGATTTGGACTGCCATGAAAAGCTAAACGACCATGAACGACGGCTCTAGCAGAGTCGGTGGTGAGCTGTTCGCGTTGATCTAGAGGAGGCGCCATCAATGGACGTCCGATGGATGGTGGCGGAGAGGGCAATGGAGGCGGACCTACTGGTGAAGGTGAGGGGATGGTGGTGGAGAGGGTGAAGGAGGAGGTGAGGTGATGAAGGAGGGAGAGGGCCATTTAGCGTTTTAGGTTCCTTTTCTATTTATGCTTAAATGTGTTTTTAGTTCGGTTCGGGTATATGATCCAAATCAGACCTAACCGTCAAGATACCCATTCTTTTTTACTTGTTACTCAAAACGAATGAGACCCGACCCAAAAAGACTCGGAATTTTCGGTTCATATTGGTTCAGTTCCGGTCAGGCCGGGCCAGTTTGGGTGTCTTGGACACCGTTAAATGGAGTTATATTGCAAACATCATTTGATTATAATAAGTTACTTAAATAGTAAGCATATTCATCTCCTTCAATCTCTTTCTAATTCAAATCGTCACACTTCTTTGGAGTCACCTCCAAAAGTATAGACTCACGCATCTTCGATGACTACTCAATAAAATTAGTCGGGCATTCAAATAGCCCCTCGATTACCTCGTTATTGGCCATTGCACAATAGCCCCCCTTACAAACGAACGGCATCCCTTGAATCTCAACAAGTACCAACTACACCTTTTGGATCCAGTAACAATTCGGTCGGGCGGCTAACCCAAACCGTGAACCGTTAATAGTAAGGCCTATGCTGCTCGCGGGCCTTGATTTTTGGCTACAGAGAGCCTTCAGAGTTCATTTTGCCCCCCTTTTTTCTCTCGGCGTAAGTGTAATTTGCATTGCCATTCTTTATGAACCTCAATTTCATAATGAGAGCCTTGTCCATGTGGGTCCAGTTTTCATATGAGAATCGATGTTTATTAAACCGTACTGACGACCATTGGAGAATTGACTACTACGCGGTTCGACCAGTAGAACTGGTCCAACTATCCATGTTAAATTGAGGTGAGTTGTATTACGGCCAATATAAATGACAAGATGCGCATGAGATATAGGCGCGGCGCGCATATGGGATTTGAATCGAATTAGCCGTGAGCTTAAAGAATTCATGAAAATCGGCAAGACCTTTTTTCTCCTCGTGGGCTCACCTTGTTTTCCCCTTTTTGACTTCTTTTTCAATCTCCTTGGTTTTATTTTTCTTGCCGACTCTCCCACTATAGAAATAGAAACTATAATAATAAAATAAAAATTAACTTGGTTTGGAAAAAAAGTAAAACCGAACCAAACCGCCGAATTTCAATCTAATTCGATTTATAAGCCACTTTTTTAAAATTACCACTTCAAACCAAACCAAATTTTAGATTACAGTTCGGTTTGACAGTTCGGATTGAATTATGCTTGACCCTAGAGGTGTCAAAATGGGTCTTAAACCCATATATGACCCATTTCAAAATAAACGGATCATATATGGGTCACTTTAATTTTAAAGAGCCAACCTTAAATGGGTTTTAAATTTTAAAGCTTAAAGATAAATTGGTCTAAATGGGTTGAGTTTGGAACCCATGTCCAACCCACCTACTAGATCCATCCACATACTCTCTCCTCTTTACAAAAATGTTTAAAAAATCGAAATTTAATTATTTTTATTTTTTCTCTTTTCTTTTCTCTTCTTTCTTTTTTTTTTTTTCTCGGCCGATGGTCGGCCACGGCGACGCCCATCGGGGTGGGACGACCTCGCCGGGAGGCCGACGAAGAGCTCGAGGCTCGCCGGCCTCGGGGCGAGGCTCGAGCCTCGCCGATCTGGCGAGCCTCGAGCTCGCCCCGATCCCGGCGAGGCCGGAGCCTCGCCGATCTGGCGAGACTCGAGCTCGTCGGCCTCGAGCGAGCTCGAGCTCGCGCCGGATCTGGCGAGGTGGAGCCTCGCCCGAGGCCGGCGAACCTTGAGCTCGCCGACCTCGGGCGAGGTCGAGCTCGCTCGAGGCGGCGAGCTCAAGGTTCGCCGGCCTCGGGCGAGGCTCCACCTCGCCGGATCCGGCGAGCTCGAGCTCGCTGGAGGCCGACGAGCTCGAGTCTCGCCTAAGGCCGGCGAGCGAGCTTCACCGCCTCCGGCGAGCTCATCCTCGCTCAGTGGTCGGTCGCGGCCACGGCGGCGATCGACCAAAAATAAAGGAAAATGAAAAAAATAAAATAAAAAATAATTAAAAATTCGATTTAAAAAATAAAAAAATATATTAAATTTTTTTTATTTTCTTGGATAATAACTTTATGGAAAACATTTTCTAGAAATGTCGCATTTTTCGCAAAACAAACAAAACCTCAATTTTAAAAAAAATTATAAAAAATTTTCACTAGCTTTGTATTGCATAAAATGTTTTAGCAGTATAATTTTAAAAAAAATCATAAGAAAAAAGTATTCCTAGATTAGGTTAAATATAAAAGTGTTTTAACAATATGGGTCGGGTCGGGTATGGGTTGGGTATGGGTCGGGTCGGGTATGGGTCGAGATATTTACACTATGAATAAATGGGTCATAAACGGGTTAATGGGTCAATTTGGGTCGGACCATTTATGACCCGACCCAAACCCGACCTGACCCACCCGTTTAACAGGTCTATTTGGCCCTAAACGGTCTGATTGATTTCGGTTGGTTTTGAGGTTCTTGATCGGTTTCGATCGCCACTAACAAAGGGAAAATTGTCAAAAAAGTCATAAATCTATTGTACGGTGATCAATTCAGTTCTAAATTTTTCAATTGTGTCAATTCAATCCTAAACCTTTTGATAATTTACCAATTTAGTCTTAAACATTTCATGATTTGTCAATTTAGTCTTAAACCTCTTGACGATTTGCCAGTTTAATCTTCCTAGCTAATTTTAGCATGAAATCGTTGTTGTGGCCACCAACTATCTTACATGACACGACCAGCGCTGACGTGGACAAATTTCATAATTTTTTCTTTTTTTCTTTCAGTTCTTTTCTTTTCCCTTCTTCTTTCGCTGGCATTCAGCCACAAGTTCAATCTCATTAGTGTCAGGCGAGGCTGGCGAACTCACATGCCTCAGGCAAGGCTCACCATCGTCGGATCTAGCACGGTCAAGCCTCCCGTAGCCACTGGCTATGTTGAGACCAGCGAGACGCAACCTCGCCGAATATGGTGACAGTTGAGCCTTGCCCAACCACTGGTGAGGTTCGACCCTCGTCAGCCCTCGCCTGTGGCTGATCGCTAGCCATGGTTGAGGCCCAGTGACCAGCCACAGGTTCGATCTCATCAGTGTTAGGCGAGGCTGGCAAACTCACATGCCTCGAGCGATGCTCGCCCTCGTCGGATCTAGCATGATCAAGCCTCGCCTACCCACTAGCTTTGTTGAGACCGGCAAGACGCAACCTCGCCGGATCTGGCGACAGTTGAGCCTCGCCCAGCCACTAGTGAGGCTCGACCCTCGCCAACCCTCCTTGTGGCCAGTCGTCGGCCATCGCTGAGGCCCGACGACCATTGGAGGAAGAAGGGGAAAAAAAAGAAAGAAAAGACAAAAAAAATCAAAACATTAGAAAAAATTCCAAATTTTTTTAAAAGATTGTAAAAATTTGTCCACATCAACGCCGGTCGTGTCATGTAGGACAGTCGATGCTAACTAGACCGTCATGTCAGCGATTTTAGTCAAAATTGACCGGAATGACTAAATTGTCAAAATGTTAAGAACTAAATTAGCAAATTATCAATAGGTTTATGACTAAATTGGCACAATTAAAAAGCTTAGAACGAAATTGACACAATTGAAAGGTAGATTGAATTTATTACCATGCAATATGTTTAGAACTTTTTGGACAATTTTCTCTTGACAAAAGGTGCGACACTAGAATGGAGAATAGGTTAGTACCCACTAGGCACTACCCGATTGATCCGGTCGGCCCGGTTTTCAAAACACTTGGTGAGAACAAGCTGAAGTAGATCGTTCAAAATTATAAAGCACCATAAACGCGATCGATTGCCGATTGAGGAGGGTCCACAAACCGGATGCACATGAGATACAGGCGCGTCGCTCATATGGGATTTGAATCGAATTAACCGTGAGCTTAAAGAATTCATGGAAATCAGGAAGAAAGCGACGTGATTCCTCCTTTTTCTCCTCGTGTGCTCGCCTTCTTTTACCCTTTTTGACTTCTTTTTCAATCTCCTTGGTTTTATTTTTCTCGCCTACTCCTATCTCTCTCCTACTATAAAAATAGAAACTATAATTATAAAATAAAAATTAATTTGGTTTGGAAAAAAGTAAAACCGAACCAAACCGCCGAATTTCAATCTGATTCGATTTAAGAACCACTTCTATAAAATTAAATCTTCCAACCAAACCAAATTTTAGATTTCAATTCGGTTTGGCAGTTCGGATTGAATTATAGTTGGCCCTAAACGGTATGATCGGTTTCGGTTGGTTTTGAGGTTCTTGATCAGTTTCGATCGCCACTGACAAAGGGACAATTGTCAAAAAAAAGTCTTAATTCTATTGTAAGGCAGTCAATTCAGTTCTAAACATTTTTATTGTATCAATTCAGTCCTAAACCTTTTGACAACTTACCAATTTAATCTTAAACCTTTCAATTGTGCCAATTTAGTCTTAAACATTTCATGATTTGTCAATTTAGTCCTAAACCTCTTAACGATTTGCCAATTTAATCCTTATGGTTAATTTTAGCATGAAATTGCTGTTGTGTACACTAGTTGCCCTAAGGCCGGCGCTAACGTGGACAATTTTCACATTTTTTTCTTTTTTTTCTTTCCTTTTTTTTTCTTTTCTTTCTTTTATTTTGCCTTCTTTTTCGCCGTCACTAGGTCTCAGCAATGGCCAGCGACCAGCCACATGTTTGATCTCATCAGCGTCAGGCGAGGCTGGCGAACTCACATGCCTCAGGCGAGGCTCGCCCTCATCAAATCTAGCACGATCAAGCCTCCCCTAGAAGACCGGCGAGACACAACCTCGCCGGATCTGACAATAGTCGAGCCTCGCCTAGCCATTGGTGATGCTCGACCCTCGCCAGGCCTAGATTGTGGTTGGTTGTCGGCCATCGCTGAGGCCTATCAACCAACCACGGGTTCGATTTCATCAACGTCAGGCGAGGCTGGTGAACTCACATGCCTCGAGCGAGGCTTACCCTCATCGGATCTAGCACGATCAAGCCTCCCCTAGCCATTGGCTATGTCGAGACTGGCGAGACGCAACATCGCCGGATCTGGTGACAATCGAGCCCCACCCAGCCACTAGTGAGGGTCGACCCTCACCAGCCATCGCCTGTGGCTGATCACTAGCCATCGCTGAGGCCTGGCGACCATTGGAGCAAGAAGGGGAAAAAAAAAAAGAACAGAAATCAAAATATTAATAAAAATTTCGAAAATTTTTAAAATATTGTAAAAATTTGTCCACGTCAGCATCGACCATGTCACGTAGGATAGTCAATACTAACTAGACCGCCACGTCGGCGATTTCAGTCAAAATTGACCAGAATGACTCAATTGCCAAATCGTCAAAAGGTTAAGCATTAAATTGGCATAATTAAAAGGTTTATGACTAAATTAACACGATTGAAATGTTTAGGACCGAATTGACCACCATACAATATGTTTTGGACTTTTTGGATAATTTTCTCCTAACAATGGATTCGACACCGGAACGGAGGATAGGTCAGTACCGACTAGGCACTACCCGATTGAACCGGTCGGCCTGGTTTTCGAAACACTTGGCGAGAAAAAGCGGAAGTAGATCGTTCAAAATTAGAAAGCACCATAAACGCGATCGATGGCTGATTGAGGAGGGTCCACCAACCGGATGGTCCATAGAGACGACACCCCACGTTTTCCAAGTTGATAATGCCACTCACGTTTTATCAGAATATAGCTTGAACAGTTTGACCGACAATTTCATTAATGAAATCAATTATCGACTAAACCCTTTTTTTAAAGTCCTAACCACTGCCCATTGTTTCTATTCATCAGACATTTTAGCTACCTTCCGTGATCGTACACTCCAATTACTCGTCTAGAGCATACACAGTGTGTCTATGTTTCATGCCAACAACCCAACACTTTCCGAATTTTTCATAGTAAAATTCGATTTAGTCTGCGACAAAGTAACATGAGACGCGTCCTAATAATCGTAGTGCAGATACGAAGTTCCAATTCGTGTACCTATTCATTTAAGCATCCACAAAGCACTTTAGTTTAAAGAAAGCCGAGTCAAAATGTGCCCTAACAACCCCATGAAGACCCCCTTCTGAATTAAGAAGCTTCAAGGGCACCTTCCCACTCTTACACCGCGCCTGTTCGATTCTGCCCCCCAATTGCTTCCTCCGTTCTTGACACCCACCGAACTCCCCCAAGAAAACCCTAAAGAAAAGGCCAAAGTCCCTGGTAAAACAAAGCGTACGTGCGCGTGTTTGTTGCTGCCAAAGGATTTCCAAAACAGTGCATCCTTACATCAGTCGATCTTCTTTGTCTCTTAGCTAGTACGCACTCCTTGTCGCTTGGCCCCAGCTCTCTCGCTCTCGCTTTCTTCGCTTCTTCTCTTTGAGTTTGAGCCGCACCAAACCACTGCCGTGGAGCCCCACCGGTAGGTCGCGACCATAAAGTACAACCCATAATTCACCGACTCTTCCCATTTAAAAAGCAACACCACCACACCCCAGGAGGGGACTTGACTCAATCTCAATCGCAGATCTGCAGCTATGGGTATTGTGAAGTTCCTGCGCTCCAAGCTGCTGAACAGGCGCCGCGGCGGCTCCCAGAGAGCCGCTGCCGTCCATGTCGACGGCGGGGAAAGCTGCTCGGGACGGTGTGGGGATGTGGCAGAGGTGGCGGGGGCGGCGGTGAAGAGATTGGGTTGGGGAGAGATCGAGATGATCACGGCGTGCTTCGCGGAGGTGGCTGGAGAAGGCGGGTTCAGCACCGTGTACATGGGGCGTTTCCCCGGCTGCGGAGGAGGCTCCGCCGCCGCCGCAGCGGCCGTCAAAGTCCACTGTGGCGGGGGAGAGCGGCTCAGCCTGGCGTTCAAGCAGGAGCTGGACGTGCTGCTCCGGCTAAAACACGAGAACATCGTCAGGCTCCTGGGCTATTGCGATGATGCAGGTAGGCACGTCGCTCAATTATGTACCTAATCTATATTTACTTAACAAAATGTGAAATTATTTGTCATACTTTATTAATATAATTTAGTGAAATTTGAATCGGGAGAAAATCATTTCCATGAACAGCGTCGAGATTATGACATTAGTGCTATTGAATATCAGCAATTATTTTATTACCATTTCGTAAGTAAATATTGACTGTAGATACTCATAAGATAATCCTAACACTAGCAAAACTGACGCAGATATACTGCAAGAACATTTCTATCGGTAACTAATTTATGTTATCTCTCTGTCTCATGAAGATCAAGGTGCACTTATATTCGAGTACGTCTCCGGCGGAACACTCCACGAGCACCTCCACGGCCGCGGCAGCAGCAATAAGAGCTCGGCTCTCCCGTGGAAGAGCCGCGTGAAGATCGCCTTCCAGCTCGCGCACGCCATCGAATATCTCCACGACAGGTGCACCCTCCACGTCATCCACGGCGACATCAAATCCTCCAACGTTTTACTAGACGGCGACTCCGATTGCAAGCTCTGCGACTTTGGATCCGCGAAGATGGGCTTCTCATCTATGGTACCACCGCCCTCGTCGTCGCCTTCGTCTCCTTATGTTAGGAGGAAGAATATCATCATGGGTTCTCTGGGCTACACCGATCCGTTATACTTGAGGACCGGGATTGCCTCGAAGAAGAACGACATCTACAGCTTCGGCATCGTGGTCCTCGAGCTCGTGACGGGCTTGGAGGCGTTTCGTTCGGACAAGGGACAGGTCTTGGCCTCAATGGCGGCTCATATGACTAAGAACGTTGATCGTATGGACGCCGGTGAGGTGATGAACATGGTGGATCCGAAATTGAGAGGCGATTTCGACGCGGAAGAGGCGAGGGCCTTGATTAAAGTAGCGAGATCGTGCCTCGACGAGTCGACCCTGGTTAGGCCGACGGCGAGCCGCGTGGTGAAGATGATGAAATAGAAGGTCTCTTCAATTTCGTTCACGAACTCGAACTCGAAGGACAAGCTTTGTAACTATCTGTAGCAAAACGTGAACAATGTTTGTGGGGAGATCTGTATGTAAATGTCCGAATTTTCATTTTTCGAATGTTTAGTTGATTTGTCCGGCTGACATTTCGAGAACTTTCAAAGTTCGTGACGTGTGTGTGTGTCGTGACATTTTTCGAATATTATCATATCTTAGACTTCTTAGCATCACGAGTATTTCTATGGTATAACAACTTACCGTAGACTAAAACGCAAAAATCACATTATTCGAACATTTTTGCCTTATGATACGACAAAACGTCGTAAAGTTGTACGGTACACTGATGTACTATGAAAGTATGGTTTTGCTAAGCAAGTTTATGAGCTCGCACAATTACTACTGAAAAACAGCGATCTAGTTACTCTTTATGTACCCAGTCGCGTAAAGTACATTTAACTTTCACGAGAGATCTTTGTCGAATGTAAGAATGAAAGACGTTATATACTATTGACGGAGCGTATGAGCGTATGAATTTTTTTTTTTTTTTGGTGTATGAATTTAGCCTTTATCTACTATGAGAAAGCCTGTGGTGCATGGGCATAAGTCAAGGCACGTTGAATATTTCAAGCGTCTCGTGGATTGGCTTGTCGCTAAAAAAAATCCAAACCTTTAGGTTAAGTTCCAATTTTACCATAAACTGTTTTTTGTCCCAAAAAAATAATCTAACTTTCATTTTTGTCCCAAATCCGCCCCTTTAACTCTCCGTCCAAAAATCATCGTTAGCATTTCCATGTGTACGTTTCTCTCTTCTCTTACTCGACTCTCTTACTCAACGTCATTTTTTTTTTCTTTTTCTTCTCTTTTCTCCCTTCTGCGCCCTTGCTACTCCTCATTGTTCATGTGCACTGACTACTCGACCACAGCTTCACCAATGCTTACCCATCACCACCCGAACCTCTGAGCTGCACCACAACCTCCGACAACCCCTCCGCGACCCCAACCCCATGTCAAGGTGAGGGTGTCGCGGGGCACGGGCGACCGAAAGATCTGGGATCGTCCGAAGACAAAGTTAATTAGATCGTCTGAGCTCAACAATGTAGAATTTGATGTTCCAAACTCAAGTTCAAGCCCGACAACATTGAATCTGTCATGATCAACCTAGACTCAATCGCAATCGGCTTGGCCGTGACCAGCGACTCAGCCTTCTTCCTGGGCTCTCTCCCGCATCAACTCGGTATTGCGCAACGGCTGTTACGCCGGCTTTGAGAACAGCTTCGCATCGAGCTCCTCTGCGGCAATCTTGCTCGTTGCAGATTTCACTGGATAGTTGGCGGGGAAAGAAGAGCAATGAGGTTCTTCTTCACCGAATTTCACCTTCAAATTTTGATTTTGGGCAATGAGTTCTTTTTTCCCTTTTGGTTCTTTTGGACTTGTTGTCTAGAGAGTGAAGCTTTTCCCTTTATTAGTCTGTTGAATAGTTCTTCATTTCTTGAAATTTTGTTACGTGCCTGGGAATTAAAAGGAGGAAGATTATCTTGAACATATTTAATCGGGGAAAGCAAACAGGGCTTGCAAAGATTTGACTCAATTCTTCTCGCTCTAATATCATGTGAGATTTTGTAAGACAGCTGCTAACTGTTCTAAAAGGTTTCACTCGATATAAATAAATTTCACTTTCATTTAAAAATCACTAGCAAATGTGCACTAACTGTTCTAGAAGGTTTCACTCGATATAAATAAATTTCACTTTCATTTAAAAATCACTAGCAAATGTGCACACCTCTTACATGCATTAAAAGAAGTAGCCCTCGAAAGATCTAGCAAAATTGCATAATTAAAAAAAAATTTGAATTATCAATTAAACGGAATGAAATTGTCGACACAATATGAAGAAATTGAAGACATTTGAGCGGAAAAGAAAGATAGTTCAAGATTTGAACACACTTTTGTAAGTTTGCTTATAAGATTGAATGCATTCAAGTTTTACAATTCAAAAATATGCTAGAGATTATGTGTAGTCGGTATAGAGAACACAATTCGTTGTCGCATTGATCCTTGTTTTTGTGATTATGTATAGTCGGCATGGGGAACGCAATTCGTTATCACATTGGCTCGAATTACACGCTTATTTTTGTGATTATGTGTAGTCGGCATATGGAATACAATTCGTTATCGCATTGACTCAAATTGTTTTATGTGTAATTGGCATAGGGAACACAACTTTAATTTCAAAATATATGATATTAAGTAGCGAGAAAAAAAAAAGAGTGATCGGTTCCATTGGACCAACCGGAATCGGACCGGACCGGTTCCCAATCTTAGGACCAGTCAGTCCGGTTCCGGTTCCGGTTCCGGTTCCCGGTCACCCCTCATGAAAGAGACCGCACCCACCAGTCGACATCGGCGCCCGGGCCCCCGCAAACTTTCGCGCGTGCTCGATTTACGTGAGCCCACCTCATCTCAACCGTTGAAACGCGACGCGCGGGCCCGGATGAACCCCGCGGGAATCTGACGGTCGGAACCCACAGCGAGCTCACGTAGGACCGCGCGTCCCGCGGACACGCGACGCCAAAAGCGGAGCCTCTTTAATGCGCGATCAAAGTAGCGGGAAGCGACGCGACGCGAAGCGAAGCTGTTCAACACCAGATCGCTAAGACGCATCTTTTTTAAGAAAAGAAGAGAAGAGAATAATGCGAATTTTTTCTTTTTTTTTTGGTCAAGAAGAGAATAATGCGATTTGACACACCAGAAGAAGCACCGAAGAATTCCATCTCTCTCTCTCTCCTCAAGCCTCCTTCTCTTCCCTTCCTTGCTTCTCAATCCATCGTCCGGCGGCGGCGGCGGCGGCGGCGCTTACCTCGGCTCGGCGGAACCCCCCGCACCGCACCCCCCGTCGCTGCCCCTCCTCTCGCCGCGATCGGGCGGCGGAAATGAGCGTTGGCGGCGATGGTGGCGAAGAAGGTGCAGACTCCCCCGCCGCAGCCGCCGCATGCTCAGGACCACCGCCCCGAATGCCGGGCCGTCAGGCCCCGCGGGAGCCGCCGGTGGCGCCATGGGGGCGGCGGCGGCGGCGGCACCGGGACCGCCGCGGTCGCGGTGGCCGCGCTCCTGATCTCCACCGCCGCGTGGCTCGCGCTCGTCTTCTCCGGCACCACGGCCCGCTGCTGGCAACGGTTGACGCATTTTGAAGGCAGTCCTCGTTCCGTCTCGTGGCGGGGCCATTACTCCTCCTCCGATCGCCATTACCCCGCTTCGTCTTCCTCGCCGCCGCCTCGTCCGGCGTCTCGCAATGGCAGCCTCTCGGGAGCGAAGCCGATCGCGGAGGAGTTGATGCTGAACCACATACTTTTCGGAATCGCTGGATCGTCGCGGTTGTGGAAGCGTCGGAAGGAGTACGTGAGGCTCTGGTGGCGACCTGAGGAAATGCGCGGCCACGTGTGGCTGGACGAGCAAGTGACTCACGACGACGATTCGCTGCCCCCGGTCATGGTCTCGGAGGACATCTCTCGCTTTCGCTACACAAACCCTACCGGCCACCCTTCCGGCCTCCGGATCGCTCGTGTCGTGGCGGAGAGCTTCCGCCTGGGGTTGCCGGATGTGCGGTGGTTTGTCCTAGGAGACGATGACACTATCTTTAATGTCAATAACCTTGTAGCTGTTCTTAGCAAGTATGATTGGTCTGAGATGGTTTACATTGGCGCTCCTTCGGAGAGTCACTCGGCGAATACTTACTTTAGCCACAATATGGCGTTTGGCGGTGGTGGGATTGCGATTAGTTATGCATTGGCCGATGCATTGTCCAAAATTCAGGATGAGTGTCTGGAGAGGTACCCCAAGCTGTATGGGAGTGATGATAGGCTTCACGCTTGCATTTCTGAAATTGGCGTTCCCTTGACGAGGGAAAGCGGCTTCCACCAGGTTTTTTACTTCACTCGATTCGTTTAAAGGAGGATGATGTAGTTGTTTTGTGTGATGGAGTTTGAATTTACTTGAAAATTAGCTAAAATAGAATTGTGTTTGATGTTCCGGCAGTGGGATATCCGCGGTAATGCACATGGCCTTTTGTCATCTCATCCGATTGCGCCCTTTGTTTCAATTCACCATGTGGAAGCCGTGGATCCATTTTATCCTGGGTTGAGCCCTTTGGAGAGCTTGAAGCTATTCACGAAGGCAATGAAGTCAGAACCTAGGAGCTTTTTGCAGCGGTCGATCTGTTATGACCAGGCACATCATCTCACATTTTCGGTGTCGCTGGGTTACGCTGTTCAAGTGTTCCCAAACATTGTGTATCCCCGTGACTTGGAGCGGTCGGAGCAGACTTATGTTGCCTGGAATAGGATCAGTCAAAGTAGTGAGTTTGACTTGGATACTAGGAATTCATTAAGGTCCCTCTGCAAAAAACCAATCCTGTTTTTCTTGAAAGATATAGGAAGAAGAGGGGATGCTATTGTGGGCACATATATGCAAGAAAGAGGAATAGATGATCTGAAAAGGAGAGTGTTTTGCTTTCTGCGGTCACCTCCCCTGCGTAATGTGCAGATTATCAAGGTCTTAAGTTATCCACTGAAAAAGAATTGGCATCTGGTGTGTTTTCCTTTTTCCTTCTTAAATTACTGGTGGAAATTTGGTGGTTTCTTGTTTGTATTTTGCTGCTAAAGTTGCATTCTGAAATGTTCCTGCACAGGTACCGCGTCGATTATGTTGCCAGACAGATGAAATTAGGGGCGACACTCTCAGTTTGACTGTGGGCCAATGTGAGAGTAGAGCTTTACATTCCATCATTTGATAATGTGTGACTGGTATGTGGCGGCGCTTGGTCTAGGGACCTCTTGTCGAGTTAAAGAATTGAGTAGAGAAGCTGGATCCTATAATGACCTTCCAGAGATTCAACCGCCTCTGACTTTTCATGGATTAACAATTACTGACTTCGGGTCTGTTAATTACCTGCTTAGCAAGGTGCAGTCCATGTATGAGGCTGATTTGTTCTATGCAGTTAACTTGATTGAGTTGAAGATGGTTGTGCGAGCACTTATCTCCGGATTACATTCTTTGCCTTCATTTTGCTAAGAAGGTTGTACGATGATAAATGAAGATTTAGCATTTCGAAATTGAAATCACTGTTGGTATGATAGATAGAAGGCCAAAATTAGCAATGCTAGCTTCCAGGTATATATTTCTGATATTCTTTTGTTGTTAATAGTCATTTTCCACTATAAGGTTGCGTGGTGGGATATATTGTCTATCTTCTTTCTTACTGGAGTTTGTGCCTCCACAGAAATTTTTGTGGCCTTGAAAGCATATACATAGACAATTGAAATGAGAATTGTTGGATATTTGACCACATTTTTTCCATTTGACAAATGTAGGAGGAATGCAAAGTAAATAGGACCAAATATTGCTGGCTATATGCAGGCACTTCCACGTACTAACCATAGTTTGACCAATGAGGTACTTATGAGCTAGATGGTAATATTACAGAAGAAATCAAAAAGTAAGATTTCGCTGAGAATTTGGAGTAGCTAGAGGCTGAAGTACTGCCTACATTCCTTTTCCCATAGGTTGATACTGCTCAGAAAAAACAGATTTGTTATCTGGTAATTACTTTTCGGTCAGAATTTAAGATTGCAGGAGTTACTGATGCAAGATATATGCACTCTGACCAATTAAGGCGAATACTATATAGTTTTGTTTCCTTATTTCTGTTCTTTTTTTTTCTCTGGGGTGGAGGGTGTTGGTTGTGGGTGCCTTCAGTGTTAAAAAAGTAACCAGATGCTACTGCCTCTTGACAACTTCCAGCTTCCCTGTTTGTAGACGTGTTACAGGAACCCTGAGTGTGGATGCAGGATTAGAAAACTGACTGGTTCTTTTGCATGGGCTTGTTGTGCGCTTGTAATTGAAAGTCTTTATGTTATAAAGTGCTGCCCCTGCCTTCACTTCTCGTTCCGTGTACTTTTGTCCTTTCCTCATTCCCTGCCTCGATTCATTACCTCTGAAAATGGTAGTGAGGATTCTGGCGGAATAAAGTAAGCCTATTGCAGTATGGGGCGGGCGCCTTCAAGCTTTCTTTCGCAGGACCAGCTGAAGCTATTGATTGTAGCAGCTCCGTCTCATTCATCACACCTCGGTCAAAGGAAGGGGGCGGTCCTGATTCCGGGACGGAGCCTAGTATTGGAAAATTCGGGACTTACGACCGCTGCATGACGTAAGCTAATCCATGCAAAACAGTTCAAATCATGCTAATTAATGTGCGATTTTTTTTCAACTTCTTGTTTGTCATAGGGTTCCCCTGGATGCATGTATTTTACATTGCAGAAGAGATGTTGCTTGTCGACACTCTTTCATTAAATTTATGTTGCTGCGCTTCTTGGTCCTCTAATTCTGGCAATTGTGTATATTAGGAGTTGCTTGGAACCAGTTGTTATGGCATTCTCCACAGGGATTTCGTGACTAGATGTAGCTGTTGCGTTTGCTTTTGTGGGTCTCGAACCCGGTGGTAATCTCCTTGGTTTACCCTAGGGTGACTGAATTAACAGCAGGACATCGAGTTAAACCAAGCCTATGATGGGCCTTAGAACATGATAATCTCCTTCGTACTTTTTCCCCCATCGAAACTGAATAACAGTGATCTAATTATTCGTGTCTATCTGGTTCCTCCCTCCCTTTGACCCCGGCATATTGTGGAAGTCGTCTGAGAAGAGAAGCTCATTCTTTCTCTTGTTTTTCGTCTCTATGTCTGTTGATTAATACCTGTGATATAGATACTGGGGTGTCAGCGGTTCAGCTCGGATCTCACCAGTACCCAAATCGAACCAAACATAGAAGGCGGCATGCTTCTTGTAATTCGAACCGATTAATATCTGAACCAAAAACACGGTTTGGATTGGATTGGGTGTTTTTTTGTCTCTTCTTCACCCTCCTCCTTCACCGTAACCCAACCTCTGTAACTATGCTTATTTCTCTCTCCTCCTTCCTTTACCCTTTCTCTGTAACCATCCCCTTTTCCCTAACTTCCAATGTCGCCGACGACTGCCAGCCCACCTTTGAGCTCGACAGCAAGAATCGAGCTGCCTACATCCACCTGCTCACGTCTTTATCTCTATCTCCCCGCCTCTGCGATTGTCCTTCCTACGGCCACCGAACATATCAAGCTCTCTTTTCTTTAAAAAAAAAAGAGAAGAAATTTGTCTGAGGAACTATCCTAATCACAACATAAGAATAAGTGCAAGACAGGAGACTGTTAGGAGCGCACAGCAGAGGGGATCGCCAAGAGAGACTCCAAGTCTGACTCATCAACACATCCAGTTGAAGCTACCTTCATTTAAAAACTCAAGCCGATGTGTTATGGATTAACTTAGATATATTAATTGCTCAACACCACATCGATTCTCCAATATGGGACTTCTCTAATACAACTTACACGTGCATCTCAACAATCTTTGCCTCACATGTGAACTCAATATTAGGTCTGCTCCCCCTTAATTCAGGTAGCATTCTACACCAATACATCTCAACTTGAATCTCCGTCAACACCCATCTTTCATCGCTAGTCTCTTTCTCCAAATCGAACCATGAAGGCTACCATCGGAACCGCATTGATATACTACAACACCCACCGCCCTAGAAACCACTTTGGTCACTAGATTTCTTAGTTGGGAGTGGCCACCAATCATCCATCGACTCTGATACCATTTGTTGGGAGCGCACAGCAGAAGCCATATACCTTCACGAGGATTGCTAAAAGAATTCCAATTTTGAGCCCGTTAACATATCTAGTTAGACCCTCTTTCATTCAAAAGCTTAAATTAATAAGTTATGGGCCGACACACCACACCAATTCTCCGATGTAAGATTTCTCTAACATAATTCATATGTGCATCTCAATGGAGACATTTTAAGATAGCTTCACATTCGATGGAATGTGTTCCGGTTTCCGATCCAAACCGAAATTTTAATCATACCTGTTCTTCATTTATTACCGAACCGAAAGGAGACCAAACGCGAATTTTTCGATTCGGATCGGTTCGATTTTCGGGTATTTTTTACACCCCTAAATACTGGTTTTTAGGCTATCATATTTCTGCCAGCCTATGAACTTTCCTATTCTAACCATGCCATGCCAATTGGACTGTCGGAAGCCTTTGCAAAAATAGGGGCCTTTATGGGGGTTGCTTTGCCTCTCTCTTTTATAATGCATATCTGAGGATGTTATCAGTTAAAAGCTCATAAATGCCATTACAGCACAGGCCATTCAAGAATGAAGGTTTCCATAGTCGACTGGTGCCGACCTGAGGGTTAGTGGAATATATAGATGTCCAAGGGAGTGCGTCTCTGAACTGTAGGCATGACACTCGTATTTTGTCCCGAAGAAGAGGTGGAATTTGAATTGCATGATGAATGTAGTAGGGAGGTTACGACGAGGTGTAACGCATAAGCCACGAGTTTACCTTCTCTGGGAAGTTATACTATACTATAGGCGTCCGTCACACTGGTTTTCCCTGGGGCTCTAACCTGTTTCCCTTTGTTTCAGTCTGTCCTCAAGAGACCAACTTGTCAATATACTGTCTGACTAAGGATATGATTCATTCTTTTGCCATTTTTGTTGTTGATATTCTAGTGTGTCCTTAGTGAAGTGAATCGTTTGGTCAAAAGAAAATTTCCATGATCAACGGAATGACGCCTCTGGTGTTATTTGGAGGACGATTCAGATAATATCAGAATACATGAGGGGGAAAAGATTACTAAAACACAATCAGGAGCTACGTAAAGATCAACATACTAGTTCAAGATGCTTAATCTAGTTCCTGCTTGCTCTTTGTTCTCTTCATCTTTGCCTTAAACCTCGACTTAGCCATCAGAGTCTGTATGGTATTTGCAAAGTTCCCAACGGCCATCAGAACCAACAGGATCCCACAGAATATCACCTGCCAAGCTCATTTTTAATGATCTGTTAACAACACAAACAATGATAGCTCGGTGGTAACACAAGGGACAGTGATAAAAAGCATGTTACCTGCCATTCAGAAACTACCCCAACTAATGCAGTTTGGAGCAGCAGGAACCCCACATAGGCCTCAAAACCCTAAAGTCAAGAATGGCGGACACATCTTAGCTCGGCGAATTTCCATACAATTCACCATGTCTAACAGAAGTAATTTGTGCATCAGTTCAGCGTAAGGTTTTCGAGTTAGACATGCAAAAGACTTCGCCAAACATAATTTGAGTAGGCCAGCCTTTCAATAAAGTGATTACTGTCATGCCTATTTGCTGCATTTAGACCGCCAAGTAAAAAGTCCACTTTGGCGACAGACCTAGAAATACATCTCGCTTAATGCTTATTACAAAGTCTTGCAACAAGCAATGGTTAGCAATACAGAAACTGCCTTTTTTGTTCAAATTCTCCGCTCTCTGCATTCGACAACTTTCGAGCATCAGTAAATATTGCCCATATACCTACCAACTTATATTACAAGTGGATTACCTGCATAATGAAAAGTATAGGGCAAAGAAGCCATAATTGGCCATCCACACCTGCAGTTTCTCCCCAGACAACATCCATTCTCTTAGCCTGTAATAAGCACACAATGAAGAGTAGTCACCATCAGAAGTACTTTTGTTTTTGAAATTTTATTCATGACTATGCAATGACAAAATATGTCCCAAGAAAAGAAAAGGGCAATGTCCGCAATCAATTCATGAAAAAATAAAAAATAAATAAAGAACCATACGAGAAATATTCCATGTTAACATCATTCAACCACAGCATTCATAGTCCTCTTCTAGAAGAAGAATTATGACACCTTGCCCAGTGCAATGCGAGTGTAAAGTCTCTGACGTTGATATCTATTCTGTAGAAGCATCGCAACTCCTTGCATTATAGCCCATTGAAGGAAAAGTTGTACACCTCTCTGCACAGGATTCATCTAATTAGTCCCGAAAGCAGAGCCAGTCAATTAGTGGTTCTGTAGCAAAACTGACCTGCTTTTGAGCACAGTTTGGTTGTCCTTTGATCTCCCATGTTAGGCTGACGAGGGCCATAATCATTGCACAGTAGTGATGGTATATCCACCTGAAGATGATAACTCAGTAACTTTGTTCGAATGCTCTTGGTATCTCTTAAGTATAATAGAGACAAAAGATAGTCAGACATGCTTCCACATTATCATTCAGAAGAAAGATTCAGAAAAATGGAACATGTAGATGCAACACTTGCTCAGTTAATCTCTCTCTCTCTCTCTCTCTCTCTCAAGCGCGCGCGCGCACAGTAATGTGTCTCTCTCAAAAATCATTTTACTCTTGGTTTAGCGTGAGTAAAGAAAGCCTCAATCGCACTCCTAGCAGTCTCTTCATAACCATATCAAGCATCATATGCAGACCTGTTTATAAAACGAAAGTGTCAATCTGTGTTTTTTGTTAGCAATCACAAGATAATTTTAAATACACGTCGAAGAAGCATTTCGTATCTTTCTTTGCTTCCAATACTTCGTACAATTCAAAGCCAACATTCAATGGCTTCTCTCTAGCACATGATCTACAATTCGTCCTCAGTCCCTTGTCCTTTCTCATTTGCCAAGATGGTGTAAATCCTAACAACCAAGCAGAATGATAGCTACTTAGCTAGCTTTAACCATAATCGCTTATAGTAATCGTCCGGAGAAGAAAATCATGATTGATCATTTTCAGCTAGAGAATAAAAGGTGACTTGGATTATGTTGTGGGTAGAGCCAACTGCGAATGCCTTTTCTTTTTGCTGTTTGGTTTTACTAGAATAACAATAAATTACACCATCAACCAACTTGTTCTCCACAAGATGGCACAGATACACGCACTGAGGTAAGCTACATGGATTCTACTGGATAAATTACTAGAGATTTTTTAGGAGTAGTTCTGCAGTGGTCTTAAGGGTCATCTCTAGTTTCTCTAGTTAGCTACAGAGAAAACTGCTAAGGATGAAAAAGCAGAGAATTTGGACACCAATGATTATATTTCTTCTACTTCTCTTTTACTTTATTTTATTGGGTTGGGTGGGGTAGGTTCTCAAATATATCATCTAACATAGCACCTTTCAACTTCCTGGCTAGAACAGGTACTGAGAAGTTCGACATTCAATATTGGGCACCATAAAAGCTGGACTGTAGAAACTTCACTATGTAAGAAAGTTTAAGAGCGAGATCGCCTTCCCTACTATCATCCTCATGGCCTTATTACTCTTCTAATTGCTCCACAGTGTACGACTCTTCAGCTCCTAGAAATAGCATTCCACAAATTTCTTCCTTTTCAACCAACAACAACTCAAAGTCTAGTCGTTACACATCAAGTTCAACTTAGAAGAAGCATAATTCATGTAGTACTCAAGTAATTCTCCTTGGACCCTAATACATGTCGAAAGATAAGTAAAACTGCAGAGGAGCTCAATGGCAACAAGAATATTCTTCACTCACCATGGCCTAATATCACTTCCATTGATGCTTAGTATGTTTTCTCTCAATGCCAAACCAGTGTAGAGGAATAATAGCCATGCCTGCCATGCATATACCCATGACAAGTTACATCCGATTCATACAAATATATGCAAACCTTCAAACTGTTCGAGAAACATGTAGAGCAGTACCTGGTACAGCTGAACAGGAAATGTCGGAAAACATCCATCCCACAGCCAAGATCTTAACACCAGAAGTGCAGATGGGAAAATGAGAAAGAGGAGAGCGGTTCTATCCTGTTCAAAACAGATCGTGGAATGAGTGAATGCAAATTATGCAACTCCCCACTCTTTCAGAATATAAAATAGGTGCAAGATTAACCAGTGTGCAATTAGAAATGTTATGTGTGCCAACAAAGAATGCTGATAGATAGAACAGACTCAGGTTGCTTCATGTAACATTCCCATGGGATAATCAATTTAGCTAATAATCACATGTATCTAGCAAACACTCTCTATATGCAATCACCCTGCCAACCATACTAAATATGGTCGTAGCAGTATCCAGGTTTTCAGGCCAAAAATTCCTTCATTGAAAGTCAAGTGGAGTCTAACCCTACTTCGAATAAACGAGCTGCGGCAAAGAGGTTGAAGTTAATCAATGGAATTTACCTCTCTTCAAATTCTGATTCATACATTAAGTAGTTTAGTATATCCAAATGAGCTTGTTATGACAAAATTGCTGCGAACTCTGCGAGAATACAAAACTCTCTAATTTCTGTTGATATGGCAGCGCGGTGGTGACTCGCCTATACAACACTCAATCACTACCAAGTGCGTCCACTGAGAATACTCAGTCCAAGACAAGAACAAATGATTACGGATAGCGAAAGTGATGAATTATTCAGATCTCCAGGAAACAACAAGAACAAGAAGTCCCTTACCAAAAAAAAACAAGAACAAGAAGTCAAATGCTCTGTTCAAGGACAACAAAGTACTGGAACTGAAATGGGAACATTACTCTGTAACTGTTATACTCTTCCTTGACTTTCAGCTGCACCTCTTTCCTCAAGGCACGCACGTTAATCGGACCCAGAAACATCCTCACGAAGCCGCCTGCACACCATCATCCACCGCCACGACAAGCACGTAAACGACAAGGACAACGAAACCGGGCGGCACGGGAAAGGGAACGAGAACGAGCCGAATCACGCACCTTGAGCTTTCGACGGAAGAAACGACGACGCGTCTCCGTCGGCCACGATGCACCTGGCCCTCTGCAGCTCCTCCTCGAGCCTCTCCGCGAGCTTCGAATCCAGCAGCCCGCCGCTCGCGTGAGCACCGACGGCGGCCCGGAGGCGGCGGATGGACGAGTCGAGCGCGAGCGTGCGCTGCCGCACCGACTGCTCCTCGCTCGACGCGCGGGCGACATGCGCGGCGGCGGCGTCCTGGAGCTCCTTCGCCAGCTCCACCGCCCGCCGCACCTCCTCCTCCATCCGCCTCTCCGCCTCCTCTTCCTCCTCCGACCTCGCTCCGCCGTCGCCGTCCATCACCGACCCCGCGACCGCGACACCGACCGCTCCTGCGGCTGCTCGCGAGGTTCGTTAGCAGAGATCACCGGTTCGTCCGGGCGTGCGTGCGTGCGTGCTCTGTATTGCGTGCGGAATGTGAGCGCCAGATGCATTGACGGAGGCACACGGATCGCTGTGAAGCCACGTGGATGCAACCTCTGTCTCTCTCTGGAGAGCTAGAGAGAGACAGAGTCAAAGGAGAAACACAATCAACGGAAAAAGAAACGGACAGAGAAGCAGAACAAAGATGTGTGGATGGGAACGGTTTGGAGAAGTTGATGTGGTGCACACCTTCCTTCCTTCCAATCATTACTACTAATTTGCATAATCACCAGAAGCAGAGCTTCAATGGTGGAGACAACAGCTTCAATCAGAAAAAAACTGCATTGATCCAGGAATTTAGGACCGATCAGCACCGCCGGCGATCCGCCCCGAAAGTAGTCATAGAAATTCCACACCCGCGATCGAAATGTTCGGTTTGAGCGATAACTACTCCCGGTTACCATGATTGGTCAAGATTACAGAGCATTTGGTTCAGATGGTTGACCTGCATACCCAGACTCGGCCACATTCTATTAATATGCCTAGGATCTTCTTCATTCAACACATCTTCCCGTTGTGCAGCATGCATATGGTAGGCAATGAAGATACCTCGAATTTAGAAAGATGGATGTGCTAGGGAACCCTAAGTCGCAAATGCGGAAAATCATCATTGAGGACCTTGTCATTGCACAATACATTCTTGGCAATCAGAGAGAAAGAAAATCGATACGTACAGAAAAAGTAGAATCCGATGTCGGGAACCTAAACATGCCAGGTGAACTGCAATCCACAACATGGATAGAAAGCATTCATCTGGCAACAGCTGACAATAATACAATGATGTCAACGGTGACACGCGATATAAAGTCGCGAATGAAATATACCCTTATCATTTAAAAGTTTCTCCATAGCATACAAAACTATCTGATTTCGTGCCATCAGATGGCATTGGCCGTTTAACCAACAAAATCTAGAGTTATCACAAGAAGATTTCTAGAAGAGAGAGGGAAAAAGGCGAACCCCATGAACTCCAAGCCAAAAATCATATGTATAGTACAACAATGCCTACTAGAGCTGTTTCTGCGAGGGTTTGCCGGTCCAATAAGTTTTCACAGCAACAAGAATCTTCTCGGGATTGAAGGGTCCGCTTTCATGGTCCATGATCTGGCTCTTCCATCTCATTCCATCTGTTATACTCTTGATCTTTACAAGGACTTCAACCGTGTCCCGGAATATAACAGTTCCTTCAGGCCTCAAGATTCGGTCCATCTCCAGCAGGATGTATGTAATGTCACACCTTCGGAAAGCAAGCAAGAAGGCAAATTCAGACCAGGTATCGAAACAATGTAGCATATGGGAAATGAAAAAGTGTCAATCGCAATACATTACCTGTCCTGATAGATACTGAACAAGCCACCGGCATGGATGAGATCGTACGTTCTTGGGTATGTTGAAAATGCCTCGCACCAGTCCTGGTAGGTGCCAATGAAACCACGCTCGTAGATCACGCCAAGAGTGTCGTGGTTAGTGTCCACGGGCACCACATTCATGACCCACACGGGATATTTAGTTAGTGCGGCTGCAAATCCACCGAGGTTAGCATTCATGTCCATCACATTGCGGTATCGTCCCTGCGGTAGAGGACCAATTATCCGCTTGTAGTGTGACACCCGGTCCTTCCATAATTCATTATCCTCCTTGTATTTCTCAGCAGTGATTCCTGGGATTGAGCCGCTGCTTATTCTAGGGGGGACGGCAAAGGCACGCTCTGGCCATTTCTCCACTGCACCGCCAGCTACTTCGTCCGAGCTGCTGACTTCTGGCAATGGGGTTATGCAAGTTTCCATTTCTCTGTACCTGTAAGGCAAAAAAACCGCACAATTAGAAAGTTATGTACGAACATGTTGCCATTTGAAAAATAAAAAATGGTCTTTCTGATTAAAAGATGAAAGATGATGACGATGAGTACCAAGCAGTGTCGGGATTGTCCGCCTTGCATATGTGAGGCGTTTTATAAATGCTCCGGCTCTTGATGCACTCAATGTGGTTGATAGGCTTTTGCCAAATCGCAAGATCATTCTTTTCAATCACCTTATTCCAGCATAGGCGCTTGGCGACCTCCTCTATTGAGTCTTGCTCTTGCTTCAAGTCTTCTTGGGTTCTTTCCCAGCCTCTCCAGTACTTTTTCCAGCGGATTGGGGGACCAGAAAGAATCCAATAACCACCGGGCCTAAGCACCCTGTCCACTTCAATTAGGTAGAGTCCATCTGCAGATGACTCCGAGCAAAGAACAATTAGAGCAGAAACACATAAGGCAAGCCAAAAATAGACGAGAATCAAAGGCCGGTTCATGAGCATGCAACATAGATTCCATCCTAGATAATTGGTTCCACATGGAAAGTAATTTGATCACAGATTTTTATGGATCAAGATATGAAAAATGAAATGCTTACCAAACTCTTTCCACGGAATCAAGCAGCGGGAGCAATGCGCCATGTCGAATGCTCTGGCTGGGTAAGGAAGTCTTTGAGAAGCCATGATCCCAATCATGGCCGGCACTCCTCGCTCTAGAGCAAACTGGACCTGCGCCTCGTGAGTATCCCTCGGGGCAAAAGACATGGTTAGGATGTCCCTCTTCAGCAGGTAAGCACCCCAACTAGCAACCTGACCAACCCCAAGACTACATCACATTAGCAATTACATCCTCATTTCTGGAAAATAAGAAATTGAAGAGAATCCAAAAGGCACAATTTCACAAGTCACAGTCACCACTGTCCTCAACTTTGGGTAGAACAGAACCAGAACATGAAACTACACTTCCAGAGATATCAGATCACTTACCCCACAGCCCGTATCAATTGCAGTTCTAATTTTTCCACTCGTAAGAGGTATCAGCTCATTAATATCATCTATATACGCATCAGCACCTCGAGGAAACATGGTTCCTCCTCCAGGGAATCTGAACCGTTCGCCCTCAACTTGGATCCAATTTTGCACAGCCTTCTCGATGCTGAGCTCTCTGTGAGGTATATTGTCGTACCACGCATAGTCTCGGCTCTGAGGCCATTTGAAGGGGGTCTTATACTTTGGTGGAGCAGGAATCATACACCTTAGTAACTCATCTTTCTTGGGGCAATGCCGTTCTCGGTACTTCAGCATATTCCTATCGAACTTCCTCCCCCTCTGCGGATCTTGGCAAGGAGTGTATTCACTATAGGCCATATCACATGCAGGAATCGTCTCCACAGCATCAGAGTCATTGAAGGTGACCTGATGGTGGCTTTGGAAGTCCAACGAGACCGACTCTGAAGATGAAGAGAGTTTGGTGGACTGGCCATCGCCTGCATTGGGGTTGTCGGCATCACATTTAATTCTGGTGTAGGCTTCAGACTGATTATTTGGGACAGGCGTGCTCTGCCATGCTCCCAAAACGTAGAACAACACACATAGACCGCTAACACATACTATATAGGTGAGACGTCTCTTCTTAGATTCGATGTGATGATGCTTCGGCGATCCACTGTATTCCTTGGCCATCGGTATGATTGTTTATGATCTCTGCAGAAATTTCGAGAAATCAAGAATATTAGACTCAACAACATCAGCTAGGTTCCAACCAAAAATAAAAATAAAAAACATTAGCTAGGAAACCAGGTTGGTTTAGATAACTTAAAACATTCTGTCTAAGGCCTCAAACTGGCCTAAAAACTCCGTAATAGGAATAGCTCGAAGAATATTCTCACTTATAGATGAGCCAGCTGCTTTTACTCATTGCCATATTTTCTGCTTCTAACATCAACCATGATTATGGGGCACAGATTAAGAACAAAGGCAAAAAATTGCTCAGAAATGAGGGTAATTAAATTCAAAACAAAGCATATTGTTCTGGTGTTGACTTCGAGTGCCGATGGATTAGCAAACCTAGCAGAAGATGGCCATCAAACAGGGGGAACGGAACGCAGACATGTAAGAGAAGGTACAGAGAACTCACGGATCAATGGAATGCCAACAGCTAGTTTTTGACTTGAAAAGAAGGATTTTTCTCGACCTAGAAGCAGTCTCAAGGGAAAGTGCAAAAGCCCCAGACACCAGAGAAATCGAAAATACAATGGAAAAATAGGGGAAAAGTTGCACTTCCAAGCAAATAATAGACCACCCAGTTGAAACTCCAAGAGGATGTTTGCCTCTCAAAGGCCTAAGCTTTACCTCTTTCTAACAAAAAAAAAATGAAGTAAACAACAAAGCTCTCTCTCTCTCTCTCTCTCTCTCTCTCTCTCTCTCTCTCTCTCTCTCTCTCTCTCCTCTGCAAATACCACCCCCACCGGATCCATGTCAAAACAGCATAAAACATCTCATCGGAGCTTAACATGGCGAAACACAATAACCTAAAGAAAGACAAGAGAAATGAGAGAAGAGGCCACGCACCCGGAAAAGATTCTCAGCTACAGACACTCCCGGAAACGTCTAACATTCAAATCGAAACGGGCATTGGAGGCTTTGGAGCTCGGGATCTCATTTCTCGCGTTACTTCATGGGGACGGAGGGATCTTTAGCGGAACCCAGAAACCATGGGAGCTTGGGAAAGCGAGAAAACAATGGAAAAACGAAGGGGAAAGTATGCTCCTTTGTTACGAGAATAAAGAAAGGCTATAATGGTATCATCACCTCCTAAAAAGATCATCTTTTTTCTTTATTTTTTTTTTCTTTTCTGGTTTGTCTTTCCGTCATTACAGGAGGAGGGAGGGAGAGTGGTGACCGGTGAGTAAACAAGTGAGAGAAATGGCAAGCACAGGAGGACAGAACGTATTTTTAGTAAAAGGGGTGACAGGGAAAAACGAGAACAAAGAAGGGCTGTGATTGGATTGAGTGGCCCGTTACTTCTTGCTTATCATCATTAGTTCTTGTTATCTCCACTAAATAAGGAGAGGGAGAGAGAGAGACAGAACGACAGAGACAGAGGATTTGGTCTAAATGAACAGAGACCATGAAGGTCTGAGGGCAGTGAGCATTCACAGGAGACTGACCAGCCTCAATTTCCTCTGCACCCCACCTTCTCTTCCCTCCCCCCTCCTCTCTCTCTCTCTCTCTCTCCTCTCTCTTACTTCTCTGATTAAAAAAATGAGAAATTTTTGCTTTTCATGCCCCTGTTGCTATTAAAAGATAGGAGAAAAGAAAAGGGTGGTGGGGATTCTCGTCTTTCGAGGTTCCTAAACCCACATCGACGTGGGTCTACAAAGGCGGAAGGGCGCCACCAATCGTCAAAGTTTACCCAATTTTTCTAATCACCGCCTTTCCCGGGGACAATAATTCAACGCATCTTCGAACCCCCGATTGACATTTATCTGAGCTTTTTGTTTCTTCTTTCTTTGTTGTTGGAGGAGGGGCTGAGAAACTTGAGATGTGTTCAGAGAAAAAAAG